CCCTACGTTGGGGGGCGGCGCTTAAGCCCGTCGACCTCGATGGCGCAAGCCGACCCAGGTCGCCCGCCTCCCACAGCATGGGGATCGGTAGCGCCCACGATGGGCCCGGTACCGGAACACGTTCTCCTCCGGACCAGTACCCAGTCCCTTATAAGAAAGTAATTCAAACCCCACCCCCTTCACCCTGCATTGGCTGGCCTTTTTTTGGGGGTACCCCGGACCCGGACCCTCGCCGCAGCGTGCCCAGGGGCCCTGAAGCTAAAAAACCCAATTTTGGTGTTGGAACCCCCGCTTGGTCCCTGACCCCTGACCCCTTTTGACCCCCTGACCAAGCATTTGGGCCCTTCCCCTGCCTGCCCTGACCCCCCCTGCCTTGGCCCTGGGTGCCTGGAGCCCCACCCGCGCTTCTGAGAACTGAATACGATTTTGGAAGTGGGCTGTTATCTGAGTGTTTAGGCCTAAACCCTAAAAGGAATAGGTTTGGGTGGCTTTGCCGCCTGGGACGGCGTGGGGTGGGAGAAAAGTGTTAGACGGCCCTCCACAATCCTGCCAAAGCTGCTCTTCGCACCTCACGAAGCTTTCGAGCTTGGTCCGAAACCTAATCTTCACAGCATCTACGCCCTATCACAGCAAACCCTAAACCCTAAACCCTAAAACCCTAAACCGCAAACGCGGGCTCTGGGTATTTGGGGCTGAAGGCTTCCCGCCTCCCCCAGATAGCCCATGGCGCATTGGGCAGAGACGTCGAAGTGCAGACCTACAGATTCAGCCCAGCCCTGGTTTGGGGTTTAGGTTTTAGGGTTTAGGGCTCAGGGTTTAGGGTTGAGGGTTTATAAGGTTTAGGGTTTAGGGTCGGGTTAGGTGTTCAAAAAAGCGTCAGCAAGGGCGCATTGTTGAGGGTATCGAGGGCTTCAGATGGGCCTATGGAGAGGGATGAGGTCAAGCTGATGCAGAAGAGGCTGCAGCACAAGAAGGTTCAACCTCAACACTGGACCCTGGACCCTATAAACCCCAAACACCCCAAACACCCCAAACACCCCAAACACCCCGAACCCCAAACCCTAAACCCTAAACAACTGACTATTCCCAACACCCTAAAATCCTAGAACCCAAAGCCAAACCGTTTCGTGGAAGGCGGGCATCTGACAGCCCCTCCCTTCGGGAACTCAAACCCTTCTCGGAGGAGGTTTCAGAACGGGGGGGGGGGGGGGGGGGGGAAGGCTTCTCGCAAAAAAAAAAGTGTATCAAGGGTTTTCAAGGAAATTTGGGGTATTGAGGGTTTTAAGGGGCCGTTCAGGGGCATTTCTGCTATTTAGGGTACTTAAGGTACTGAGGGCATTTTGGCCTCTTCGTGTATTTCGGGTTTAGGGTTGGCCCCCTTGCTGCAGCTCGCTGCAGCTCGCTGCAGCTCAGCAGCGATCCAGCTGCCTCTCCATAACCACGTAGGCCTGGTGAGTTTAGGGTTTAGGGTTTAGGGTTTAGGGCTTATAAGGGCTTAGGGTTTAGGGTGTTGCAGCGGCCCCTGAACCCTAAACCCTAAACCCTAAACCCTAAACCCGAAACCCTAAACCCGAAACCCTAAACCCTAAACCCTGACACAGAGACGTCCCCCAGGCCTCGCTCTGCACAGGGGACTGGCAGATGGTCCCAGAAGGCGATGGCAGCCTTTACTCAGCTCGCTAAGGCTTTAAGGGTTTAGGTTAGGGTTTAGGGCTAGGGTTTAGGGTTTAGGGTTTAGGGTTTAGGGTTTAGGGTTTAGGGTTTAGGGTTTAGGGTTTAGGGTTTAGGGTTTCGGGTTTAGAGGGCTTATAGGGGGCCTATATAGGGAGTAGAAGGTTGATAGGTTCATAGGGTTTTTAGGGATTGCGGTGTAGGGTAGGTTCAGGGTTTCTAGGCTTTAGGGCTTAGGGGGATTTGGGTTATTGGGATTCGGGTCTCGGGTTTAGGGTTCATGGGGTTTCAGGGTTTAGCGCTGAGAGTATTTAGGGTGTATAGGGAAAGGGAGATGGATCAAGGTTTCGGGTTTAGGGGTTGGGGTTGTAGGGGTTTAGGGCTTTGGGATTTAAGGAATTGGGGTTTGTGGATTAAGGGTGATAGAGATTGGGGTACTAGGGTTTAGGGTTCCGGTTTATAGGGTTTGGGGGTGAGGACGCTGATGTGTAAGGGGGAGGAGTGGATCCCAATAGCAGTCACTGAAGACTCACATGCAGTACCTCTACTCCCCTTGAAGCACCCGTACCCAAACCCTTAAACCCCAATCCCTATAGACCCTAAACCCTGAACCCTGGCATTCTAAACCCCTTACCGCCAACATCCTGAACCCAAAGTCCCAAAACAACCAAAAACCAAGCCCCAAACCAACCCCTATACATAAAGAACCTAAAGCCCAAGCAGCCCCTAAAAACCGTAAATCCGAGCTCGAACCCTCCAACCCCAAAAAGCCCTTAAAAACTCCCAAACCGCCACCCTAAACCGGGTTTAGGGTTATAGGGTTTTGGGGTTTTAGGGTTTTTAGGTTCTAGGGTTTAGGGTTTTAGGGTTTTGGGGTTTTGGGGTTTTGAGGTTTTGGGGTTTTGGGGTTTTGGGGTTTTGGGGTTTTGGGGTTTTGGGGTTTTGGGGTTTTGGGGTTTAGCGTTTTAGCGTTTTAGGGTTTTAGGGTTTAGGCTCTTAGTGCTTCCTTGCCACTAGGCAAAGCTGCGGCCGGGTGGCGCTTCCATCCCCACCAGGGCCATGACCAGCCCAACCTGTCTGGGTGCTGGGGTTTAGTTTAACTGTAGTGGGTTGGGGGTCCATTTTGAAATTTCTAAGGGTAGATATATAGGGATTTTGACCCATAAAACATCAAAACGTTGATTCCAATTCGACCCAAAAAAGGCGTTAGATGCTATTGGGTTGTTTAGGTGAGTGGGGGTTCTTGTGTAGTTTTGGGTTGTTCGGTTCTTGGAGGTTTTCAGGGTACTTAGCAACCCAATTCTAAGTGTTGTTATTACCCACCTAGAAGCCCCTGAAGTACCATAGTCGGGTTATAATTTGGGTTGTAAGCACAGTTAGAATTGGTTTAAGCCCTAAACCCTAAACCCTAAACCCTAAACCCTAAACCCTAAACCCTAAACCCTAAACCCTAAAACCTAAACCCTCGGAACTGGGTTTAGGGTTTTGGGCCAAGGGCTTCTGATCCAAACAACGAAGTTGACATCTTCCGCCTGGACCAGGACCAGGCCGGCGAGTGCCTTGCGTTTGGCACAGGTGCTCGCACATGCCCGAAGTGGGTTTAGGGTTAGGGGTTTGGGGTTCAGGGTTTTGGGTTTGGGGTTTGGGGTTTGGGGGTTTAGGGGTTTGGGGGTTTAGGGGTTTAGGGGTTTAGGGGTTTAGGGGTTTAGGGGTTTAGGGGTTCCCAAGCCCCAAATCCTAAACCCTGCGCTGTGTTTGCCTTGCTGCCCAGGTTGTGGGCTGCGCACCATGACCCGTTCACCCTGAAACCACAAGAGACCTCAAGCAGCTGAACAAAAGAAGAACCCTACACCCCAAACCTACAAGCCCGAAAAAGGCCTAAAAACCCTATAAGCACCACATACACTAAAGCCCCTACAAGCCAGTTTCCAGCCCGCGTGCATAGCGCCGCCAGCCGCAGCCCGCGGACGCCCGCCGCTTGGCCATGTGAAGGCGAGGTGGGGAAGTGCTGTGAGCTGGACCGAGGTTTTGGGGGGGCTTTGGGAGTTTGACAGGGCCTTTAGGGCGTTTAAGGTGTTCAGGGTTCAGGGTTTAGGGCTTATGTTCAGGGCTACTTTAGGGTCTTAGGGTTTGGGCTTTGTCATGTTAAAATGGCTGTAGGGTGTTTTTTAGGTTCTTGCGACTTCCGGGGCCTTCTGTTTTGGGTGCTTTGTATGCTGTTTACGGAAGTTTCCTGGCGCCACCTGAACCGCCCAATAGCTGAAAGCATGCTGGTGAGCATGATGTGGGATCTAAGTAAGGTATCTACAGTTCCAGCAGGTCCTAAACCCAACCAAGCCCCAAGCCATCGAAGTCCAGGTGCTTAGTGTTTAGGGTTTAGGGTTTTAGGGTTTAGGGTTTAGGGTTTAGGGTTTAGGGTTTAGGGTTTAGGGTTTAGGGTTTAGGGTTTAGGGTTTAGGGTTTAGGGTTTTTGGGTTTCCAGTTCGCAGCTCTGGGGTGTTTGAGTGGGTGTATTTGGGGCAGGGTCATCGACGAACCTGGCTGGGCCTCGCTGCCGAGAGGGTCAAGCCCCCCAAGCCCTAAACCCTGAACCCTAAACCCTGAACCCGGCCTGAACCCTATTTAAACCCTAAACCCTAAACCCTAAACCCTAAACCCTAAACCCTAAACCCTAAACCCCGAAAACTCGACTGCGAAGTGATCTCTGAACCGACAGCTGAGAACACGCAGCCCATGCAGCGCGATCCCCAAACCCGACACCCGAGCCCGCACAACAGCTGCCCCAAACCCTAAACCCTAAACCTTTAACCCCAACGGCCACCCCAACCCCTAAATCTTCCTCCACATCCTACACCCTAGACTCTTCACCCCTAGAACCCAAACCCCCACCGTCCCAAGCCCAAAGCCTCCACGTGTCCTACGGGTTCCGGCTTTCAGCTTCTCACGGTGTGATGGGCGGCTTACTTGCTGAAAAAAGCGAATCTTTGGGTGGCTTGCCGGAACCCTAAACCCTAAACACTAAACCATTTGGGGTTTGAGGTTCCGGGTAGGGTGTAGGGTTTAGGGTTGGTTAGGGCTAGCCTTCGGTTTTCAGCTGTTAGAGGTATCTTCACAACACGTCAGAGGTCACCTACGCTGCATCTATGGTTTGGCTTGGTTGAAACTAGACCTCCTACAGAAAGAACGTCTCAGCCCTTCAGGCCAATACTACAAGGTGGAGAAGCCCGACACCCCAAAAACCGAACAGAACAACCCTAAACCCTAAACCCTAAACCCCAAACCCTAAACCCTAAACCCAAAACCCTAAGAGGGTGGAGCATCCCCCCGACCTGCTGGCCGCGGCTCGCTGGACCTGGGGGCAAGCTTGCAGCTTCATGGGCGAGGTCTTGGGCATAACGGTTATATATGTATATATATATATATTTACATATATATATATATATATGTGTGTGTGTGCTTTTGTTTGTTCGGTGCTTTAGGTTTTGTAGGGGCTGTTAGGGGTGTTTGGGTTCAGGGGTTTAGGGATTAAGGGTTTAGGGTTTCGGGGATTTGGGGTTGAGGGTTTGCTTGAGGTCCCGGGGTGTTAAGGTGCTGTGCCCCAGATGCACCTAGCTTACCGTGAAGGCCACATGGAGAAGCCCTGAGGCTTCAATCCCCAAAAATCCTAATTCCTTTAAGACCTATACTACACTGCTACACTACACCCTAACCCCCCCCCCCCCCCAGGCGCTTAAACCGCGCTAAACCCCACATCTGAAACCACAACACGCAAATTTCAAATCCTATAATCCCTAAACAAGCCCAAGCCCTCAAAACCCTAACCCGTAAACCCCGTCTTAACGCGCTTAACAACCCTCCCCAAATCCCGAAACCCTTGTAGCGTCTTTAGCTGCTTTTCACGCTGCGCCGGCTTAGGAGCCTAAACACTAAACCCTAAGTAAACCCTTTAAGACCCAACCCTGAACCCCAATGCCAAGCCCCCCCCCACATGTCCCTACTGGATTCTTCAGGAATCCACATAGGGGCAATCGAGTATTGATTGTAAAGTCGGTACCTTATATCCCCAATATAAAAACCTTTGAGGAAGTCTGGGGCTTACCCAACCTCATTTCCTGCTAGGAACCTTTAAGTTCCGCATGCCCAAGGTACCTCTTTAAATCGCGAAGGGAAAGACAGACGTCGATGCGTTCATGAGGCAGATGCCTATCTCATCCATCTCCTTTATTTTAGGCTGAGCATTCGGCGGTTCAACTGGTAGCGTGGAGCATGGTACTGGGTGTTGCAGAACCCGTAATTCCTACAGCCCCTACAGCCCCACATACTTGGGCACCACCCTCCGTTCCACTTCGCTACATTCATTCCATCTGAGTTCTTCCTCAATTGCAGCTCTGGCACTGACGTCTTCGCTAAACGGCTGGTGAACGCCTGATTTGGTGTTGAAGGCTTGGGCGATCTAGAATTTGAGGAATTACGGGCTCAAGGTGCTAGCCTGCTTAAGCTTTGAAGGCTTTCAGGTTATTGTGGGGTTAGGCTTTTCGCTATGGATTGTAGGTTCAGGGCTGTCTGGGCAGCAGCTTTGCTGCCTTCGCCTTCGCCGCAGACACGAGGGAGTTGGATGTCTGCATTGGAAACATGAAAAGATGGGTGCCCGCAGCGTCTCAAACCGATGGCGCGCCTGTAAACCCAAACCCTAAACCCTAAACCCTAAACCCTAAACCCTAAACCCTAAACCTTAAACCCTAAACCCGAAACCCTAAACTCCATGAAAACCGGAACTTGAGGCGTGGGAACCAAGGTTTTGTGTGTCTTAGGGATGTTTAAAGTTCATAGGGTCGATAGGGCCTGGTTGGTGCTTGAAGCAACCTAAGTAAGACCGCCCCACCCCCCCTGGAAACCACAGGTTACAGGGCCAATTAAGTGGGGTGGAGGGTTGAGGGCTATGGGGCTTCGGGTTCAGGGATTTAGGAAAGTTCTGGGAGCTCGCTTTCTTGTAGAGGCTGGAGGCCCGTTTTATGCCCTTCGTACCCATCAGGGTTGAGGGTTTAAGCTTTAGGGTTCAGGGCGAAACTCCGAACCCATACTCAAAGCCTGTCAACGCCAAACAGATCAAAGCTATACGCCAAACATGCAAGCTCACAGGTGGTCGGGCAGTACTGTTAGTGCCTGCATACACAGCATTCCTTCCTTTTCAGGATACTAGGAACAAAGACCCTGCATCGCAAAGAGTTCGGACCCTACACCCCCAAAGTCCACCACCTCCTAGGTCCCGACAATTGCCGGAGGCCCGCACCTCCGCCAGCAAGCCGCTGCTGCACCTCTTCCCCCCCAAACACCGCAAACAAAAAAGAAACTAAACCCTAAACCCGAAAAAACACTAAACCCGAACACCCTTAGCCCTTTCAGTCGGAAATCGATTTGGGAGTTCGTCAACCTTCTGGGCCCTTGTTTAGGGCACCGTATATGCAAGGGTTTGGGGTTTAGGGTTTCGGATTTAAAGCCAAGCCCTAAACCCTCGGGAACCAACAACTTGACATCCTTCTGACAAGCCTTTCTCGAAGGAGTCGGGATTTAGGTTTTTTGAGACCCAAATGGATGGCCCATATTAGAAATGCTTACCTCATTCCCATTCCCTACTAAGAACCACTAAGTTGCGACCCCAGCAACCCTAAACCCAAAACCCTAAACCTTAAACCCGAACAAACTCACAATGAGTCCTCCAGGGAGCACCTGCAGGAGCTCCTCCTTGATGCCACACATGGACTCCTGGGGGGAGGGACTCGGGGGAGGAGCAGGAGGTTTCGGGTTTAGGTTTTAGGGTTGCGGGTTTTGGGTTTTAGGGATTTAGGGTTTGAGGGGTTGAGGAGTCGGGGTTTACGGTTTAGGGGTTTAGGGGTGTAGGGGGTTAGGGGTTTACGGTTTAGGGTCTGCCTAAACCCTAAGGGTTGAGGGTTTAAGTTTAGGGCGTAGGTAATCTAAATGTCTGGAGAATTCTGAGGGGGACTCCAGGGCTGTAAAAGGTTATGAGGGGGGCCTCATTGGGGCTTTAGGTGCCCCTAAACCCTAAAACCTGAACACTAAACCCTTAACCCTAAACCCTTAACCCTAAACCCTAAACCCTACAACCTTAACCCTAAACCCTAAATCCTAAACCCTAGTGCCGAATTTCACGGTTTCAGGCTTTCGAGCGTTTGTTTAACGCAATGTTTAACAATGTAGAGGGTTTAGGGACTCAGTGCTTACGATAGTTTAGGGTTTAGCTGGGGGCCTTCAAGCCCTAACCCTTGGGCCCTATAACAGACCTAAGTCTCGTGTCCATATGGTTCAGAACTCTACCTTGAAAAGAGCCTGCTTAACCCGCTTTAATCCCTACAGCAGCCAAACCCCAGCAGCCATCACCCCTAAATCCCCAAACCCCAGACCTGCAGATCCCGAAGCCCTAAAACCCTAAAAATCCCAAACCCTAAATCCTAAAACCCTAAACCCTAAACCCTAAACTCTAAACCCTAAACCCTAAGCCCTAAAACCCTAGACCCTAAAATCCCAAACCCTAAAACCCCAAAAGTCCCCGGACCTGCAGATTCTGCAGTGCTGCCGGCACCCGCTGCAGGAAGTGTGCTTCTGGGCCTCACGCCAAAACCCGCAAGACCGAAGAGTGAATTCTGGGGCTTATGTAGTTTTAGGATTTATGTAGGGTTTTTAGGGTTCAGGTTCTTGTGGAAGATTTTAGGGTTTTTGCAGGGTGTGAAGGGTTTAGGGTTTAGGTCTTTAGGGTTTGTAGGTTTATCGGGAACTTGCTTCTTCGGGCTTCTAGGGTTTATAGGGTTTAGAGGGTATAAAGGGTATAGGGTTTAGGTTTGGTGCTTACAGGGTTCAGGGTTTAGGGTGTAGGGTTCAGGGGTTGGAGGGTTCGGGGATCAGGGTTGATGGAGTTCCATTTTTAGGCTTACAGGGTTTATTGGCATTTGTGTTGGGGTCTATAAGTTCGAAGTGTTCAGGGGTCGTGAGTTCTTCGTAAATACGGTTCCTGTTTGGGCGGTCCTTTCAGACCTTCAAGTCGCAAGATTTCAACCCAAAGCTGGAAGCCCCTCAGGCCTTCCCTAGTTGCTGAGTACCCTGGGCCCAAAAAGATTAACCTTTCAATTGTGGTAGGATTATATATATATATATGTATACATATATACCCCCCCCCCCAAAAAAAAAAAACAAGGTTAAAGGCTACCTACTCAGCTACTAAGCTTTCTGAAAACCCATTGCCTAAACCCCAAAACCCCTGACCCCAATCCCCCCTAACTAATCCCTGACACTCTAAACCGGCAGGAAAATCCTCAAACCCCAGCCGCTAACACCCACACCAAGCAACACCCCAGCACCCTAAACCCTCACTCCCAAAAACCCGAAAGCCTGAACCCTAAACTCGAACCCCTAACACCCTAATCCTAAACCCCAACCCCTAGCACCCCAAGCCCTAAACCCTAAACCCTAAACCCTAAACCCTAAACCCTAAACCCTAAACCCTAAAACCCTTCAGAAACGCTTAGAGCCCCATGCGCCTTCTGACGCAGGGTCAGTCGGGCCCTGGCCTGCCATCTTCCCCAAACTCATAGAGGTTTGGGGGCGGTTCAGCGGGCGGTTTGGGGTTTAGGGTTTAGGGTTTAGGGTTTGGGGTTTAGGGTTTAGAGTTTAGGGTTTGGGGATTAGGTTTGGGGTTTGGGGGGTTTCGGGTTTAGGGCTTGGGGTCTGGGGGTTTAGGGGTTGGATGTTTAGGCTTCAGGGCTTGCAGGTGTTTCAGCGGTGTAGTTGGGACTTAGGGTTTGGTTACGTAGTTTTCAGGGATTTGGTGATTAGGTTTAAGGTTTAGGGTTCAGGGTTTGGGGATTTATCGCTTGAACCCCTGCACTGGCCAGGCCAAAACCTCATAGGCGTCTTACAACAAGCTTCGTTTAGGGATTCGGGTTTCGGAAATAGGGTTTAGGGGTTAGGGTTTAGGGTTATGAAGAGGCTTGATACAAACAGCAACCGTCCACCTGCAACTGTCCTTTCCTTTCAGCCATGAGCATGAAGTCCCAAGCTGTAAGCTCGAAACCTTCCATAAGAAAGGAGTTAGGGGCAAGGGTTTAGGATTTGTAGGGTTTCGAGGGATTCTAGGGTTTCTAGGGTCTTAGACCCGTAAGCCCTTGAAACCCTCAAACCCCCCTCAACCCACTACACACTCGAACCTCGGAGCCACCAGAAAGGTTCAGGGTGTGGGGTTTAAGGTTTAGGGTTTAGGGAAACAGGGTTTAGGGTTTAGGGTTTAGGGCCCTAAACCCCCCCAAGAAAGCTTGCGCCTACGAGCTCGGCGAGCTGGCGTTGAAGGCCCTCGCAGCTTGGAATTCTAAGGTCCAAGGCACCAGGGGTTTGTTGGGAGGTGCACCTCTTAACCCTAAACCCAAACTCGGGTACCCAAAAAAGGGTTTCAAGGGTACTTCTCCCCAGCTACGAAGCTCCTTCTTCAAGCGAGTGCGTCTTGAAAGCATCCGGGCATCGGTAGGCTTGCTGCAGCTCTCTCTCTCTCTCTCCACACACACACTCTCTCTCCCTCTCTCGCTCTGTCTTTCTCTCTCTCTCTCTACACACACACACACACTCTCTCTCTCTCTCTCGCTCTCTCTCTCTCTCTCTCTCTCTGCTTTGGGATCATGTTGAGGGCATCATCCCCAGTAGTTTTCGCAAGAGGGGCGAGGGGGCATTCGCACGTCTCCTACAGAGAGCGAGGGGGGAACGATCTGCAGAGCTGCCAATGCCTTGGCTCTCGCTTGCTCCCGCTCATCGGAGCTGCGATCTTTCCGGTCGCGACAACGTGTCACGAACGTCTTCGTTAACAGACCCTCGAAAGGTCCTGAGGCCGGAAACCCCATAAAGCTCTTCGATGCACCTAAATCACTCAATCTGTCCCAACCCACAACTGCTTGGACACGAAGCGATCATGTTGGCTCATTTTGGACAGTACTTGGCATGTATGGTGCCCTAAACCCCAATCTCTAAACAGCAATGAGGGCTAACTATTTGGATGCACCATTCCCCAGGATGAGGACCTATGACTACCACGCAGGCTATCCTAAAGTTGGTATAAGGAGGGTTTGACACCACCAGCCAAGCCTTATTCCTGCATGTGCACAAAAACTAAGCCCCAGTGTGGGTCGGAGGGTGTTGGGTGCGGCGTTTTCAATCGCACCTAAACCCTAAACCCCAAACCCCAAACCCTAGACCCTAAACCCTAAACCTAAACAAGCAGGCACTCTGAGTCTGGAACCGAACCCTAAACAATAAAACCTCGGCCCTACACCCTAAACCTGAAACTCTAAATTCGGAGCCCTTAGCCCTGCTTAGTTGTCCAGTAACCTGGGGGAATTAAAGGTTAACGTTTGGGATGATAAGGGGATTATACTACCCCAAAAAGGTTAAAGGTTACCTACTCTACTACTTGCCCTGAGCCAGAGAAGGATGGGCTTCGGTATAAGGACATACATGTAGGTTCAGGGTGGGGCCGGCTTTAGGGTCTAGCGCTTAGGGCTTTTGGCATATGGAGTTGCTGGCCATCTCTTCACGCCCTTGGCTTCGGGACATTCTCGGCCAAGGTCTCGCCCAAGTCCTCTCGCTGTTCAGCCTGACAACTCAAATATTGCAGCTTTCGCTGAAACTTCTGCTGTCGCGCCGCTTGCTGAGACCCATACTCCTTGGTTGTCGGGCTGCTCCTTGACCTGACAAATTCATTCTTGCACTCCTGTTCATCACCTTCTGTTCCAGTGGTGCTTATCCGACTTGTTCGTCGGATGCTATGGCCTGGACTTCTGCATCCTCAAGCTCCTCATGCTCCGCCTGGTTCTTCGGTGACGGAATTTGAAATGGAAGTTCCTTGTCGGGTTTAGGGTTTAGGGTTTGGGGTTAAGGGTTAAGGGTTAAGGGTTAAGGGTTAAAGGTTTAGGATTTCTGCGAAGGACCTGTGCGTCTACCACCCTCTCATTGGCTGATGCTTTGAGAGCTCAGGGTCTTAAACCTGAAGCCCGAAATCCTCAGCCCTAAGCCCTGAGCCCGGAGCCCTAATTAAACCCAAAACCTCTAAAACCTTTAAAGCCCCAAACCCTTAAACCCTAATCCCAGCCCGAAACCCTAAACCCCAAACCCTTAAACCTAAACCCTGGCCCTAAACCCTAAACCCCGAGCTTGTTGCACCCCACCTACGGCCCGAGAGTACCAGGGTCCCCCTGCGCAGATGCTTAAACCCTAAACCCTCAAAGCCTAAACCCTCAAAGCCTAAGCCCTAAACCCTAAACCCTAAACCCTAAACCCTAAACCCTAAACCCTAAACCCTAAACCCTAAACCCTAAACCCTAAACCCTAGGGTCCCCTTCTGCAGATGCCTCCAGCTGCGTCATGGTCTCAGCTTGGCCCTTCTGCAGCTCTTCCAAGCCTTCCTAGGAGCAATTTCTAGGGGTTTAGGGTTTAGGGTTTAGGGTTTAGGGTTTAGGGTTTAGGGTTTAGAGTTTAGGGTTTAGGGTTTAGGGTTTGGGGGGGCTTCTTTTTTGGGGGTTCAAGGGTTAGGGTTTAAGGTTTAGCCCTTCCTGGAGGCACCCCAGAGCGCAGAAACCCTTAACAACCCAGAGTCCCAGAGGCTTTAACTCCCTCAAGAAGGGTTCAGGGTTTAGGGCTTAGGGCTTGGGGTTTAGGGTTCAGGGTTTAGGGTTTAGGGTTGAGGGTTGAGGGTTTAGGGTTTAGCGTTTAGGGTAGAAGGCAACTTCCTACTTGGCCAAGGGCTTACTTGGAGGCCCTTTGGCTTGGTAATTCCACTTAGTATCCCCCAGAAACACGATGATAGTCCCCATAACCCACCTTACTAACTCTACTTGCTAAGTCAAAAGGGCTTCCAAGTCGGGGAAAAGGGCTTAGGGATTAGGATTCGTGTTGGGGGAAAACTCAGTGTGCGAGTGTGTCTGCGTGCGCCCACATAGCGAGGCACCATGGAACAAGCAGAGATCAGGATTGCACAGGGCAGATTGGTTAGGGGGTGGCCGGGTTAAGGTGTAGGGTGAAACCCCATGAACCCATCCTTGGAGGCTCATGGTTAGCTAAACTACTGGGAGGGAGGGGGGGGTGAGAACATGTAAGGCACTAGAGTCGGTCAGAAGCTTGTTTGGCGTTCCCCTACAGCCCTAGACCCTCAACCCTTGAAGAAGTAGCCAAGCAGCTTCAAGTTTATCAGCCGTCGACGTGAAAAAAGCCGTTGCTAGCATTTAAAAACTTCAACCTACAGCTTTGGGGTTTGGAGGGTCCCCTGTTCAAACCCTCAAACCCTGAACTCTCTAAACCTTCAATACCCCCAAACCCTCAACACCCCACACACGCAATCCTATAAGAAGCCCTTAAACCCCCACCCCCAGACCTCAAAACCCACATGTGCGCACTTTTTGTTGGTTCCTATAATCAAGATGAACATTTTTTGGGAGTTTGTGGTTTAGGGCAATTTCCCATAGTTTAGGGCCAAGTTTAGGGCTTCGGGGTGTAGCCCTAAACCCTAAACCCTAAACCCTAAACCCTAAACCCTAAACCCTAAACCCTAAAAGTAGGGGCTTAGGGGCATCAGGACTTCGGGGTACTCCTCCCCGGCTTGCCTCCATGCCAGGCGTTTCTGAGATGGTCTGCACCGTTCGCAGTGCGGACACCTCTGCCGACACCTCGGGTTTAGGGTTTAGGGTGTTTTGGGTTTAGGGTTTAGGGTTTCGGGTTTAGCGTTGTGGAGGCCCCGGGGTGTGAGCGATGCATTCAATGATTTTGGGGGCTCTGGGTACCCCAGAACCCCTAAGCCAAAACACTCAAATCTCTTACTCATGGCTAGGTACCCTATTTGAGGCTTTGGATGAAGGCTTCCAGAAGTTAACGCAGGCTGTGGGCTGCAAGCTACAGAGGCTTCCAGGGTCTCCAGGCCTCAAAGCCCTCCTGGGTATGAGAGCAAATGCGGACACCGGAACCCGAAATCGACTAAACCGACTAAACCCACTGAAGTCACTGAAACGACTGAACCGACTAAACTCAGGGGCCTTAGGGATTTGAATAGGGTGTTGGGGGTTTAGTATCGCGCAATTCCATAGAGACCAGAAGGGAGTGGTATTCGAAATTCTTCTGACCCCCCAACACCCACTAAATCCCAAAGCCTGAAACCCCAAACCTCTCTTCCACACCATGACTGTGAGACGATAGAGGTTAGGGTTTTGGGGTTTCTGGGTTTAGGAGGGTTTAGGGTTTAGGGTAAATCCCTAAACCCTAAACCCTAAACCCTATTAAGGTTAATAGGGTTGAGGGTTTAGGGCTTCAGGTTTGGGAACTTAGTGCAGGAGTTAGGAACTTGGAGGTCAGGGTTTGTGGCATGTCGAGGCAACGTTGGCGAGGCGAAGCCCCAAAACACATCGCAGACACACACTCAAGACACGCAGCATCCTAGCCCCTAAACCCTGAACCCTAAACTGCTCCAAAAAAAACGTCCAGGGAGAAAGGGCAAAAAACAACTCGGGCTCAACACAGCCACGGAAAACTATATAGGCCGCTGGCCAAACAAAAGCACCCTGTTCCCTAAACCCCAATCCTAAACCCAAAGCCCTGAACCTCAACCCTAAACCCTACTCAAAAAAGAGGCCTTGATGCCTCCAGGGCCTAAAGACCCTGTGGCACCTCGTCCAGCGCAGACCTCAGGGCCTCGACGTCTTTGCCAATTCCGTCCGTGCCAGCCTGCCCCATGAACCGGGGTCTGGAGGTTTCAAGTCTAGGTTTTAGGGTCTACGGTTTATGGAGGTTTAGAGGGTGTAGGGTTTCTAGGACTTATGAGGCTTGGTTCAAGCCTTAGGTGCTTCACCTTCAAGGCTTCGACCCTCAAAAAGAGGAGAATGCAACTTGCACTGACCGACGTGAAGCGTCTGGATCTTGGGAAGGATACCTGGTTCGCGCGCCCTTTCAAGGAGGTGCGGTGGCTGCTCTGGAGTTAGCGTTTAGGGTTTAGGATTTAGGATTTAGGGTTTAGGGTTTAGGGTTGTTCTCTATGTTGCTCGGTGTCAGCGACTTTTCCTCTACTTTGCCACTTGTCACGTGTAGTGCCCCCCCCCCCCACCGGTAAAGAGTAGTCTGTTCACTTTGTCTTCCGCTCTTGTTCTTCAAGCCATGGAACCTTAGCACGATGATTACGCTCGTGTTACCAGTAGGCGCGAACCCTAAACCCTAAACCCTAAACCCTAAACCCTGAACCCTAAACCCTAAACCCTAAACCCTAAACCCTAAACCCTAAACCCTAAACATTAAACCCTAAACCCTAAACCCTAAACCCTAAACCCTAAACCCTAAACCCTAAACCCTAAACCCTAAACCCTAAACCCTAAACCCTAAATGGTTGGAGCATCCATCCTAAACCCCGAACCCCCAGCACCCGGAGTCGATCAGATCTTCTGCACCTTCAGCGACGGCCCGAGAACGCGGACCTCCTCCTGGAAAGAGGCAAGAGGTTTAGGGTTTAGGGTTTAGGGTTTAGGGTTTAGGGTTTAGGGTTTAGGGTTTAGGGTTTAGGGTTTAGGGTTTATGGGTTTAGGAATGGAAGAGAGGGACTCGAGGAGTTCAGGGTTGTGTACCCCCCTTCCCATTATAGAATCGAATCCCCTTAAAGGGACCCCCTAAAAGGGTGCACTCATCTTCGGAACCACCAATAAAGGGTTTAGGGTCTAGGGCTTAGGGCTTAGGGCTTAGGGTTTAGGGTTTAGGGTTTAGGGACCATACATTTTGAGATGTGTCCATCTAAAATTTACAGTTTGGGGCTTGGGAAACAGCCCACATAAGGGCTTAGGGTCTTTTGTGGTCCATGAGGTGGCCCCTCTTATTCAGGGCACCCGAAAAGGGACCATCATTTTGAGAACTCACCATTTCGAGTTCAGGGCTTAGGGTTGAGGCCTTGAAGCCTACGACATCTAGCCTTTGTGGGCTTTGTGCGCCCCCAATGCAATGTATCAGGAGACCATGAACTTAGGCCCCATTGCCTCTAAACCCTAAACCCTGCACCCTGAACCCTGAACCCTGAACCCTAAACCCTAAACCCTAAACCCAAAAACCCTAAACCCTAGACCCTAAACCCTGAACAGTGAACCCCTCAAAACGTTCCTAAACCCTAAACCCTAAACCCCAAACTCTAAACTCAAACATTAAAACCTAAACCCTCCAACCTGCAACCCTAAGCCCTGAACCCTAAACCCCAAACCCTAAGCATCAACCCTGCACACCAGAGAGCCTAAAGCCTCGACCCTCAGCAGAAAAGAAGCCCCGAACGCATGTAAACCCTAACTCCTAAATCCTAAACCCTACACCCTACACCCTACACCCTAAACCCTAAACCCTAAGCCCTAGACCCTCTGCATCCCAAGCCAGAAAGAAGCGTTTCGGGGGGCATCCTTCAACGCGAGGAGGCCATAGTCCAGGCCTTGGCATCATGCTCGGTTTAGGGTTTAGGGTTTAGGGTTCAGGGTTTAGGGTTAAGGGTGTAGGGTTTAGGGTTTAGGGTCTGAATATCATCCTCTTAAACCCAAGAGGAAAAATATAATATACGATGTGCGTTTTGGGGTTAGGATGGCCCTTACTTAAAACAGTCTGAACAAAAAATCCTGAGTATGGTCCTCTTAAACTTCAGGGAACAGATTAGATGTCCCAATTACCTACCGAGAGGGCTTCGGGCTCGGGCTCCTCTCTAAATGAGTTGGGGACTTGATCTAGGAGGGTTTAGGGTTTAGGGTTTAGGGTTTAGGGTTTAGGGTTTAGGGTTTAGGGTTTAGGGTTTAGGGTTTAGGGTTTCAGGTCTAGGGGCCTGCATTATGTAACCTTTTTCGGGCCCTCAACTCGGGGATCACCCAAAAGGGCCCATAATTTCAAATGCCTGCTTGAAGGTTCATGGTACTTAGCAACCCAATTATATCTACAATCACCCAATTCTCAACCCATTCGGGTACTTAAGGGGCGTATAAGTGGGTTATAACTACACTTATAATTGGGCTACTAAGCACCCTGGACCTCCAAGTAAACCTCACTGCTCCCTGGCCTGCTTTGTCAACCCTAAGCCATACACTTAAAAACCCCAAGCGCTGAACCCTAGACCCTAATCCCTGAACCCTCCAGTTTTAAGTTCGAGGCCGTGGAGTGCACAGGGTGTGTTTAGGGCTTTCTGGCTTCAGGGTTGCGAGGGTTTAGGGTTTCAGGGCTTAGGGTGCATTGTTAAGGGTTTAGGAGTTAGGTTTTGCAGCGGAGGGGACATGGTGGCCAGCGGAGGCTAAACTCCTTGCAACCAAGCTTCTCACAAGCCTTTCCGGCACATCATCAGGGGTCCTCATTTCTCTGCGAACAAGGGCTTCGATTTTCTGGTCTTTGTCTTGGGTTGACACAAGTTGAAAGGATGGCGGCCCTTAGTTCGCTCGCATCGGTTGATCAAACAGGAATGTCGATTGATCAAGCATGGATGGAGATCGAGATGTCAATGGCTGCAACTTCATCCCAGCCAAACATGGCGATCATCTCAGGATCATGTGATTGTCGTTTGCGTCCATGCAAAAGCTACTAGCTTGCCCAACAACTTCCAGGTAATGAGTTTTCAAATCATTAAAAGGGCGCACATGTGCATAATGGAGTTTATAAGTGAACCACCCTGGATATCAGAACCACAACAGCGCCCAAAGAGGGAACAGAGATGAGTTAACGGGCATTGGGCTCTCTCTGCTCAAAACTTACAAAGACATATCCCCCCTCCCCCCCCAATTCTGTGGGCATGTCCTCACATAGGCATGAAGTACCCCGCGTATCACCCCCAAATACTATGATGTCCTTTGCCCTAAAAGCCTTAAGGGCTGTAGTTTAAAGGCTTCTGGGCCCACAGGCCTTCGTTCAAAAAGGTTTTTTGGGACAGAGCCTCAGGGTGATACAGGACCGACCCCCCAACAAAAACACGTGGCCCAAACGTTAACCCTAAAGCCTAGAACCCACCCCCCCCCCCCCCCCCCAGACCCCAAACCCTAAAATTTTGGGAAACTCCCATGTCCGTCCCAAAAGGAACCCTCAGGTCTGAATCCCTCACCCCTGCCTCCGAAAAACGGCTCTCTAACCCTGAACTTCCACACCAAACGCCCAAAGGGGTTTAGGGCTTAGGGTTTAGGGGTTTGGGGTTTGGGGTTTAGGGGTTTGGGGTTTCGGGTATTCAGAAGCATTCCATTTGGCTGGTAAGCATAGCGTCTGCTCATCTTCTCAATGAAAATCTCTCTACGCTCATGTGCTCGAAGAGTTTGCTGCTCGCAGAAGACACTCAGTACGTGAGATGCCGAGGGTTCAGGGTTTTTGGGAACCCCTAAACCCTAAACCCTAAACCCTAAACCCTAAACCCTAAACGCTACACCCCAGTCGGTCCTCTGCTCGAGGCTTCCGAGGGACCTCTCGGCATCGGCGAGGCGCCTCTTCAGAGGTTCGACCGCCTCCCAGTGCACTGGGGTAGCAGGGGCTTGGCGTTCTTTTTGGGTTTAGGGTTTAGGGTTTAGGGTTTAGGGTTTCGGTTTTTTTTGGGCTCAGGGTTAAGGGTTAAAGTTTAGGGTGTAGGTGCGAAACCACCAGGAAGATAATAAAACCCACAGACCCCTAAAGACATTGCAAAGCACCAAACCCCCCCCCCCCCCCAGCCCCCAAAACACCACCAACCCCCCCTAGCACCCCACACAAGCCCTCAACAAGTTTTGAGAGAGCCCTTCATTCTCTGGAGCATGAGAGCCCCCTCAAAGCCTTTTAGGGTTTAGGGCCTGAACCAGAAAGTGCAGGAGCCCATGAAGGACTACACCCGAAACCCTAACAGTAACAGCCCTTAACCTAGAAACCCAAAATCCGTAAATAAGCCCTAAAAGTTGGGAGGCTCCCGATTATACTAACAGATCCTTAATAGGGATCATAATGGGGGGTACTAGAATCCGTATTAAGGACTGTTACTGTAGTACAAGGGGGAACATCCCAACCTGAAAGCGCTAAACCCGACTCCCCTACACACCTCCCAAACAAACTCCCCGCAACAAAAGCCCGAGGTGCTTGTGCTAGCCCAGAAACAAAGAAAAAACAAAAACCACCCAAACCCTGAGCTCTAGACCTGAAACACTAAACGTTAAACCCAGAAAGCAACTCAAGTATGGAGCCTAAACCCTAAACCCTAAACCCTAAACCCTCAACCCTCAACCCTCAACCCTCAACCCTCAACCCTCAACCCTAAACCCTAAACCCTAAACCCTAAACCCTAAACCCAGACAACTCAAGTATGGAGCCTCTTGGAGGGCTACGACATCGGCGGCCGCCGGTGCGCCCATTGCTTCCGGGTCACCTTGGCCACATTGGAGTCCCAGGGTTTTAGGGGGCTTTATGGGCCTTAGGGTTTAGGTTTGGGGTTTGGGGTTTAGTTGTTTAGGGGTTAGGGTTTAGGGGTTTAGGGGTTTAGGGGTTTAGGGGTTTAGGGGTTTAGGGGTTTAGGGGTTTAGGGGTTTAGGGGTTTAGGGGTTTAGGGGTGTAGGGGTTTAGGGGTTTAGGGGTTTAGGGGTTTAGGGGTTTAGGGGTTTAGGGGTTTAGGGGTTTAGGGGTTTAGGGGTTTAGGGGTTTAGGGGTTTAGGGGTTAGGGGCTTGGGATGACCTGGCGACCTGGTGTTAAGAAGGGGGGGGGGGGTTCCCGGTCTAAGGTGCTTTGGGAATGTTCTTTGAGGGTTCTGCTGCGCCGGGGATGGCCCGGGGGTGGTTTTGGGGGGGGGTATCTCGTGGCGAGTTTTGGGTGTATCTTGTGGCGGCTCTTTCTCTGTGTTCTACACCCTAAGCCTTAAAACCTGAACCCGAAACCCCTTTGTGTGTGCAATCCCTTGAACCAGGCAGCCCTTCAACGCCCCTCTGAAATCACGCACCGTGTATATAGGACCTGAAGCCCTAAATCCCTTACAAAAGACCCTACAACCGAAGAGCCCGAAGCCCCGAACCCTTGCCCCAAAAAGGTTTAGGGTCCAGGGCGTCGGGTTCGGGTTTCGGGTTTTGGGTTTCGGGTTTCGGGTTTAGGGTTAGGGTTTAGGGGTGCAACGAGCCTACGTATCCAGAGATCTGCTCTTATCGCCCACGAGCCACATTGGGTGAGGGCCGACTCGGCATCTTCCAGGCGGGCAAACAAACGTGCCACATCGCCGTCCTTGGGCTCAAGGCTTGAGGCGTCGGGTTTAGGGTACAGGGTTAGGGTTAGGGATTGGGTTTATAGGGTTTATAGGGTTTAGGGTTTATAGGGTTTAGGGTTTAGGGTTTAGGGGTTGGGTTTAAGGTTTAGGGTTTAGGGTTGAGGGCTTAGAGGGTGTAGGGTCGAGGGCTTGGGGTTCAGGGCTTCGGTGGAAGGTTTAGGGTTTCGGATTTCCAAGGCTTAGAGGGCGTATAAGGGTCGGGACACTTCAACTCTACGCACAACAGCAACGGCATGCAACTCCCAAACTCCAAGGATCCGTGTTCCTGAATGCCTTAAGCCTTAAAAACCCTGTACCCTAAACTCTCATGGGGTTTAGGGCTTTGGGAAGAGAGCTTGGAGCCCCTTGTAAGCCCCGTAAAAGCCGAAAGTTTTGAACTCCCACTGACACCGGAAGAGCCGCCTTAAACTCCAACACTGAACCCGTAAGCTCTTCAACCGTAAACTACCATTTGCATAAGAACCCAACTCCCACCCGGAAAAAAAGATAAAACACAAATATTCTTCCCTATAAGGGTAATAAGGGGATCTATTTTTTCTTTATCATTTTTATTTATTTTTCTTGTTTGGTGTGTGTGTGTGTGTTCTTGAGCAAGTAGTAGTAAACCCCAAGCCTCTGCCATCCCCAGACTTCCCCCTCAACTGGAACATGCTTCCTTCTCAGACCAAGAACAAACAAGTCGGGGTTTAGGGTTTAGGGTTTAGGGTTTAGGGTTTAGGGTTTAGGGTTTAGGGTTTAGGGTTTAGGGTTTAGGGTTTAGGGAGTTTAGGGCCGGTATAGTGTTTAGGGGTGAGGGTTCAGGGGTGAAGACACCCATAAGAGGCAGATATTCTCATTTAGGAAGCTGCTGACGGTAACAGTTGGTCAATGCGTGTTAGCGCTTTGGCTCTGGGCTCTCGCTAAACCTTAAACCCTAGCGCCCAAACTGAAACCACCAACGAAAACCCTGAGCCCGGCACCCTCAACCCCACAACGAAATGGGGGGGAGGGGGGGGGGGGGGGGGGGGGGGTGATCACATGAACAAGAGTTGCGTTTGGGTTTAGGGTTTAGGGTTTAGGGTTTAGGGTTTAGGGTTTAGGGTTTAGGGTTTAGGGTTTAGGGTTTAGGGTTTAGGGTTTAGGGTTTAGGGTTTAGGGTTTAGGGTTTAGGGTTTAGGGTCTAGGGTCTAGGGTCTAGGGTCTAGGGTCTAGGGGTTTAGGGTTCAACTTGAAATTTGACTTCAAAACCCCTGGTTTTGGGAAGTTTGGGTCTAGGATCAGGCAGTTCGGGCTGCAGGGTCTTTAGGATTCCTAGGGCTTGAGGGCTTCCGGGCTTTAGGTTTTGGGGCTGTAGGGATTTCGGGATTCTGGGTGTTTGGGAAGTAGGGTCTTGAGGCTACATGGCTTTCGGGATTTACAGGCTTATGGGGTTTTCTGGCTTATCCTTCTTCAAGGCAAGGCTCGAAAGGAGGGACCCTTACAAGGGACCTTAGGGGTCATGTAGAGGCTAGTCAGGTACATAGGGACTAGAAAAGGTAAAATGTAGGGGTGACCAAAGGGGAATAAGATTAAGGGCCCCTTCTAGGCCTAAACCCTAAACCCTAAACCCTAAACCCTAAACCCTAAACCCTAAACCCTAAACCCTAAACCCTAAACCCTAAACCCTAAACCCTAAACCCTTGCATCTTCAAAGCAGGGGGTCGATTCTTTCCACGGTCTCCTTGAAGGAGGACTTCGACTCGGTCTCCGAAGCCGACAGCACGTCAATCCTTGAAAAAAGTAGGGTTCAGGGTTTAGGGTTTAGGGTTGAGCTACTTGGAAGCTGTTTTGACGTAAAAAGTAGGGTTGATAGGGTGGGTTGTGGGGATGGTAATCGGGTTTCTAGGGGGTACTGCGCAAACTTTCGAAGTGTATGTTGGATTCGGTTGCACAACAGATTTTCGTAGGGGCTTTGCGTAACAGATTATGAAAGTCGATGACTCTTGCAGAGTTAGATGTTCTCATTCGGTCAGGGACCCCCCCCCCCCCCCCATACCAGCTTGCTTGCTTCGCCCGACGAATGCAAAGGATGCCCTGAAAGAAGCTAGTAAGGGATCAAAAAACCCTAAGCCCCAAACCCCTAGACCCTGAACCCTAAAGCCTAAACCCAATCCCTAAACCCTAAACCCTATAAACCCTATAAACCCTATAAACCCTATAAACCCTGTAAACCCTATAAACACTACAAACCCTATAAACCCTATGAACCCTATAAACCCTATAAACCCTATAAACCCTATAAACCCTATAAACCCTATAAACCCTATAAACCCTATAAACCCTATCCCCTTGAACCTGTGGGGAGTTATTCACTGGCAGAGGCGCGCAGCGCGAAGGCCCTGGAGTTCTTTGGACATGCTGGCGGCCGGGCCCTGGCAGCGGTTTTAGGGTTCAGGGTTTGGGCCTTGGGGGGTTTGGGGGGTTTGGGGGGTTTGGGGGGTTCGGGGTTTAGGGTTTAGGGTTTAGGGTTTGGGGTTTAGGGTTCGGGGTTTGGGGTTTAGGGTTTAGGGTTTGGGGTTTGGGGTTTGGGGTTTGGGGTTTGGGGTTTAGGCTTGAGGGTCAGGGATTACATAGGGCTTAGGATTCAGGGGGCGCGGGCAAATGGCTTCATCCAACTCGCTTTTGTTCCAAGTTGGGGTGGGAGGGGTGTTCATCTACATTACGGGCTGAAGCCCCTCGTTGGGTCCCTTTTGTTGTCTATTCCTCACAAGTTGAGGTTTTGGTTTCGGGTTGAAATCATCCTGCAACCTAAACGACCTCAGCTAAACACGTGACTCCGAAACCCGAACCCCGAAGCCCCAAGCCCTACGTCCTAAACCCAACCCCGAACCCCCTAAAGCCCTGAACCAAACATAAGCCGAAACCCTAAACCCTAAACCCGAAACCCTAAACCCTAAACCCTAAACCCTGAACCCTAAACCCCAAAACCAAACATAGCCTACACAGAGAGCCTCGGGAGCCTCTCCAAGAATTTCCCTGAGCTGGCTGTAGCTCACCTGGGATCAAAGGGTCTTAGGGTTTAGGGTTTAGGGTTTAGGGTTCAGGATTTAGGAGCGACACAGCGATAGACCCCTGCCTGCTCCATAAACCTCAAATCTGAACATCCAAAAGCACCCAACCGCAACGCCAACCGGCCCGTCCTCCCAACCCCTGAACCCGAAACCCTAAACCCTAAACCCTAAACCCTAAACCCTAAACCCTAAACCCTAAACCCTAAACCCTAAACCCTAAACCTTCATGGGTTCTATATGATCTATGGAACCGGGGACGCCCTAAACCCTAAACCCCGAAGAAATAGCAAAGTGGGCCCGGTGGCTGTGAGTTCATGCGTCTGGTCGTCCAGGGCCTGCAGGCCCTTCTTCATCTCCTAAGCTGCTGCACAGGCTTGGGGCCCTAAACTCTAAACCCTAAACCCTAATCCCTAAACCTAAACCCTCAACCCCAATCCTAAACCCCAAACCCTAAACCCCTTCGACTGTCGCGGGTTCGGGGGTTTAGGGTTTAGTGTTAGAGGGGTTTGGGAGAGAGGGTTTCGGGAGAGGGCTCAAGGGGGGTGGCAGTATGGGCTTCGAGCCTACAGGGTTTCGCTTGGGAAACACCCTAAACCCTAAACCCTAAACCCCTAAACCCTAAACCCTAAACCCGAAACCCAAAACTATCCGAACCCTAGGCATGCCAGCTCATGCAGTGTGTGGTTCAAGGCAGAAGCTGCTTGACTGTTTCGATCCCATGTTTCTGGATTCTTCAGGGTTTAGGGTTTAGGTTTAGGGTTTAGGGGTTTAGGGTTTAGGGTTAGGGTTTAGGGATTCTTCAAGCTCTTAGTAGCCATCTTGAAGTTTCTCCTTCGCAGTCTGCTGCTCCTACAGCTGTCTCCACTCTTTGAGGCGTCTCCATACCCACCGGCACCTGTGCAGCAGTAGCTCTGACATTGAGTTGAGGTTGAGGTTGATTGGGTACTTCCGGTTGGATGTGGCTAGCCCCCTTCAAGCCCCTTACCGTAAACTCCATGAAGTTTGGAACCTGGTCTAATGGCGATTAGTGCTGGGATTCCCTTTCGTATGGTGATGTTCCCACTGTTGGGAGTTTACTGTAGAACCCCTCAAGGCCTCTCCATGTTTTTGGACTCTTCAAAGCTTTACTGGGGTGTGAATCTAGGATGGCCCTTAACACCCTCTGAAAAATATTCCTGAACATGGGAAAACACAAAATCTCCCAAATCCATACCGACGAATTGGTTCTTATGCGTGTTAAGGGGCTTGACCGGTTGGAGTCTGAAGGTGGTAGCCCAGTCACCATGGTTATAACAAGGGTACCCTCTAGGGGGTTAGCTAGTGTATAAGGGAACCTTGAACCAAAAGAAGGGAACAAAGGGTACCACTTCACTACCAAGAGGGTTTTGGGTTAAATGATCTTCAGGATTTTGGCAGCCGGGATTCGGCCAGCTCTGCTTGGAGTTCTGCCGAGTTCGCATCCGGTTGCCCCTTGGCCTGAAAGGTTTCAGGCTTGTCGGGCTCTGGGGCTGGATGGCACTCGGCTTCCAAAGAAGGTTTAGGGTTTAGGGTTTAGGGTTTAGGGCTTAGGGTTTAGGGTTTAGGGTCTGAGCAAGTCGGACTTCAGGACTTCAGGCATTTACGGCTTCAGGGTTTCAGGATGTTCCCCCTTACACTAACAGTCCTTCATAGGGATTGTAGTACCCCCTACTGCAATCCCTATCAAGGACTCTTGGTATAGCTTTCGGGTTTTCCCTCAACCCTAAACCCTAAACCCTAAACCCTAAACCCTAAACCCTAAACCCTAAACCCTAAACCCTAAACCCTAAACCCTAAACCCTAAACCCTAAACCCTAAACCCTAAACCCAGGGTGTTGGGGTTCAAAGGAGAAAATAAGGAAGGTTTGGACCATACCCCCTTGATTTCTTGTAAGGGCTATGCCCAGGCGGTCTGCTGAATAATTGTTAGACGAGCGACCGCTGCCCCAGAAATTTTCCAAGCGTTTCAATTCTTTTCTGGAGAACGCCCAGGTTTAGGGGCTACACTCACTCTATACTTGGAGGTTCAGCGTACTCAGCAACCCACTTATAAGTGTAGCTACAGTCCACTTAGAAGCCCCTGATATCCTAATAGGGGTATAGTTTGGTTATAAGCACAGTTCTAATTGGGTCACAATGTACCATGAACCTCCAAGTGCTTGAAGGTGGGTAATTGTAACTTAGGGTTCAGGGCTTAAAGCGCTTTAAAAGAACCACCAACAAGGTTCAAACCAGCAACTATCCAATTGCCGCTAAACGCTAAACGCTAAACGCTGAACCCTAAACCCTAAACCCTTAAACCCTAAACCCTAAACCCTAAACCCTAAACCCTAAACCCTAAACCCCAAGAAGCAACTACGCTTGAACTTTCAAGTCGACTCGGAACATTCACTCGACCGCGGGAGTAACCTAGGAATGGAAAGGGTACCCTTTTTGGCATGAAGGGGATTATAAGGGAAACCCTAAACCCTAAACCCTAAACCCAAAACCCAAAACCCAAAACCCAAAACCCTAAACCCTAAACCCTAAACCCTAAACCCTAAACCCTACCCCAAATAAAGGAAATAAGGGCCGACCCCCGGTCCTAGTTCCCATCCGCCACCTCCAAACCATCGACTCTGGTGGAAAGGGCGTCAAGCAGCTCTGCCTGCACCCTAGACCTTAAACCCGAAACCCTAAACCCTAAACCCTAAGCCCTAAGCCCTAAGCCCTAAACCCTAAGCCCTAAACCGTAAACCCTAAATCCTAAACCCTACAGAGGTGCGCAGGGCCGTGCTGTACTCTTTCGGCTTTGAAGATGTAGAGGGGTGCATCACGGGCTTGCGGAGTCTTCGGTCTTCGATGTCTTCGGGTCAAGGGTTTAATTAGGGTTTAGGGAGTTAAAGTTTGGGGTTTAGGGTTTAGGATTTAGGGTTTAGAGTTTAAGATTTAGGGATGTAAAGTTTGGGGTAGAGTCTAGAGGCTTGCGTGAGAGTTTAGGCTCAAAGGTTCAGTGTTGAAGGGCTTTGCTCCTAAGGGTGTCCTTGCAGTTTAGGTTGTAGGTGAAGCTTTAGGATTCAGGCTCCGAAACGCGAACCCTTAACCTATTCTCAAATCGCATAATTAGGGTGGCCCAGGTGCCAAAACCCTAAACCCCGAAAACCGAAACCCTGGCTTGTGAGAATTTATGAAAAATGTAAACCTTAAGGCCCTCAGGGTTTAGGGTTTAGGGCTCAGGGTTTAGGATTTCGGGTTTAAGGGGGTAAACCCTAAACGAGACGACCCGAAGACGCAGGGGAGCTTCATAGTAGAGTTTGGCTACCCTATACACCTGGTTTTTTAGAAGTCCTGCCGTGAAATCGAAATATTCATCTACCAAGAGCCCGTCAAATGTAAAGATAGTGACCGAATAAAGGCTGATCTTCAACTCATCTTGCTCTCGTATCCTTTGCTCGTATCCTTTGCCTCTCTTCCTTTCTTGATCTGCTGTCAATTCTTTTGTGGCTAAGGGACTCAGCAACATTCGATTTGAGCATTGGTCGGGTTTTGCGGTCTACGCGGCTGAAATTTGATTACTGACACGGACTGGAAGTCGTCTAAACCCCAAAACCCAAAAAATCGGGGGGTAGTCGACTCAACAACCAGTACCCTAAACTCCTGAACCCTAAGCCCTAAACCCCCAAAAAACGGGTGTCTGCAGGATATGGGTAGTCTTCCAAAGTAGGGTCCTATATAGCACGGCAGCCTGAACATAACGACTCCAAAGGGGACCCTTCATTTATCCAAAGGGGACCCTTCGTTTAGAGAACTACCCATATGTCTTTACAGTGAGCGCTCTGGCAGGGGAGAGGTCTGAAAGCAGGGGCGATGTGCACGTCCGATGATCGCTTGTTTAGGGTTCGGGGCGTTTAGGGTTTAGGGTTTAGGGTTTGGGGTTTAGGGTTTGGGGTTTGGCGTTTGGGGTTTAGGGTTTAGGACAATGTTGTTCGCAAGGATGAGGAGCCCAACGCCGTCTACAAGTCACTACAAGTGCAGCTTCCGCCGTCTCCTGTGGAGAGGGCCAGATCGGCAAAAGGCCAGATGATGTGCAAAGCTACCCAGAGACTCCACAACCCCTCAACTCAGGAATATCACTTATTTCATATTAGGCACATTAGGGTTTCTATTAATTACTATACTTTAAGGGATATTTTCTTAAGTGAGGGGTTTGGGAGTCTCTGGGTACAAAGCAACAACTTGCAACGACATGGGTGCTCCCCCAAGCTGGTCATCGCACCCATTTGCTGCTTGAAGACTGGCCTTTTTCGGCCACAGGGGCATTTAACATACAACCCCTGCACCCTAAACCCTAAACCCTAAACCCTAAACCCTAAACCCTAAACCCCGAACCCCTAAACCCTAAACCCTAAACCCTAAACCCTAGCTGCTCGCAGCTTCACGGGTCTGGAATTTCGAAGATCTCGGAAAGGCCACGGCTACCGCTCCTTAGCTTGAGTCTGAAGGTGCGCAGCACAGGGCTGTGGGCTTTACAGGGTTTGGGGCATTGGGGTTAGGGTTTAGGGTTTAGGGTTCAGGGTTTAGGGTTTGGGGCTTTGGGGTTATAGGGGTTAAGTCGAGCTTAGGGTTTGGGGGGTCACGCTCTTACAAATCTGTTGGGTTCGTTTCCGCTTCAGCCCTTTTCCATCCTAAAACCCCTGTGAACAGTCGTCCTTTGTGCCGGACTCGCAACTTTTCCAAACCTCCAACCCTAACCCAAAATCCTAAACCCAAAATCCTAAACCCTATACCCTAGCCCTAAACCCCCTATGATATGGAGCTTTACGATATTCGGGGCACCTTGTTGGGGTCCTTCTCCTACAAACCCTAAACACTCTAAACCCTAATCCCTGAACCCTAAACACCCATACTCAATCTCCGATGCCACGGCTCCGGCTCAGGAGCAGATGGGAGGACCCCGCGGTTGCCAAAGAGGTCCAGTCATGTGCCTATCCCCTAAACCCTAAACCCTACACCACCCATTTTGAATCCTACGATTGTGGGATCTCTATTTGTGGCCCCGTTATATTCTCGTAAAACTCCCCTGCCTTGCCACCAGGCGCACAAAACTTCGGCTGGAAACCTGATCTCTGAGGCACTCAGGGCTTCGGGTTTAGGTTTAGGGTTTAGGGTTTAGGGTTTAGGGTCTCGGGTCTAGGGTCTCGGGTCTAGGGTTTAGGGCTTCATCTGCAGAGAAACCCACAAACCAGGTATTCCCCATAGTGGTTAGGGTTTATAGGCGTATCGGCTTCGGGTTATAGGGTTTGGGTTTAGGCATTGTAGGGTTACCGGGCTTGGGGCTTACATGAGGTCATAGGCTTTGGGGTTTAGAGCGTTCGAGAGCTTAGAGCACCACATGTCCAAGCAAATCCATCGCGAGGAGCCGCTGCCGTCCCAGGCGTACACGGTGTTCGGATCCTCAAAACTCTAAACCCTAAACCCTAAACCCTAAACCCTAAACCCTAAACCCTAAACCCTAAACCCTAAACCCTAAACCCGAAACCCTAAACCCTAAACCCTTGTTTGCATCCTCATGGGATCTTGCCAGAGCTAGGTGTTGGACGCCGCCAGCGACGAAGGCGTGGACGCCGTTCGTGTAGGGGCCTGCCAGTGTCCTTAATCCCTGGTTTGTTTAGGGTTTAGGGTTTAGGGTTTAGGGTTTAGGGTTTAGGGTTTAGGAAGAAAAAAGGATCCTTTTTGTTCATATGTAAGAAAGCCCATAACCCAAAAAGAAAAAAGGATCCCTAACACTGACCCAGCTGTCTGCAAGACCTGAAAGTCCGAGCCGCTCTTGGTGTAGATCCTTGTCAAGACTTCAGGGCTCATATGGGGTCACCCCAAACAATAAACTCCGCCCCCCCCCCCCCCCCCCCCAAAAAAAAGGGTCTACAGGGGGCGTTTCCTTGAGCCAAAGGCGTCATGCTCCGCCACTGCCAGGTAGAAGCCGCCGTTGACGTGGAAGGCCGCCAAGTCCACGGCCCAGGAGGCCTCCAAGGTGGTCCACAGTCCGAAGGATGCGTGGCCCCATCTGTAGATTGCTACGCCCCACCCTTCGTGGCAAGCAACTGCCAAGCACTTCTCACCCTCAACTTCGAAGTAAGCCAGAGCTCTGGGGTCGCTGTTGGTGCTGATGTCCTGATAGTCTTCGAAGGCGCTGCCGTTGAAGATGTAGACGGAAACAAGAGCATCCTGATGGGCCACGGCTAGGTAGGTCACCTTTGTGTCTCTTTGGTGAGAAAACACACGAGGCTTTATCGAAACACGGGGCAAACGCTCGGATAAAAGTAAACAACCCAGTGAGTTGGGGGCCAGTCACGCCATCGATCACAAAGTCCTCCAAAGCGGAGGGCAAGTAGGTCGGCAGGTTCTGGAATTCCGCAAACTCCACACCATTCCACCTGTAAATCGGTGATGTGGCATTTGCACTTTGTTCGAACTTGCTGAAGGCAAGGTAGGGGACCTCAAAGACCAAATGAACCGCAAAAGATCATATACCCTATACTACTACAATCTCTATCAGGATACATGAACATAAACCCCTTTAAAGTTTCATGTGAAGTAGGGTATATATATTTCTTGTACCCCCAAAAGGACACCAGGTATATACACTCACAAATTTTACAAAGGAACCTTATATACACTCACCAAAAACAGAAATTTAAACCCTGCTTCAATGTGGTCCCCAAGGGGCTGCACCGATTTCGAAGTACCTCACGTCGCGTGCATCCACCGTATCGAAGCGCTGAGTCTCGTTGAGGCTCGCTCCTGGGATCTGCGAACTGAAGGGATAGCAATTAGGGTTGAGGGTTTAGGGTTTAGGGTTTAGGGGGTAAGGTTTAGGGTTTAGGGTTTAGGGTTTAGGGTTTAGGGTTTAGGGTTTAGGGTTTAGGGTTTAGGGTTTAGGGTTTAGGGTTTAGGGTTTAGGGTTTAGGGTTTAGGGTTTAGGGTTTAGGGTTTAGGGTTTAGGGTTTGAGGTTTAATTAGGGTTTAGGACTGGGTTCTTGTTTAAGGAGCTGAACTTAAGTTGCCATAAACAGGCTTCTACAGTCGATGATGCAGCATCCTCTTTATGGTAGCTTCTGTTTAGCTCCTTACCAAGAACAGGGCTCATGCTTTAGGTTGTTTAAACAGGTTTAGGTTTAGGTTTAGCTCCTTAACAAGAACTCGGAAAAGCAGGGCTCATGCTTTAGGTTTTTGAAACAGGTTTAGGTTTAGGTGATTTTTAGGGCTTATAGGGTTTACAGGGCTTATGGAATTTTCTTTAGGGTTTTTGGGTTAATAGGGGGGGCGGGGGGGGAGGTGGGACGCGGGCAAGGCTCCATCCCAGCTGTATATCGGGGACGGCTCGGACTGGGAACAGGAGGCTGTCGCCAGATACTGCGTGCCGTTCCTGGGGTTTGGGGGGCCCTGGTCAAAACTGAAACTCTCTGGGCTTACTAGGGTTGCATAGGGAATACAACCCCCAGTCCTAAACCCTAAACCCTAAACCCTAAACCCTAAACCCTAAACCCTAAACCCTAAACCCTAAACCCTAAACCCCGCAGACCTTTAAAAGCACATCATTCCAAGGCAGCCCCCAGGTTCATCATGAAAGTCTCCAGGCCGCAGACGTTCTGAGCCGCGGTTTGAGAATGCGTTCGGGAGAGTGTGGGAGCTTTCGAACTCTAAACCCTAAACCCTAAACCCTAAACCCTAAACCCTAAACCCTAAACCCTAAACCCTAAACCCTAAACCCTAAACCCCCAAACCCGAGGGTGCTTTCACATAATAGCCCTAAGCGTCCTAAAACCCCATGATCCCTATCCAGGCATTCAACCTAAGCCGCACCAAAAAACACCTACAGCATCGAAGGCCAATACCCGATACCCCCGCGAGACCCCAACTTACTGAACTTCCTGGTGCTTAGAATGGTTAGGACTCAGCTGTTTTATTCTGAACCCTTCAAAGGTAAACAAGTGGGATATATGGTATCAGAACTCCTAAACTCTGAACCCTAAACTCTAAACCCTAAACCCTAAACCCTAACCCTAAACCCTAAACCCTAAACCCTAAACCCTAAGCCCTAAGCCCTAAGCCCTAAACCCTAAACCCTAAGCTGCGGTCCGGGCGCAGGAACACCCCGCATTTGCAGCGCCAGGCGGAGCTGCGAACTGGGGCAGGTCCCATCGAGGTCGCAGCCCTGGAGGAGCCTGGGGTCCCAAGACTCTTGGATTTGGGTTCTCTTCAATTTGTTCTGGTTGATCTTATGAGTCTTATTTTTTTGTTGGGGGGGGTGGGGTGGTTAGTTTGGGTTTAGTTTTTGTGGTTATTCTTATCTTGTATCATTGCTGTTATCTTCTTTTTGTTTTTGGGGGTCTCGCGCGGGGCGCGGCTCTGAAGCCGGGGCGTGCGTATAGGGTTTCCGGTTTAGGGTGTGGCTTCTTTCACTCAACGCCAAAGCAGCAGCGCTGTGAAAATCGTCAGGAAAGCGACTGGCAGCCACGCTGGAGGTCCAGCACCCATGGCGCCAACAACCCACTTGGCCCGAAGCCACTCGCATGTAAGCCAAGAAGGAAGTGCAGCAAGCTAGCATGCAGGTCTCTAAATTGCAGTCCGTGAGGCTCCCTAAATGTAAGGTTTCGTATTAACGCAGCCCTAAGCCCTAAACCCTAAACCCTAAACCCTAAACCCTTCTGCAAATCCCCCACGTGAAGACCTTGCAAATTATCCATGTCTCCTTGGCATGTGGCTTGCTTCTTGCCTTCCGTGCCTGAGTCCAAAGAAAACTTTCCTTCTTTAATCGAGTGTTTAGGGTTTAGGGGTTGGGGTTTGGGGTTTGGGGTGTGGGGTTTGGGGTTTGGCGTTTGGGGTTTGGGGTTTGGGGTTTGGGGTTTGAATTAGGGTGTGTCTGCTCGTAACTTGCGGCTGTCAACTGACCAGATGCCAGATTACTGCTTGTACAATGTCTTGCACGAGCGCACCTTGCCGTACGTTTGACGTATCATGCAAGGCGGCATCTCCTCAAATCGTCCTCTCGCGCTCTCTCTCTCTCTATCAGCTGCATCGTAACGCCAGTTTTAAAGACGCGAGTGACGTCTAGAGCTTTAAGACTCCATGCAGTGGGAAGCACGGAAAAACCAATGATCGGAGATAAAAGGCGTACACGGTTTTGGGTTTAGGAATTAGGTCTGGCACCTCTCAAGGGATTCAAGGGGTTAGGGTCGAAGGATAAGGATTAAAGGGTTCATATGGGCTTCGGGAAACCCTAAACCCAAAGTGCCTGCGCCACGGAAGCCATTGCCGCGTCCAGCTCTTGCTTCATGGCCTCTTCAACAAAGAATAAACTGGTTCATAGTTGGGATAGTAATAAAGTTTAAAATTTTTATTCTTATTGAGTTTAAGTACCCTTAAAAATGTAAAAAGTTACCCCACTATGACAAAGTAAACCCGAAACCCTGAACCCTAAATCCTGAGGCTTTGGGGCCAAGGTCTTGGAGACTAGGGTTTAGGGTGGGATTGGGGTTTAGATTTGGGCTTAGGGTTCCCTAAGCCCTAAAACATAAGCCCCTAAACCCTAAACCCTAAACCCTAAACCCTAAAACCTAAACCCTAAACCTAAACCCTGAACTCCGAAGCTCAGGGTCCTTCGACCCTCAACTGGCGATGCAGATGGCTCAGAGGTTGATTTTTAGATCTGGTTGTGGGATCAGTTAGGGTTTTGGGGTTTAGGGTTTAGGGCTAGGGTTTAGGGTTTAGGGTTTAGGGTTTAGGGTTTAGGGTTTAGGGTTTAGGGTTTAGGGTTTTGGGTTTTGGGTTTTGGGGTTTAGGGTTAGCGCTTAGGGTTTAGGCTTGAATAGCGGGTTTGAGCAGCATGGGCAGGCCGGGCTCTGTAGGGTTTAGGGTTTAGGGTTTAGGGTTTTAGGGTTTAGGGTTGTAGGTTTGTGGGTTTTATGCAGGTGCTGCTTCGGGTCTAGGTTCAGGGTTTCAGGGATTCAGAGCTTCAGAGAGTTGTAGGGTCTTAGGGTTTTAGGGTTTAGCTTTCCCGGGAATGAAGGGATGCAGGAAGAATTTTCAGCAGTTCGTGCATCTGCCTCCCGGGCGGCTGCATGTTGGATCTCCCTCTCCTGAGGCACAGACGTGGCCCACGAAACCCCCAAGCAAACCCTAAACCCTAAACCCTAAGCCCTAAACCCTAAACCCTAAACCCTAAAACCCTTAACCCCTATGCCTTGTAGCCCCTAACCCCAAACCACGAACCCTAAGCCCTCTTTCATTGAGGTTTTGGCGCAACGGTCAGGGCTTGGGGTTTTGGTTTCTTTAAGATATGTCTCCAATACCCTCTACAACAAACAAGGAGCCCCCTCCAAAAAAGATTCAACTACTGGCCCTTAAGCCCTCAACCCGAAACCTTAAACCCTAAAGCCTAAACCCTAAAAGTTATAACACGAAATCGCAGCAATGTTTAGGGTTTGGGGGTTAGAGCAGAGGTTTAGGGCTTGTGCTTCAAGGTTTGGGGTTTAGGGTTTGGGGTTTAGAGTTTGCGGTTTAGAGTTTGCGGTTTAGGGTTTGGGGCTTGGGTTTGGGGTTGCGGGTTGTTTTTTCAAAAACTAGAGTCTAGAGTCTAGGGTTTAGGGTTTAGGGTTTATAAAGTTTAAGGGAAGACGATTTCTAGACAAACCCGCAAGGCTGATTTAAACAACCTCCAGTCGTACAGCTTCTTGATCCTTCAGCCTGACACCTTCAACTGTATATATATATATATATTCTTTTAACAGCAGCCCGGCTTAACTGTGCATTGGTCCGAAGCATGTTTACAAACTGCGGTCAAGGAAGGGTTCAGGGTCTATAGCGCTTGGGGGCTCAGGGCCTTTGGGGTCTAGGGTGCAGGGTTGAGCTTGTGAAGGGTTTATGGTTTCGGGTTCCCGGTTGAGGCGTTCAGGGTCTAGGCAGCCCGGTGCATCCCTAAACCCTAAACCCTAAACCCGAAACCCTCAACCCTAGCCCAGAGGGGTACCCTTTCTTCATTCTGCTGGCTCATTTCTCGGATGGGAAACAGATTACAAATGGGGGGTGCAGGGTGCGGGGGTTCGGGTTGAGGAAGAACAACCCTAAAATGTAGACCCCGAACCCTGAACTCTAAACCCTAAACCCTAAAACCCTGAACCCTAACACCCCAAACCCGAAACCCCAAACCCCAAGCCCCAAGCCCTTAACCCCAAACCCTAACCCTAAACCGTACCTCAAACCCCAAACCCAAAACCCCAAACCCCAAACCGTAAACCCTAAACCCTAAATCCTAAACCCTAACCCCAAACCCTTATAAACCCTAAACCCTAAACCCTAAACCCTAAACCCTAAACCCTAAACCCTAAACCCTAAACCCTAAACCCTAAACCCTAAACCCCAAACCCTAAACCCTAAACCCTAAACCCTAAACCCTAAACCCTAACCCAAAACCCTAACCCTAAACCCTAAACCCTAAACCTAGACCCCAAACCCCAAACCCTAAACCCTAGTGCAGGCTCACAACTGTGCCTGCAAGGCTTCGGCCAGCGCCGTTTGGAGCTTCTCCTGGAACGCCTGAAAGAAGTTAGACGGATTTGCTGATAGGGTTCTGAAGGGAGGTTTCAGGGTTTAGGGTTTAGGGCTAGGGTGTAGGGTTTTGGGTTTAGGGCTTTGGGCCCAGAGTGAGATACTTGTACTGCTGTGTATAAGGAACTGTAAGGGGAGTCGAGTGGTGGGTTATGTGCTCTTCTCCAATCTTCCGATCTGTGGAAAGTCACTTCTTGGTGGCACACCCTAAACCCCAAACCCCAAACCCTAAACCCTAAACGCGCAAGGAGCTTCGCGAACTTGCCCTGAGACTCTGGGGCGACCTGCTCCTTCAATTCCAGCGTCTCCGTTTTCGGGCATGGCAACTTGGCAACTGTTGTCTGCGAGCATAGGGCTTCAGGCTTAAGGTTTTTTGTTTTTTTTTTGGGGGGGGTTGAGGAATAACTTACTTTCTTCTGGCCCTAAACCCTAAATCCCGAAGCAACCCAAAACCCGAAGTCCGAAAGGGACAGGGTTTGGGGTTTAGGGTTTAGGATGTTTTAGAACTGGGGAGCGTAGTGGTTCGTGGTTCATGGGTTAGGGCTTCGGGTTCTGATGGCATTAGCAAAGATCCACATAACTTTCGAATAGAACTGAATCTGCTTGTTGGGTTGAATCCTAAACCCTGAACCCTAAACTTACTAAACTCCCCAAAACCCGAGGAGCGTATGGTTTCCGAACCTCGCTTCGTTCCGTGCTTGTACGGGTCCGAAACCCTATTTGGAGGTTCAGGGTACTTAGTAACCCACTTATAAGTGTACTTAGAACCCAAATATAGCCCTATTAGGGTACCTACCCTGAACCTCCAAACCCTACACCCTACACCCTACACCCTACACCCTAAACCCTAAACCCTAAACCCTAAACCCTAAACCCCCGAACAAGGGCCCTCGCGCCGAGCTGGCCTCCAGCAGCGCATCCTTCTCGGACGCATTTTCCTGCCATGCCATGATGGATTTCAGCCTCTACCCATCGAAATCCTAAGTCCTAAACCCTAAACCCCGAACCCTGAGCCCTGAACCCTCAACCCTGAACCCTAAAACCGAAACCCTAAACTCTAAACTCTAAACTCTAAACCCAAAAACCCGAAAACCCTAAAACCTAAAACCCTAAGACCCCCAAGCAAGAATTCTTGAGGTCAGGTGGCCTCGGCCTAGAGCCGGCCCGGGTGAAAACAATTGGATTCCCTAAGGGGCCCATGTACGTAAATTGGGTGTTTAGGGTTTAGGGTTTAGGGTTTTAGGGTTTTTAGGGTTTTAGGGTTTTAGGGTTTTAGGGTTTTAGGGTTTTAGGGTTTTAGGGTTTTAGGGTTTTAGGGTTTTAGGGTTTTAGGGTTTTAGGGTTTTAGGGTTTTAGGTTTTTAGGGTTTTAGGGTTTTAGGGTTTGGGGGCCAAGTGAATCATGAAATGTAAGTACATGGACCATTAGGTCTTAGGGATTGTGGTGGCTATCTTGCATCGAGGGGCTTCGGGCTTTAGGTGTCAGGGTCTTGGTGTTTAGGGTTTCAGAAGCTAGGGTTATGGTTAATTGTAATGTGTTATAGGGTTGGGGTTTAGGGTCAATGTGTATATTCTGATATCGAAGTCTTCTAGGTGATTATTCCAGCGCCCTGTGTCCTGAAACCAAAACCATATAGCCGAAACCCTCAACCGCAAACCCTGAAAAAGAGGCAACAGAGCAAAGTAGCCTGACCCCCCACTTCTGAACCCTGAAAGCTAAACTAGTCTACCTAAAATGCGGAATCTTGAAGCCCGAAATTGGGGTTTGGTGTTGAGGGATGAGGCTTTAGGGACATATGGCATAACCCTAAACCCTAAGCCTCATCCACAAACCCTAGCTCGACACGCCTTCACCGCCACCACACGCCTCTCCTCGACTGCCTGCCAGAGGAGGTGGGTCAGGATTTTTCCTGCTTCAGTGCCCTGCAATGTAAACCCCAAACCCTTAAGCCCCTCAATTCTACACCCTAAACAGCCACTAACCCCCTTTAAATCCTAAGGTGAGCTTCAGCTTCTGGAGGTTTTTTCTTTAATACGGCGCCCCTATTATACAGACCCCCAAAAGATGCCTCCAAAAAGCTTCAGTGCGCAAAAGCCAACCGTAAGACCTAAACTCCTATAACTCGTAAACCCTAGCCCTAAACCCTGGACCCTAAGCCCTGAAACTCCTATAACCCTCCCCCGCCGATTGCCAGTAGGAAAGCGTGTCAGGGTGTAGGGTTGAGGCTTGGGTTTTTGTTACCCTAAACCTTATATAAACCCTACACCCCAAGCCTTTCCACCCCCAAAATGGCCCCAAAACAAAGGCAGACAAAGCGATACCAAAGAGCCTTCAGGGTCTAGGGTTTGTGGATACAGAAACAGGGCATCTTGCGCGTTGAATGTTGGGAGAATAAGCAAGAAGGTTTTTTCCAAGAGTTTAAACTATTGGTTGCAAGGGCTTGTTCTAGGAGTTCTGCTAGTAACAAGTAACTAACTAACTCGCCCGCCCAGAGTTTGTTTGTCCAGACAGAACAACGTTTGCTATCTCGGTTGGCTTGAGTTTGTATATGCACAGAGAACAAACGTTTGCGAGATGACAAAGTCGCCTGGCTCGAGTTTGTTTAGCCAGGGAAAACAAACGTTTGCAGGAAACCAAGGTTTGAGACAACTGTTTCGGAGAGAGAAGAAGCCAAACTGACCCCCCTGGCTCGAGTTAGTTTAGCCTGCAAGGGACCCGCGCCCAAGCGAAAAGAGAAACGGAAAGGTGAGGGTTAAGCCTCACCGTCTGTCCTGGACAGGCCAACGGACATCGGCCTTTTTGACGACAACGTCAGTACTCGGCTAAGGGATGGCCGGCACCCAGACCACCTTTAGCGTAGCTAAAGTATAACCCCAAATCGTAACCCTTTGCCTCTGGAGGTGGTTCAGGGTTTTGGGTTCAGGGTTTGGTAATGCCATTCTCCTCAGCCAAAGCTTGTGCATGATGGCTGGATTCATGATTGATTTTGTCCAGGATAAGTCCGGCACTGACTCGTTTAGAGCCAGCGTGGCCTCTACCTCAGGCACCAACGGATTTGGATGGGCTTTGGCAATCATGTGCGATCGCAATCCTTCAATTGCGATCAATAATTTTAGATTCGCGAGATCGGCAGGCCGTGACAGCTGAATGGGACAGGAATACGTGTCAGCGTTCTCCAACTGAGCCTCAGGCAAAGGAATCTTTTTGGAATCCAAAACATGACGGCTTAATTTAGGTTCTGAAGCGGTGCCGGCATTTATTACTATATACATTTAAAACTTGGAACACCTGAAGTTTGAGATATAATTGAAGAAGCATGGCCAAATTCACATGCTGGTTATGCTGGAGTGAAGGGATGCGTTTGTGTTGTGTGTGTGCTTACTTTGGTGGAAGCTTGAACCGCGCAGAAGCAAAAGCGCTCCTCCTTGTACTCTACTATACATATACTATACTATACCATCCAGTACAATAGCATGCTACATTTTCATACTGTATAATATTTTTCTAAGTAGGCTTTAGGGGTCCACGGTTTGAGGGCTTATCGCCTCGAGAAAGGGTTTGGGGGACTCCGAGGGTTTGGGCCTTCAGCGCCCGTTTCGGTTGCAGGGTGAGAGGCTATGGGGCTTTGCGCCGTGCCAGTCGCTAGGCTCTGGCCAGACCATCCAAACGGAATACAAAAGTGAGGTATGTCCACGATTCAGGCCGCATCGATTTCCGCTTCTCTTCCCCCTTTGACCTGCTCAACATTCAGAATACAAGTAGTACAAACGTGAAGGGACCTCACTCCAGAGTATGCATAACTCGCCTAACTTCACTTCAAGCTACAGCAAGTACACCCTTCAACATTGCTCCACAGTCGGCGCTGGCCGAGTGCAGCAACAGACGTTGAAAGAAAACAGCAAGAACCTCTAAACCTGCAGGAACAAGTGCAACTGTGAAGAAGCAAGGAAGCCCGTTGCCCAACACAGTCCCAATGCCCCCCTTCGTGTGTTACAGCGTGTTGCAGTGTGTTGCAGTGTGCTACACAGTATTGTTTTTCCATGCCGCAGGCACCGCAGGCATCGCAGGCCTTCCAAAAATGCCGAGGGTGGGCGGTGCTCTCTGTTCAGGTTGGCACTGCCCCATGCCCGACACTCCCGCAAAGCTGCGGATTCGAGATTTGCGCGAGACCGTGCCAAGCATCCCATACTGATAAAGAGACCCCAGCTCCTTCCTCGAAATCTTGCAAATTTCGAACCAGCATCGTCCACAGCCAACAGCCTAGCAGGAAGTTCGAGATTCGCCTCATTCCTCCCATTCGAAGGTGTCCTGGGCATCATCGCGTGCGACTGTCCCACAGCGCGAAAAGAAGTCACCGGGACACCGGCTGTCAATAGGGTGGGCCATTCAAATTTGACCTTGCAGCAACTTGCAGCGCGGCCGGCGTCCAGGGGAGCGAACCACGGCCTGCACTCCCGGAAATATCTCATCTGCCAAGTGGTCATAGAAGTGGAGACGGGCCTGTTTCGAGTGATTCCACACAAACACAGGAACGCACGCACGTCCTGCGCAGTTCGACTTGCGCCTGGCGACGCTTGGGGGTCTTTCCAAAGCTGCGTGGGCAGGGCAGCCTGGCGCGGGGCGCGCAAAGATTTCCTAATAAGTTAAGGAAGCAAAGCAAGGCTAGGACACTTCACCTTCAGGAGGGAGGTACTGCACGGTTTCTGCCTCATCGGCCCACCTCTTCAGCATCCACTGCCTCTCTGAGACTCTGAGCGTCACAAGAAGCAAAGTGTCGGCCCCAAATGCCCTTGGCGCCCTGCTCCAGGTGTTCCTCTTCTTCGTCACTGATGACGAAGTGTTGGGGTCCCTCCTCAGGAAAACATGCAATGATGCTCAGCCCGAACCTGCTAGCCTGCAACCCTTCACCCTTCACGCCAAGCGTCGACCCACAGATCATTCTATGATGATTGAGGCTTGGGGCGTGCTGAACCCTCGCGTCGCCTGCCCGGCAAGTGTCACCACCGCGTTTCCACCTAAACCTTTCTTCACAAACAAGCATTTTGCAGACTATGTATGGGAGCCCCCTGAGCACGTGCGTGAGGAAGCTGCTGCGAACGCGCACGCGCAAAACTCTCTCATACACAAGCCACGAGTTCTGACAGAACTTGTTCAGGCAAAGACTCTATTTCACACAACGCCAGTTTGACACACGAATTCATTTACACCGAGACGTCGTTGCACAAACAACTAGGTACGCAAACCCGGCGTTTGCGCGTTGACGCAACCCTTGCTTCTTCACTCGACTTAAACCTCTTACAAAGCGCCAAACAAGCTTCACACAAACAGGCTGTTACACCACGGCATTATAATATGGCGTGCCTTCTCTTGCTTTACCTTGCTGTCCTGGAAACCTGTGTCTTGACGCACACAGTTTCTCACCGAGACAAACCTTTCTCGGAAACCCGGTTGTCCAATAGTTGTTTTCTATGTCTAAACGAACTTGCGCCTGCCCTGTTTGAGAATAATGAGGAGTCCGCAGCCCAACAAGGAAAGTAAATCTTGGGGTTGCGGATTTTGGGATGTAATTAGGGCGTGGGGCTTAGTTCAGCACGGCTGAGATTGAGGGTTCTATAGGTGTGACGGAAACCCTAACCCCTAAACCCTAAACCCTAAACCCTGCTTCGGGTTTCGGGTTGAAGGCTCAATTAGATGCCGGCCTCCAGTCGAGCAAGTCCTTCTCGCAGCTCATCGATCGATCTGCCCTGGCTGACTCTACTTGGGTTTAGGGTTTAGGGTTTAGGGATTAGGGGTTAGGGTTCAGGGTGAATTTCATTGCCCTATATAAACACCTCAACCGCCCCAAACCCTCAATCCACCAACCCCCTGGCCCCGCCTACCCCCCCCCCCCCCCCCCCCCCACAGCTCACAAGGGACTCAAGCACGCCAACCCCCCCACGTCGCCACAGCTCCATGCAAAGCATTGGGGGTTTCAGGGTTGACGCAAGCTCCCCCCCCCCCCCCCCCCCAACCAAAAACAGAACCTAAACCCTAAACCCTAAACACCCGAAACCCTAAACCATATTCCCTAAACACCCTAAACCCTAAACCCTACATTCGAAACAGCCATCCCAACAGCCCTGAGAACAAACTTTCCAAAAGGGCCCAGCCTGCAGTTCGACCTCCGCTGCTCTTGCCTTCCCACTTTAAAGGGCCGAGGGCTTACTGGGTTTAGGGTTTAGGGTTTAGGGTTTAGGGTTTACTTCAAAAATGTAGTCCGAGTCATCAACCCAAGCTTAGGGCCAGCTGCCCTATTTAAAGCCCAAGCGAAAAAAACGCCTACAACCTCTAAAAAAACCTAAACCCTAAACCCTAAACATTAAACCCTACACCCTCCTCATCCCTAAACCAAACTGAGGGCTTGGTGGCTTTTCAGATTTCGGGGTAACATGCAACTATGGCTTGAATGCCGCAGGCTCAGGGGAGGCAGCTTCGGGTTCCATGGCCTCAATGCTTTAGGGTTCAGAGTTTGGGTACAGAGTTTAGCTAGAGGGTTGGGGTTTAGGGTTTAGAGGGTCTAGGGCCTAGAGATTATAGGATGTAGGGTGCGGCAGCTTGCGTAGCTTCACTCTGGGTGATTGTGCGAAGCAGTCTGTGAAGCAGCCGGAGCTCGTCCCAAGCCTTCTTCAAGCTTTGCCAACCCCGTCAGCTGACGCAGGACGCGTTGCGCAACGCGGCCGCTCAGGGCATTCCCGACCGCGCAGTTCGACGGCTCGTCGGCTGGCTTGTGTCGCATGCACTTCTGCACCTAAGAGTTCTACCTCGGACCCTTACCCTAGTCTTCTTCGACCCCAAATGGCGGGGTCGAGCTGAGCAACCCCAAAAACCCCTGAAGCGGACCATTTTGTCCAACGTGCAAAAAAGTAATAACAACAGTTTTCTGAATGGGATCGACCCCATTTACCCCGACAAAGTGTTCGGTCATTATCGCTCGATTCGACCCCATTTCCCCGACCAATCCTTTGATCCTGAAATCTGGCCTCGACCTAATTTCCTCGACAATGCCCGACCCTGTATAGGGGCTTGCTTCAGGGCGATTAAGCCCCTGATCCTTGCCCGTACCGCACACACACACAGAGACACACAGAGAGGCACACACAGAGAGACACACACAGAGACACACACAAAGACACACACACAGAGACACACACACACACACACACACACACACACACACACACACACACACACACACACACACACACACACACACACACACACACACACACACAACCACCAAAAAACCGTGAGAAAACCGTGAGAAATCGTGAGTGCTCCGGGGCCGTGCTTTCCGCAAGTCGTCTTTTAGCTTTCAGCATCCCAAATCCGCCACCGTGAGAAAAGCGTGAGAAAGCGTGAGAAGGTGCCAGTCGGATGCGGTTTGTTGTGCAAAGCACCCTCTAACCCTGAGCGAAAAGCAAACCCCGAGCTTGTTCCGGGATGTGTGGGCTGTCTTCGGCTACAAACGGAGCGGGATGAGTTTTCTTCAGGCCCCAAAACCTAGACTCTTCTCGAAACCCTAGTGCCGAGTTCGTTGAGGGGGCTTTGGGGCTGTTGGGGTTTCGGCCCTAGATGTTACCTGGAGGGGAATCGTGGTCTTTGGCCCAAAACTGGTGCCAAACATGGAAGGGGGGACATGAGGCTGTTTGGGTTTTTGAGTATTTGGGTTCAACAGTTTAAGGGTAGGGGGGGATCGGGGTTGTTCAAACCAGCAAAACGCCTCGACCCGGGAATCCCGGGTCGAAGGTTGAGCGGCCCCGTTTCCCCCGGCTTTAGGAAGATTAGGGTTAGGGTTGTACCCTTGGGTTCTGGGACCCTTTTTCAGGATCCCCAAGAATATAAGAGACATATTAGGAATTTTTCTTGGGGGAACCTTTAGGGGTACATACAAACTTCGGGGCGCGAGTCATCCCTTGACACTCAAATTCCGCAGCTTAGGCCAGAACCCTGAATCCGCTTGAGTCCCTTGCTGTGCTGCGCTTGGAGTGTGCTGGCCGGTTCTGTAGGGTTTTGAAGGAGTAGAACAACCCTAAACCTTAAACCCTAAACCCTAAACCCTAAACCGTAAACCCTAAACCCTAAACTAAATCCCAGTGTCATGCCAGAGCTGGGGGAGGGGCTTGAAGGCTTTGGGGCTTCTTGGCCATCTACGGGTTCAGGATGGGGTTTTAGGGTTCATAGGGCTTATGGGGCTTAGGCTTTAGGGTTTATTAGGTTAGGGTTCAGGGTTTAGGGCTAGGGTTTAGGGTTTCGGGTTTAGGGTTTGGGGGTTGAGGGGGTTTGGGCGGAAGCTGCCTGCGAGCTGGCCTCAATGGCCTTTTCATGCTCCTGCTGAGAGGCCTCGAGCGATCGGGGCGCCCTCAACCCTAAACCCCTGAACCCTGAACCCCTGAACCCCTGAACCCCTGAACCCCTGAATCCCTGACCCTATCCCTAAACCCCTAACCCCTAACCCCCTAAAAACCCCTAAACCCCTAAAACCCCTAAACCCCTAAACCCCTAAACCCCCCCCTAAACCCCTAACCCCTAAACCCCTAAACCCCTAACCCCTAAACCCCTAAACCCCTAAACCCCTAAACCCCTAAACCCCTAAACCCCTAAACCCCTAAACCCCTAAACCCCTAAACCCCTAAACCCCTAAACCCCTAAACCCCTAAACGAAACCCCTAAACCCCTAAACCACTCAACCCTGCATAAACCATCAGGCGCAACAGGCATCCGCACAGGGGCGGGGCAGGGAGTGAGAGCCACAGACCCCCCCACTCAAGCATGAAAGCTCTCGACTACTAGCCTAGCCCCCCCAAAAAAACCTGAGTAAGCCCTTAGATCATGGGTTCCCCTACTACCCCCCTATACTACCCCCCCCCCCCTAGGTTCCCCCTTTAAACAACCTTAATTGAGCTTAATTATCCCTAAATAGCCTTAGTTATGGGGGGAACCCAGGACGGGTAGTATAGAGGGGGGTAGTAGGGGAACCCATGATTAGAGGAACCTTGAACCACAAACCTGAACCAAACCCTGTAAACCCTCAACGCGCAACTCTATTGAAATTCCATGAACCCCAAACCTTCCGGGCCCTACTTAAGAAAAGCACGACTTGCGGCGAAACAGACCAGCTCATCCTGCAAAACTCCAGTGGCACAGCAGATGTCGACACGATTGGTTTAGGTTTCAGGGTTTTGGGTTTGGGTGGAATCCCTAACCTGCCCTAAGGCCGCCTGGCTGCCAGAGCCGAATGCTTGAAAACCCTGAACCCTAAGCCTGAACCCCCCCCCGGAACACTTTTAAACTTAGGTTGTTTTTTGCGGATGATTTCTGAAGCCGACTATAGACCTAAACCCTAAACCCTAAACCCTAAACCCTAAACCCTAAACCCTAAACCCTAGACCCTAAACCCTAAACCCTAAACCCTGAACCTCCAAGTACTGTACCCTGCACCACTACGAGCCCGGCTTGCTACCGAGTTTAGGGGTTGACACCCTAAACCAAACAAATCGCCTGTGCTACCTGCCCCTGTGCCGCTTGATCAAAAGGGCTTAAACCCTAAACCCTAAACCCTAAACCCTAAACCCCAAACTGGCCCCAAACCCTAAACCCTAAACCCCGAACCCTAAACCCTAAACCCTAAACCCTAGTTCGGGCCTCCAACCGCGCCAGTTGCTCGGACAGCGATTTGCTGGGTACCTTTTGGGACTTACAGCTGGTCGAGCTTATGGGTTTCGGGTTTAGGGTTTAAAGGGTTAAAGGGTTAAAGGGTTAAAGGGTTAAAGGGTTAAAGGGTTAAGGGTTAAGGGTTTAGGGTTTAGGGTTTAGGGTTTTTTTTAGTGTTTAGGGTTTAGGGTTTAGGGTTTCGGGTTTAAAGGGTTTAGGATTCACTGTGGTTTTTTTTTACAGTTCATAGAGCCTAGGCTTAAGGGGAGACACTGCCAAACTCTGAAGCCATCAACATGCCTTGACACCCCGAGCCATCCGAGTTCATCCAAGCCCCGGAACGAAAAGTATGCCTAGAACGCACAAAAGCCCTCTTTTTGACCTTAGGCACCTAAGCGCGAACTCAAAAGCCTAGACTCCAGAGCTTAGGGTTTAAGGTTTAGGGTTTAGAACTCCCTCAAGTTGGTTTCAGCCGCACGTTAAGGCTTATAGATGGCTGGAGGGATGCCCTAGGGCCGTCTAGGAAGGTTTGAAGGCTAAGGCCTTAAGGGGTTTAGGGTGGGGGTTGCAGGGCCTGGGGTGTAAGAAGTAAGCCTAACACCTAAACTGATTGTCTTGAGTTAGGAATTTCCTTCTTCTTGTTTTGCTTCTTTTCTTTTTGCGCGGGGGCTAGGGGGGGGGGGGGGGGCATGCGGTTTTCAGGGCCCCAGCAACAATTCTCAGAAGATTTGCCAGGTGGCCTCTTGCTCGGCCGGCTCCTCCGCCTCCGCCCCCGCCTCAACCTGCGAGCTGGCGTCGGGTTCTGTAATCCGGCAGCTGTTTTAAACTTAGTGGGTTTGGGACCCCGCCCCACCCCACTCCTGCCCAACCCTAAAAGCCTGAAACCCTAAATCCTGAATCCTAAAACCCTGAACCCTGAAATCCTGAAATCATAAAACCGAAAGCCCTCCCAACCAGGCAGCAGCAGGGCCTTGTATTAAGTTTATGAGGGATGTAAGGGTGGTTACATGGTCACTGAATATGGGCCCTCAAAAGGGCCGCTTAAGGCTGGAGCACTTCAAGAAGTTCGTGCGTCGAGCTAGCGAGCACCTGTCCCAAAAATTGGGTTTAGGGTGACTTAGGGTAGGGTTCATATTGAATGCGAGGCTCTTGCAAAAAGGCACCAGAAAGGGACTGATGTCAGTAGTGTGTAGGCTAGGATTTCGGGCACGCTCTGAAAGTGAGTCATGCGCCTTCTGCGTCAGCTGCAGCGACGTCGCCTTTGCAGCAGCGAAACCGGAAGTGCTAGGCCCCGAGCTGTCATTCCAGGGTGTTCGTATGGCATTGTGTCATGACCAAAGAACTATAAGCCTATAGAGAAAGTGCGCCCTTTCCATTTTAAAGGATTTACAAGGGGATCCTGAAGGATGTTGCTGGGCATCCGGAACTACATACCTATACATGGCACACAGACGTCCTGAAGAAGTTGGCTTGGAAGGAACACATCCTCAATGCCGTGCTTACTCACGGCTCAGAGCTCAGATGGGGATTTCGAGTTCACGTTTAGGTTGGGGAGGCGCTGAGCTTGGTTGAACGCCGTAAGTGTGCCAATGCCCAAACTGAATCACGCCAGACCACTCTTCATTGCGACACGAAACAGGTGCCCTCTCATGGCTTGCATGATAAAGTAACTGAGTTCTTTAATCCGGAAAAACAGACACTGAAACCCTCGAAGAAAACCTGCGGATGCCAGCAGCCTCCATTTGCTCTAGGCGTGCGCTGAGTGGTTGAACAGTGGCCTGGGGCAGCCATTTCATTGTTCCCCTTCTCTACCAGTCCTGACTAGGGATTATAGAACCCCCCCTATTATCATCCCTGTTAAGGACTGTTTGTATAAAGAGGCACATCCCAACCATTTCATCTTGCTTCAGACATCTTAAGTCTTAAGCCTGCCCGGATCTGAAACCCTAAACCCTGAACCGCAAACCCTAAACCCTAAACCCTAAACCCTAAACCCTAAACCCTAACCCCTAAACCCTTAAGCCTCTGTGCTGACGTGGGGAGATGAATATAACTTAGGAGGAGCCCGTGCTCGGATTCGAGTGCAACATGAACCAACAAAAACCTTATATAGGAAAACTAGTAATCCTAGTAGTAAGAGTAGTATTGAGTAGTAATAAAAGTCATAACAATCAATGACGACAATGAACTCTTCAAGCGATGTAAAGACGGCCACACCTCAGCTGTTTGCGAAGAAGCACCCAAGCACAAGTGTGATCACAGCGCATGGGGCGAGGGAGAAGGGGGGGGGGGGTTCAGAGGTGCGATCCATTGGAGGCAAGCCCCTAAGGGGGCATTCGACACACAGGGGCGGGAGGGGTCGGGGGGGGGGGGGGGGGGGGGCGGGGGGGGCCCCAGGGGGGGGGGGGGGGCGGGGGGGGGGGGGGGGGGGGGGGGGGGGGGGGGGGGGGGGGGGGGGGGCGGGGGGGAGGCGGGGGGGGGGGGGGGGGGGGGGCGGGGGGGGGGGGGGCGGGGGGGGGGGGGGGGGGGGGGGGGCGGGGGGGGGGGGGGGGGGGGGGCGGGGGGGGGGCAGCCCCCGGGGGGGTATGCAAGGGATCCATTTCTGGCGAGGTTTCCCAACTTGCACAACGCTGAACAGCAACCCTATTTTTCAAACCTAAAACAACTTTCACAACGCTCAGCAGCAACCCTATATGTCCAAACCCTTTCGCCAAAACACAAAACTCCTCAAATTTCAAGAAGCTGAGCCTCGAGAGCGCCATGCCCTGAATGAAGTGATGTCAACGCTACCAAAGGATGTTCGTTGAGGCTAGTATCCCTTGAAAAGGACAAAAACACACTTACACAGACAAATATCTGTCTATGTATATATGAACATATGAAGGCATATTCTTGAGAGTATACCATATTGCATTATAACATATGATAAATCTTATGATAGTGACTTGGCAGGATTGCATTTAATAACTGCTGTAGAGTATACACTCACCACCACTCTACACTGTAAAGCCCTACTTCAGAACCCTACATGATCCCCCTCCCCCCTGCCCAGAAAACTCTAAACCCTAAACCCTAAACCCTAAACCCTAAACCCTAAACCCTTGAAGCATCTTGAAAACATTTTTTGTCATAGGCGGGGCCTGGAGCTTCCCAAGCTGCAAGGACATGGCCGGAAGCTCGGCCTTCAGATGATGGGTCGAGGTTTAGGGTTTAAGGTTTAGGGTTTAGGGTTTGAGGTTTAGGGTTTAGGGTTTAGGGTTTAGGGTTTAGGGTTTAGGGTTTAGGGTTTAGGGTTTAGGGTTTAGGGTTTAGGGTTTAGGGTTTAGGGGTCGACTGAGGGTTCTTAAGGTTCTAGGGCTTTAGGTTCTTGAAGTCTTGGTTTGCTTTTGAAATTTTAGGGGTGTATGGGTTTAGGGCTTGAGGGGTTTAGGGCTTTAGTGCACCCTTTGGGTTTACTAGAGGGTTTCAGGTCTACTGGCTGAGGGTCACAAGGAAGCCACTGGTTAACACTTAAGGGTGTCAGGGTTGCCAGGGTCGTTCAGTTTTGAGGACTGAGCCCTAAACCCTAAACCCTAAACCCGAAACCCGAAACGCAAAGGCACTCCACAAAACCCTGATCCTGGCCTCCCATCGCTCGAGGGTGGACGACAGAGGCTGCAAGAGCTGTTGGGGCTGCGCCTGCAGGGAGCGGAGTATAAGTATGGTTTGAAAAGGTTACAAAGGTGTTGGGCTACAAGGGTTCAGGGGTTCAGGTGATGTTTAGGGCTAGGGTTTGGGGTTTAGGGTTTTGCTTTATGTACAATATGGGAGTCTACTGGATAGCTGCTTCGACAGATCCGAAACGTGATGCTCGGGGCTTGAAGGGCTGCAACTGCAGGGCAGGTGTTAGGATTGAGGGATTGAACTTTCGTCAGCCAGGATGATTCACTACCTAATTTGCAAGTACACGAAACCCTTACACGAGCACTCACTCCGCCCCCGTCCCTAGACTCCTAGCCATGTGAAGCGCACCTTCTGCTGTCTAAACCCTAAGGCCTGAACCCTAAACCCAGTGAACCCCATGCCCTAAACCCAATTACAACTGTACTTATAATCCAAATGTCACCCTATAAGGGTACTCAAGGGGCTTACAAGTAACTACCTTTATCACTGGGTTACTAAGTACCCTGAACCTCCAAGTAGTAGGTTGAGACTTTTCTACTTCCCAGTTAGGGGATGGATCTATGCAAGCTTATGAACGCGGTGCCTCACCAGCTTTGAAGCCCCAAACCCTAAGCCCATAAAGCCTTTCTTCCCTAAACCCGATAAGCCCTGAACCTAAACCCTAACCCCTAAACCCCAAGTTGTAGTACAGGGAAACTGCGCCCCAAACAAAAGCAAGGAATCTTGGCCTCGAGTCGAGCCAGTCCTTCTCGCAGCTCGTCGATCGCTCTGCCCTGGCCGGCTTTTCTTGGTTCTTCCGGAGGTTTAAGGCTGCAAACCCTATCAAACTTCACAAAGCCCTAAAGCTCCAAAAGCCTTACTTGCAGGTTCATGGCTCATGGTACTTCGTAACCAAATTCTAACTGTGCTTATAGTCCAATATAACCCCATTAGCGCACTAATAGGTGCATATAAGTGGGTTCAAACTACACTTTTTAATTGGGTTGCTCAGTACCCTGAACCTCCAAGTACTGGAACCGGAGTTGAAAAGCCCCCCAGACCACCGCAAGGAGCAAGTGTGAACAAACGCGAGCTTCAAGGCGCGGGGTTCGGGTTGAGCTTTTGCTGTCTCAAGTGTTGAGCTACGGCACACCTTTGCACACATCTATATCTATATCTTAATATATATATATATATATAGATACATATTTGTACGTACGTTTATATTTACATTTATGTTTATATCTATTTATTTATCTATTTTACACTACTCCAGTGCAACCGGCAGCCTGCAGTTCCACCACCGTTGTCTTGGCCTGTGCCGAAGCCCCAGGAGATCGTGCGGGGGTGCAGGGCTTTGGGTTTAGAGGGTTGAAAGGTGTGATGGGTTTAGGGTTTAGGGTTTAGGATTTAAGGCTTAGGGCTTGGGGTTAATCCCCCCCTCCCTTGGCCCGGGCAAAAAGCAAAACTATCTAGGGGGATGTTCTTCTTGGTAAATTGTTTCAGGTCCACGCTGGCTTTTAGAGAGGTAAAGGTGTATTTACTTAAACTTCCATGGCTTAAAACTTCCATGGTGTAAGAGGGTTGTATAGGGACTTGGGCCCAAAGCAGCTCCAGTGAAAATGAGTGCTCGAGGGTGCTTGTTTGTGTAAACAGCTGGGGCTTTCTTGTGCTGGGACTGGGACTGAGGATTTGGGTTCAAACTTGTCTTGACACAGCTTTTACTGCGGCCGCCAACCGGAACAGATGAGCAGGAAACCAGAAATCAAATGGTTTAGAGGATCCTTTTCGTGCTGGGACTTAGGATTTCGGTTTCAGTGTTTGGGGGGTTTGGGGTGTTTGGGGGGTTTGGGGGTTTGGGGGGTTTGAGTTTTTCTTTTTTGGCGGGGAGGGGGGGGGGGGGTGGTGTAAGCTTCAGACGCAGCGTGCAGAGCACACTTGGTGAACCCTAAACCCCAAAACCCTAAAACGCCTAAACCCAAACCCCCAAAATCGCAAAAACCCCTAAACCCTTAAACCCCAAACCCCAAACCCAACCCCAAACCCCAAATACCCAAACCCCCAAACCCACACCCCAAGCCCTGGCCTCTTCTTCCGCGAAGTCGCCCGCTTTCTTCTGCTCCTCCGGGATCTGAACCGACACCGTAACGCCAGACCCCTGCTTTTAGAAAGGCTCGGAAACTAATCAGAGTACCTATAGCCAAGAGGGTTAAACATGATGGTTTAGCGTCTGTATGTTCGGGGTCTAGAGAGTCTAGGGGCGCAAGCCTCAAGTGAAATTGTGGAATGAGTAGGTCTGTCAGGCCTCCCAGTTCCAGGAATCAAGGCGCACTTGCAGACGCGCGACATCTCTACCCCCCCCTCGTGCCAGTTGGATCATGATGGGACATCTTCGGTCGATGTTTTCTTATGCAGACAGAAGTAGAACAAGCACATACATATATATATATATATACATATATATATATATATGTCATACACAGAAGAACCCTACCTAAAGCCTAAAGCCTAAAACCTGAACCCTGAAGCCTTGTTTCCTTCAAGGAGACGATGGAGACGGAACCTGGGAATTCGGAGCGCGCCTGCGTTGCCGGCGTCGCCTGCTGCTGCTGTTTCTGCAAAGCCTCCAATGAGGGCAGCTCTCAGAGTTATGGTCCCTTTTTGGGCGTACCCTGCAACCATAAGGTGTAGAGGAGGCCCAAAAAGGGACTGTGATTTAGAGAGGATCCACCCCCGTATGCAGGTGTTCAGGCAACCTAGGTTAACCCGCCAGCATCTGGGGGTTTCCGAAAATAGGGGTACCCTTTCTGGGGGATCCCTTTAAGCGAGTCTGGGATATCAAAGGGATACCCCTATTTTGGGAAACACCCATCTCAGTACATCCCAGCAACGTCGACACACGACTCACGTTAGCTGTGCTCACCGAGAAGACAGGGCGCCGAGGCGCCAAAGGTCTAGGGTGAGAGTTTCTTATGAACTCTAAACCCTAAGCCCTAAGCCCTAAGCCCTAAGCCCTAAGCCCTAAGCCCTAAGCCCTAAGCCCTAAGCCCTAAGCCCTAAGCCCGAGACCTTAAGCCCTAAGCCCCAAGCCCTGAACCCTAAACCCTACACAGAGCTGAGCTCTCGACTCGGGGTAGCTACACAGGGCCCCTGTCAGGGCCGTTGACATTGAAACTGTTTTGCGGCGTCCCTCTTAAACTATTTCCAGCCCAAGGCCCCTGCGCTCGAAAATCTTCAAGAGTCTTGAAGGGAGTTACGGAGAGGCGGGGTTATTTCTTGCTGAGAATCTTGGCCTCAAGTCGAGCAAGTCCTTCTCGCAGCTCGTCGATCGCTCTGCCCTGGCCAGCTTTTCTTGGGGCTTCAGCTGTGTAGGGCTGCGGTTGAGGGTTTAGGGCTTAGGGCTTCGGGTTTAGGGTTTAGGGTTCAGGCAGGGTGGGGGTTCAGGGGTTAGGGTCTGGAGGTTTGCAGCCCCAAAGCTCCGAAAGCCTGCAAGTAGAGCCGGAAAAGCCCCTGTGCTACGCAAGGGGAGCAAGTGTGAACAAACGCGAACTTTACACGGTGCGGGGTTCGTGATGCGTTTGTTCGTTTTTGGGTTCCGGGTATAACCACACACCACTCCAGTGCAACTGGCAGCCTGCAGTTCCACTGCTGTTGTCTTCGCCTGTGCCGGAGCCAGGAGAAGGTGACGCCCCAAAGAGGTGGTTTAGGGTTCGGGGTTCACGTGTTTAGGGTTTAGGGTGTAGGGTGGAGGGCTTTGGGATCAGAGGGTTGAAAGGTGCGATAAGACCCCTCGTCGCATGTCCGCCCCCTCGCCGGCTACAAACGAAACTGCCTAGGGGTCATTCTAGAGGCCTTTCTTGGGAAATTGCTTCTCGGGTCATGTGGGCTGATAGAGACATTCATATAGGCGTATTCTGGGAAACGTATATATAGTTTCCCCCCCACTACTCGTGAGCCCCGCCAATACACTTGAAACCTCAACCTTTCGAGGATCACAATAATCCTATAAATCCTAAAACCTAAAGCCCTGAACCCTAAACCCTAAAACCCTATAAACCCTAAAACCCTAAAAGCCCTACACCCTAAAACCCTAAACCCAAAGCCCACCCTACCAACCCACAAATGTACCGCTTGGGTGGCCTAACCTTAGAACCTTAAGAAAACATAATATTTTTAGTATCCTCTCGGGGTTTATATGAACAAAAATGAAAAAAAAGTTCCCAAGGGGGATATAATAACATTTAGGGTTTAGGGTTTAGGGTTTAGGGTTTAGGGTTTCGGGCTAGCAGGGTTTAGGGTTAATGGGGTTATTTCGGGATGTGGGCCCAAACCAGCCACGGGAAAGTGCGTGCTTTGACGGCACTATTTTGGATAAACAACTGGGTCTTTTTGTCCTCGGATTTGGGTTTCAGGGTTTGGGGTGTAGGATTTCGGTTTCAGGCTTTGGGTGTAGGATTCCGGGGACGCAGCAAGCAGAACACACCACATTTGATGAACCCTAACCCTAACCCATAAACCTTAAACCATAAAACAGAAACCCTAAACCGTAAACCCTAAACCCTCAACCCTAAGCCCTAAAGCCTAAACCTTAAACCCTAAACCCAACCTAGCCTCTTCTGCAGCAAAGTCATCCGCTTTCTCCTGCTCCTGAGGCTGACAGCCGGACCCCTGCTTTAGAAAGGCGTTCTGAAACTTCACAAAGTACCTATAATTAAGTGGGTTTAGGGTTCTGGTTTAGGGTGTAAGGTTTAGGTTTTAGGGTTTAGGGGTCAAGTTAAATTATGGGATGAATAATCGGTCTGTGAGGCCCACAGCTCCACACTTCAACACGCACTTGCAGACACGCGACATCCCGACTCCCCCTGGGGACAAGAAGAACATCACTGTACATTTTACGGGTTCAAGTGGAACTGGCTACATACACAGCAGAACCTTAAACCCCAAACCCTGGACTCTGACTCTACATTTTCCCTTCAGGAGGCTTCATACACGGCAGAACCCGAAACCCTAAACCCGAAACCCGAAACCCGAAACCCTAAACCCTAAACCCTAAACCCTAAACCCTAAACCCTAAACCCTAAACCCTAAACCTACATTTTCCTTTCAGGAGACGAAAGAACCGAACCTGCGATTCGGAGAGTGCCTGCGTGGCTGCCGTCGCCTTCTGCTGCTCTTGCAAGACCTTCAGGAGCTGGCCAATGGGCCGGTCTCTCTAAGTTCTGGTCCTATTTTGGGGTCTATAGAGTTTAGGGTCTATAGAGTTTAGGGTTTAGGGTTTAGGGTTGAGGGTTGAGGGTTGAGGGTTGAGGGTTGAGGGTTGAGCGTTGAGGGTTTAGGGAACTAAGGCTAGAGGAACCCCACAAAGGAACGGCGGCTGAGGGTTTACACCCCAGTCCTCTCCCCCACATCCCGGTGTATGATGAAGCACTAACAAAACTGAGCGCCTCAACAGGGCACCAACCCTAAACCACCCTAAACCCTAAACCCTATACCCTAAACCCTAAACCCTAAACCCTGAACCCTGAACCCTAAACCCTAAACCCTAAACCCTAAACCCTAAACCCTAAACCCTAAACCCTAAACCCTAAACCCTAAACCCTATAAACCCTAAACCCTAGACCCTAAACCCTAACCCTTCCAACATCCGAGTACATCCCGGCTCTACACAGGGCTGATGTTAACTCTGCGCGTCGGGCGCAGAGGTCCTAAGCCCTACGCCCTAAACCCTAGACCCTACTTGGAGGTTCATGGGCACTTATAACCCCAACTATAACTGCACTTATAAGCCCCCTAAGTCCCCTAAGTAGGTTATAAGTAGACTTATCAGTGGAGTTAGAAGTATCCAGGAACCTCCAAGTATAGACCCTAAGCCGTAGGCCCTAAACCCTGCACAAAGCTAAGCTTTCGACTCGGGGGAGTCACAAAGGACCCTTGTGAGGTCCCTTTTGTGCCCTTTCTCTTCTCAACCCTTTCCAGCCCAGGACCCTACACTTCAAAATCTTTACGCAACAGGACCATGTAAGTAAACCAAACCCTGAGCCTGCCGAAGCCCTACAGACCCTTTGCCCTAGAGCATGCTTCTGCCGCCGCCGGCTTCTTTGAGTGAGAGATGCTTGAGGCCCGAAAGCCCGCCCGAAACAAAAAACATACCGTAGCAAGGTTCAGACTAGTGCACGATGGCTTGACTCAAACACTGCGACTATGAAGGCAGTGATTAAAATACACATCCGATCCCCGGCCCTACCTTACGAACCCAAACCGACTTTGTTGTAGGTTAGGTTGCCTAAGAACCGTATAAGGAGTGTGAGAGAAATAACCTACAGAAAAAGGTAGGTGTTGGGATCTTCAGGCAAACCCTAAACCCAGTTGAACTCCTAAAGCACACCTACACCCTAACCCCCAAACCCCAAACCCCAAGCCCCAAACCCAAATCCTAAACCCTAAACCCTAAACCCCAAGCCCTTGTAGCACCTGGAGCTCCTCCACTTTCCTCGCCAAGTCGGGTAAGGCTTCCGCCTTGCGCACCACGCTTGGAAGATGCATCCGGCTAGGTTCCAATCTCCGGGTGCTGTGCTTGGGGTTTAGGCTTTAGGGTTTGGGGTTTAGGGTTTAGGGTTTAGGCTTTAGGGTTTCGGGTTTCGGGTTTACGGAAACCCTACACCCTAAAGACCCTAAACCCTAGTCTACTTGAGGGTTCGTGGGGGCTCTTGTTAGAGGCTTCGTTTTCATGACGTTTAGGATGTCACCTATTCAGACTCAGAAGCCCTGAAGCCCAGCAGCTCCACCTGGGTCATTCTCGAAACCCGAAACCCCAAACCCCAAACCCCAAACCCTAAACCCTAAACCCTAAACCCTAAACCCTGAACCACCGGTGCGCAGGATCCACTGCCGCACCCCGTCCTCCCCCTCCAACCCCCCCCCCCCGGCGGAAGCAAAAAGCCCAAACACTAAACTCTGACCGTACACACCTAAACTCACAAACTCCAAAACCAACAAAAACCCTGAGCCCTAACCTTAAGCCCTAAATTCCAAAACTCTCCCAAAAACCCTAGGCCCCAACCTTAAACCCCCAAACCGAAAAACCCTAAAATGGCGACTGCCTTTGGGCGTTTGCGATATTCGCGGGGGAACTTATTGGGGTCCTGATTATGAGAGGTCCTTGGTATGAGGGGATCCTATGTATGGGTCTAAATAGGGGTCTCTTATTTATCGTAAATTTCCGTTGCCTCCACTCGCTCCAGCTTCGCTGTGAGGGTGCGGAGAATGTCGGTCTGGGGGTCAGAGTGTGGGGTTGAGGTGCTCAGGGCCCTAAACCCTAAACCCTAAACCCTAAACCCTAAACCCTAAACCCTAAACCCTCAACCACCCCAAGTATATCTAGGGTTCAAGGCCCAGGGCTGCTTTGGGGGCGGGAAGTAGTTTGGGTTTAGGCCTCAGGGTTTTGGGGGGTTGAGAGCATAGGGATCTTGTGCTTGAGCATGGTTTAGGGTTTAGGGTTTAGGATTTAGCATTTAGGGTTTAGGGTATGACTACTGAGAGTTTTCCGGCAGGTCGGTGATTGTGCTTCGGATCTCTCGGCTTTAGGCTTGAGGGTAGCCGGCCTTTTCAAAAACAAAACCCTAAACCCTAAACCCTAAACCCTAAACCCTAAACCCTAAACCCTAAACCCTAAACCCTGTAGCAATCAGTGGTTGGGGGTTCTTGCCCCCCTACCAAAACATGAATGAACCTTCAATCGGGCGCTGAGCCCTGAACCCTACTTGTAACTGCGCACGAAACCTTCAAGGAAGCCCCTAAACAATAGAGCAGGAACACTTGCAAGATTGAGGCGAGAATTCAAACCGTGACTCAGAACCTACGTTGACCTGAATAGACCGCGCTAAACTGTTTGAGGGTTTCAGGGTTTGGGGGTCTGGGTTTAGGATTTAGGGACACTAAACAGCAGACTTTCTGAACCGAAGCAGCTAAAACCTAAACATAAAGCCAATCCCTATCTAATTGTGCTCCTGCCTCAAGCCGTTCCAGCTTTGCTGCGAGGGCACTGAGGTTTTGGGCCTCAGGAATCATCCTCAACCCTAAACCCTAGACCCTAAACCCTGCTAAACCCTAAACCCGAAACCCGAAACCCGAAAGCCTAAACCCTAAACCCTAAACCCTAACCAGTCCAGGAAGTGGCCAGGCATAACCCTTGTTGACATCTTTACCGCAAACAAAGGCCCAAAAGCGTACTATGGAGGCCCAGCTTGTGACCATCTCTAGCCAGTCGAAGCTATTGGATAAGAACAACTTCCAAAACACCAATGCGTGATAGGGCCCTAAAATCCCCAAATCCTATACTGGCGGGGACAAACGGTTATGTTGGATCCTAAGCCCCGAAACCCTAAAGACTTCAAAGTTGATAAACTGCCTACTGCTTTGAAGCTCTTTGACATAGTAGATCTACTTGTGCCCAGAGGGGGGACGAAAGCTCTGCCGCGACAGGCACTGCAAGTAAGCGAGCGGGGCTTTCATGGTTTCATGGGTAGCACGCTTGCAGAACCCGTCACCATAGGTCTAATTCTCTGGAAGACGTCACCCGGATGGGCAAGCCCAACGCCGGTTTTGGGCCCGAACGCTCCCGCCCCCACACAACCACCCGCGCATCAGGAGCATCAGCGGGCTTTCGTTTCTCCAAAAGTCGGCTGCCGGGCCGCCGCCCCAAAACTGCTCAAAGCCTGCCCAGAAGGCTTACAGGCAGGGCTGCGGGTTTGGGGTTCAGGGTTTACGGTTCGGGTTACTTGGAACCCTTTTCGAATCAGTAAGTAGGGTTAGTAGGTTGGGATCTGGGGATTCGGGCTCATGGGGCATACTAAGTTACGAAAGCTCCTCCCTCAGACTTGAGGGCAGCATGTCGTTTAAGACCCAGCCAGCCTAAGCCGATCTGTAAGGGGGGTTGTGGGGCTGCGCCCGCTGGAGCCTTTTCCAGTGGTCAGAATCCGAGACGTCCAGCCGTGAGCGCCTCAACTCCAATACTTGGCCCCCGGTCTAGGGTTTAGGGTTTAGGCTTAGGGTTTATATTCGGGAACCCACACTTACTTTCCCTACAGACTTTGACCTCGCCCGAGCATGGGACTATTTCTGTGCATCTTGGATCGGAGACGCCTGCCAAAGGCGGAGTAAGGGTGTAGGGTTACTAGGTTGTCTAGCAAGCTCGGATTAAATGGGGCGCCCTTTTTCTTCTTAACGGAGTTTACAACGTAGTTCAGGGTTCTCTGAGGAAAGGCGGGTGAGATACCGTAGGGGTTTAGGGTTTCGGGTTCAGGGCTTTTCGGGAATCTAGAAATTTAGGGTCCAGGGTTTAAGGCGGGGGTCAGTCTTGTCTTCTAGAGATCTTATACGGTAGTCAAGGTGCCGGGAGGGTTGGGAAAGGGGGGGGCGGGGGGGGTGGTGGATGGGTAGCAGACGACCATATGAAGCAGGGCTTATATTTCTTGTATCCTCAAAAGGGCACCAAGTACATACACTCACGAATATGAAGTAAAAAAAGAGAGCCCGATGCACCCACCAAAAGCAGTAGTATCAACCTTGTTTAAATATGATAGGATCCCTGCCAACTCCAAGATGCAATCGACTCCCCCCTCCACGGCTGGGAGCAGGCGAGAGCCTAAACCCAAAACAGGGGTCTTGTAATCACCCTCAAGCCCCAATATGCCCCTGCAGACCCACAGGGAACCCGTACGTGCCCGAGGAAATCCCTTAACCCTAAACCCGAAACAGTGGGTCCTCAAGGGCGATCGAGTGCACAAAGCCCTACAACCCGCACATGCGCAAAGGCCCCCTGGATCCCCCAAATCACACAGACCTCCACCTTAAGGCCATACAGAAAAGCCGTACACCCTGAACATACACCTTAAAGCCTATATTACCTGAACCAAAAGCATAAATTCTGAACACTATGAACCCGAATTCCTGCTCCTAAATTGAAGCTGAGCTCCTTTGCAGCAACCCAAGCCCGAAACCCCAAACCCTAAACCCCGAAGCAAGCATTTCGCCAGCCTCTGGGCATCACATCGCCAAGCTGCTCCCGGCAGTCTTTGGCCGGGAGTTCCTGGCACCGATTTTCTGGGTTTAGGGTTTAGGGTTCAGGGTTCAGGGTTTAGGGTTTAGGGTTTAGGGTTTAGGGGGTCAAAAGGGTTTGGGGTTACTGTGGCCAGTGGTTGTTAGGCAACCTGAAATAGGATAGGTTAGTCGGTCCCCTTGGGTACCCAAAAAAGGGACCATCTCAGCTTGTCATCCGAAGACTTTTGGTTGTGGTAGATCTGTTCTTCAGGCGTGTGGGGTTTAGAGTGCTCATAGAGCAACCTAAACTCTAAACCATCAAATATTGACCTACAGCCCTTTTAAAAGAGGCATGTCAACGGGCCGGGAGCTAATCCGCCTCTCACCAGAGATCCAACCCAATCTTGCCATGCACACCCAAAAGAAAAAGGTATGTAGGTACTTCCAGAATACGGCGTATAGCCAAAGGTCCAAGAATGCACCCCAAAACTAAAAAAATGAATCCCCTATATACGGAACCCCGATAAAATTCACAGGCACCCACACTTGAGAACCACCCATGTACATGTACGCAAAATCAAGATGAATTGATGCCACTGTTGCAGACATGCAAACGGTCAGGGGAATCAATCCCTAAACCTCTAAATCGGGAGCCCTAAACCCCAAACCACCTTTCCACTACGCAACGCCACACGGAATCCCTAAGCCCTCAATATCAACCACCCTTTCCACGCCACACTCAGGTCCTCTGGTGGCTTCGTGGATGCAGTACAGTTCAGGTCCGCGACCTCGATATGAAAGAGACCAGCTGTTGCCCCAACCCGCAGCCCTAACCCCCAACCCCTAAACGCCCAAAATCCCGAAACCAAAACACCCTAATTCCCTAAGTTCTAAACCGAGGGTTCCCTTAGACCTTGGAGGTTGAGAGTAGGGTCTGGGAGCTTCAGTGCAACCAACTAAAAGCACTTGAAGGTTCAGGCATGATAAAAAGTACCCCTGGTAAAGCCAACCACAGTTCGGACTCGGCTTGTAACTGCAGTTGTACTTTCTTGTTCCGCAATTGAGGGATCTTTCGGGATACAGAATAATTAGTGCGTTGCTTGAAGCTCGCTTACGTGTCCGAGTGGGGCATCTCAACAAACTGGCTGGCCACCCGCAAAACTGACCTACAGGATGCGGCGCCTGCGGTGCACGAGGCAGAACTCCACCAGTCCAAGCTTCCCATGATGAGCATGATGGTCGAGAAATGAGGCAAGTGAGCGCAGCTGCCCAAGATGTCCATCGGAGTTATGAGGCCCAGCACATACGCAACCGGTACGGGCATGACCTCCTTGCGGCACAGCCCAAGAAGCATCTCTAAACCCTAATAGCCTAAACCCTGAACCCTAAACCCGAGCCCGGCTCGGAATACACAGATGCCACGCAGGCCCCAAGTTCAGAAGCAATGAAGGGCTTCGCATAGTAGTCACTTGCACAGGCGTCTATAGATGCCAACGCCAGGTGCATCTCCGGCCAGCTTGCAAGGCTTCCAGTGCTTCCCTCTCAGCTGCCCATCCAAGCACTTGGAGGTTCAGGGCACTTCTCTAACCCCAATCATAACTGTACTTCTGAGTTTTCTGAGTGCCCTAAGTAGGTTGTAAGTTGACTGTAAAGTTGGGGTAATAGGTACCCAGAATCTCCAGACACCTGCCATGCTACGGAAGGCGGCTCGCCTTGCTTCCCATAGCTCGCACTCCGGAGGCTCGGCGCTGCTCGTCATTCAGCAGATCATAGTGTCTGCCTGCATTTCAGCTCAACTCCTGGACGCAAGCACCACCCTTTGTACACATATATATATATATGTCAGCCAGTATGCAGAGCAGGCCTCTTTCACTCTTTTCAGTGCAGCCATACAGTGGCTCAACTGCTGCTGGCCGGGCGGCCTGATTATGTGGGGGCTGCCAAACTAAGGTCTCTTCTGGAAACATGGGCTCCTCCTCTTCCTTCCCAGCCTCCGTTCTTTGTGCTCTTCCTGAACTGCCTGCTTTGTGCGCTCATACATGCTTCCGCCGACCGGCCTGGGCGGCCTGGGCCACCCCGGGTGCGCCTTGGTTGCGTGCCGGCGCAGCTGAATCTACTACGAACTATACGCGGGAAATTCACCTGCGCCTGCTGTGAAGGTACACCTGATGTGCCCAGAGAACGCGCCCAGACAAAGCGGCCCCTTCTCTTTATCTTCTCGCCAAGTTAGCTTCCACCACCTCTCCTTGGACCGAACTCTCGTTGAACTCTTCTCAGCCCAGGTCAACTTCGACCACGGGCTCTTCATGCCCTTCCTTCCCTGCCTGGTCCAAAAAGGAGCCGCGCAGACCTATCTCCTGTAGATGCCAGCAATGTCCAGGGCTCTTGTTAAAGACGGCACCCGTCTTCGAGCAAGGGAAGGCCACACACACACACACACACATCCTAAGCCCTAAACCCTAAACGCAAAACCCTGGACCCCCTATGGACGACCTAAGTCTCAAAAAGTAGCAAAAATAGGTACAAAAGGCCAAGAAACTGGCTAAGACCAAACACTTCAATAAACCTCAAGCCTGCAAGGAGCTAGAATAAGGGACTTAGTTTAGATGGGTTTGGATGGTTTAGGGATGAGATGAGCTTAGGTGAGGGTCAAGGGTGTAGATGGGCCTAGAGTTTGGGGACTAGAGCTTAGGGTTTACATGCGTGTAGAATCAACTCAGTCCCCATCTTCGGCGAGATCTCCTAAACTTGGACGAAGATACTGTCAACTGCACTACGTCCTTCTTTTCTTGTTTATTTATTTATTTTTTTTTTTTTTTTTGGGGGGGGGGGGGCGTGAAATTCAGAACATGTTAGTTTCGGGTCAGGTCGGCCAAAAAACACTTAACACCCAGTTCCTGCTTGGAGGTGCATAGTAGTCATGAATCCAATGGTAACCCTATTACATTCTTACCCTAGATGGGTAATTATAAGTGGGTTCACACCGCACTAATCATTGGGTTTGTTCCCAGAACCTGCTGGTAGCTGAGTTTTTGCGAGGGTCGTTTGCAGGAAGAGGACGCGGATTTGCTCTGGAAATGCCATCGTAGACGCTGTTTGCAGGTCTCGGGGGGTAGCTAAAACCAGCTGCAGCCGAAATAGCAGGGTCTCAGCCCTAAGTACCCCACGTACCCTGAGCAAACTACATCCTAAACCCATCAATACCCAAACGAAAACCCCAACTGAGGATGTACATCGCCCGACGCACCGAAAAACGCCACAAAACCCTAAACCGTAAACCGTAAACCCTAAACCCTAAACCCTAAGCCCTAAATAAACCTAAACCCTAAACCCAAAATTAACCTTAAACCCAGAATCGGACCAATTGCTGGCATGGGACGGCTTGCTGGAGTTGGTGAAAGCTGAGCAGCGTCTCTCCCTTGTCCGGTAGAAGGTTTAGGGTTCAAGGTTTACCGGTTTAGGGTTTAGGATTTAGGGTTTAGGGTTTAGGGGTTTAGGGTTTAGGGTTTAGGGGTTTAGGGTTTAGGGTTTAGGGTTTGGGGTTTAGGGTTGGTTTAGGGTTTAGGGGAGTTGGGGGTTTGGGGGTTCAGGGTCTAGGGTCTACATATGGGGGTTTAGGGCTTCCAGAGGGTTTTGGGGTTCTGGGTTGAGCATGCATGTTTACGGGGTTATAGGGTGGAGGCTGCAAACCTTCAGAATTCAAGGAAGCCCACAAATGCAAAATGCTCATCTCCCTCCCAACTATACTGCCCTGAGAACCTTAATGATCGAACCCCAAACCCCTTACCAAACCCTTGGCCCCAAACCTCAAACCCTAACCCTAAACCTTCAGGGTCTAGGGTTTAGGTCTTTAATGATTCGGGAGTCAATGGTTCAAAAAGGTTGCGGTAGATCTTCGACGTGACGCCTGACAAGGGTAGTTACAGTGGGGCACTCTAAGGAAACCCTAAACCCTAAACCCTAAACCCTAAACCCTAAACCCTAAACCGTCGGGTTTACGGTTTGTCGTTTAGGGTTTGGGGAAAATATGGTCCCTGGGTGTGGTCCCCTTAAGGAAGGAAGAATATCCGCTACAAGGAAAGACGCATTTTGCCAGTGACCAAAGGTCGGTATAGGGCATAGGGTTTAGGGTTTAGGGTTTAGGGTTTAGGGTGTAGGGTTTAGGGTTTAGGGTTTAGGGTTTAGGGTTTAGGGTTTAGGGTTTAGGGTTTAGGGTACGCAAGCATACATGGAATGCACATGTAAGCCAGGCTGTTGAAGGCAAGTGCATCATTAGCCTCTCGCTTCAAAATTGAGGGTTCCCTGATTTTCGCAAACAGTCAAATGGTTTATGTCACACACAAACTTCCAAGTCGCTCCGCAACTTTGCGAGCGAGATTTCCAACTTCGAGTTCCCTCGGCTCCTTTGCTGGGAATCTGCTTTGCAGAGCCAGAACCGCATGGACTTTCTCCGCGCGCATGGCGTCATCTGCAACAGAGGTCTTGAGTTCAACAGAGGTCTTGAGTTTAGGGTTTAGGCTTAGAGGGTTTAGGGGTTTAGGAATGGAGATGAACAGGATCGCCTGAATCATGGGCCCTTTGTGGCACGGTGGCCGCAGCGCGTTCCTTATTGCAGGGTGAAGGATTTGGAGGTTTCCGAAAATTGCGGGGGGGGGGGTACCCTTTCTGGGGGTCCCTTTAAGGGGAGTCTCTTCCATTTGTGGCAAAAAAGGGGTACCCCTAATTTCGGAAAACCCCCATTTAGAGCCCATCAGGTTTAGGGCAGGATTATGTGAGCAGCAAGTTGCGCACATCGACCTATGCTATGTGACCCCAGACAATCATTGGCCCAGAACAATCAATACCAGCAATGGCCAGACAGTCAGTTTGTCTCCAGCATGTTCTACATGGCTCCGGCAGCCTAAGCTCCGCATCTGCGTGCAAAGCTGAGACACGTTCGAAGAGCTGTTGGATGGAATATCGACCAGGATACCTAGACAAATCATAGTCATCTGCATTCTCAACCTCAAGCAATGCGTTCTTTGTGGTTCGCTTCGAGCGCGCCCAGACTGCACTCGTCTTCGTTTTCACTCTTGCTTGGCTACTAGTCCGCTGTACCACCCACGGCCTCCGACTCTGAGTCAACATCCGAAGAGAGCGCTGAGTGAGGTTGTGGCATCTGAGTGTGGCATAATTCAACTGGAAAAATCCTCTGCGGGCGTGCGCAACATAATTCACAATGTACTCATCCACGACGTGGGACGGAAGCTCCGATATTGCAAAGAAAGAAACGATCAAGTCAATCTGGGTATGACCCGAAGCATGTTGGTGATAGGCCTCTCTTTCTCTTTGCACTGCACCACCTCCACTCCAATCTGTGCATCCTAGCAACTTATTCGAAGAAGTGAGTCGGGACACGCGGTGGATCAATGCGCAAGCCTCTGGGGCATCTAGAACTTGGTGGTGCCGCACACCTCTCCACCCCGGGGCATTCCTCAAAAGCACAACACCTAGACCACCATAGCCTCCACCGATTTCTGTCACTCGCATTCCTGCCAGATCCCCAAAGACAGCATGCAGTTGCAAGCGCTGTCGGAGATATCGTGGCAGATCTGGATGAACATTCATAGATACTGGCCAGTGCCCTGGCATACCCTGCCAATCCAGCTGAGAATGGTAAAGGTGAGGAAGAAAATAGCAACGGTGCTGCCTCGCTCCACCAATCCTTTTGTCAGTGGAGCGGAGAGCCAAGAAAAAGTTCCACAAATCCAACGGCTGAATACCAAGCATGTCTGGCCAAGTCGACAAGAAACAGCCCAACAAATAACACCCAATTTTGTATGAGTATCCACCAACGACGCTATGGTAGGCATGAGAATCTCGAAACTGACGGAAAGAAGATGCATTCAGGATACTTGCTCCCAAAGCAGCATCGAAATACTTGCGGGTGTGTAGCTCCTCATGAGACGCTTCTGTTGCCAAGCCAATCACGAATATCGTGCAACATCGAGCAGCCAATGAAACAAGACTCATGTGAGCTATGGGCTTTAAGAGTCCAATCCTGGCTCACAAAACATGTGAAGCACAATTTCATGAACCTGGCGCAAAAAGACTCAAGTGAAGCACAACTTCATACGAGGACCCTCGACTCGAGCCCAAACACTGCATCAGGATACACATAAACGGCAAGCAGACAATATCGATTGGTACATGTATAAGAACCACCATTTGATACGCAGATGTAGCTGAGCTCGAATTCGAATCTGGGCGCGGGGCTCAGGGACTAATCCGCCATCCCCAGCCTTCAAACTTTGCTCCCCAAAGCAAGATCTCACACCTGTATATGGGTATAGGGTTTAGGGTTCAGGGTTTAGGGTTTAGGGTTTATAAGGTTTAGGGTTTATAGGGTATAGGGTTTAGGGTTTTATGGTACAGGCATCTAAGGCGCCGGGCGGAGAGCTATCGGGGACAGTTTTAAAATTCGCGCTCGAGTCTGTTTGCTCTCTCGGGGTTGGCCCCGGAGTTCCCCTGCATTCAGTTGCGACAGCGTGGCTCATATCCATCTCACTCAGATGAAATGAGCCCCCTCTGCTGCTGGGATTTTTGATCTTTAGGATTTAGGGTTTAGGGTTTAGGGTTCAGATTGGCATCACTGCGCAGTGTGGGTAGTGCTCCTTGTCTGCGGAAGGATGGTTGGGCTGCATCATTCACACATGCGCCAACCCAAAGGATCCATGTACCTTAGGGTTTAGGGTTTAGGCTTTAGGGTTTAGGGCCTATATAGTATATACTTGGGCCTTAAAGGGGTTCCTATATAGTAGCTTTAGGGCCCAAGAATATACTATGTAGGTACATGGATCCTTTGGGCAATTGTGGAGGCCACACTGTGGCTGTGGGCGCCAAGAGCGTCGGTGGTACACTCAAGTTCTGACGCATTGGGCCCCTGGATTTTACAGGCTGATAAGGAGTATATAAGGGGTATATAAGGGGTATATAAGGGGTATATAAGGGGTATATAAGGGGTATATAAGGGGTCCCCTAACTACTGTTAGATGGGGGCCTTGTAGAATTTTAAGCTGCTATGGGTTTCATTCCAAATCAACCCCAGACATGGGATGCGAAAGGGAGGCTTAGGAAAGCCCTAAGCCCTTCAACCCCAAAGCAACTAGCCTAGAACCCAGCATCCCCACAACCCTAAACCCTAAACCCTAAACCCTGAACCCTGAACCCTGAACCCTAAAGCCTAAAGCCTAAAGCCTAAAGCCTAAAGCCTAAAGCCTAAAGCCTAAAGCCTAAAGCCTAAAGCCTAAACCCTAAACCCTAAACCCTAAACCCTAAACCCTGAACTCCAACTCCCTGCTGGCAGCCTGGAGGATGTCGAACTGCCTTCTCAGCTCCTCACTCCACGTGCGCGCGCGCGTGGCAGAGGCCGGGGACTTTGGTGTCTTCTGCGATGCGGGGCTCACAGGGCACTCTAAAATTTTATAGGGTTTATGAGGTGTTGATATGGTCACCTCTCTGAATTATGGTCCCTTTTGGGGTTACTTTTAAGTAGGGTACCCAAAAAAGGGACCACAGTTTTGAGAACTGATCATATAGGGTTCTTATATAGAGTTTATTGGGGACTAACACCCTAAACCCTACAACCTAAACCCTAAACCCTAAACCCTAAACCCTAAACCCTAAACCCTAAACCCCTGGGGTTCATGTTAGGGTTTAGGGGTCCCACAGTGGCTGCGATCAAGCTGCCGCGAGGTCGCCCGCGGTGGAGGAGTCCCTGACAGCCCGTGTGCTCGACAAAGAAAGCTTTAGGGTTTAGGGTTTAGGGTTTGGGGTTTAGGGTTTGGGGTTTAGGGTTTAGGGTTTAGGGTTTGGGGTTTAGGGTTTGGGGTTTAGGGGTCCGCCGACCAACCCCTCTTTGGGTTCCCCCCCCAAACACCCCCCCCCCCCCCCCCCCCCCCGCTCCCCACCCCCCCCCCCTACCCCCCCCCCCCCACCCCCCCCCCCCCCCCCCCCCCCCCCCCACCCCCCCCCCCCCCCCACCCCCTACCCTCCCCCCCAACACCTCTCAACAGTCAACAGGAACCGCAAACAAAATCACCAAACCCCAAACCTTAAACTTGTTCTCCTGCGGGGTCGGCGGCTTGAGCCGGAGGCTCTTAAATTAGTGTTTCGGCATTCTAGGGCGTACAGGGTGTGAGGTTTGCAGGGCTATTTGTTTTTTTCTTCAGGGTCGCGGCTGGTGTTGAGTGCAGACGTGTGTTCCCAGCGGTGTTCATAAATACATATATTGTCCATCTCAACGTATCAACAATTATTTGAGCAATCACTGATGTTGGTGGCATATTCCTAAAGGATTCAAAAAATGCAAACGCCTGTGACCTTCTTAGCCCCATCCCAGACGCCCGAATGCTAAGAAGCACCTTTCCCCGAAGCCGATCGACATTCCCAAACGCCACAGCCTTAATGGGAACGTAGGGCTAAACCCTAAACCCTGAAACCCTCAAACCCTAAAACCCTAAACCCTAAACCCTAAACCCTAAACCTCCCCCCGTCTATAGACCCTCAACCCTAAACTCCGTAAATCTGAAGCCTTAGAAGCTTGAGCCCCCTCTAGAACCTGCAGTCCAACAAAAAAAGAACCTGTGAAATGCTATACCTGGCGCACTCCATAGGGTTGATGCAGGTTTAGGGTTTAGGGTTTAGGGCCCAGGGTTTAGGGTTTAGGCTGTAGGGCTTTAGGGCTTCAGGACCTTAGGGCTTTAGGGCTTTAGGTCGTGGGCTGATTTTAAGGCTTAGGGTTGAGGGTTCCGGGTTGTGATCCTCATCGGCCATGGTACTCAAAGACCCTGCGGCACTTTGTTGGGGTCTGACCATACACCCCAAAACCCTAAATCCCAAACCCTAAGCCCTTCTTCAGTAATGCAAAAGCGCCGAACCCGAACCCGTTCGGCCCGAAGCCCAGGCAGGAAGCCCTCAGCCCCAAACCCTTAACCCTCCGGTAAGGCCTCTCGACCCGAAAGCTTAAAGCCCTATACCCTGAACCCTTAAAACCCTGTAAGGCCTGGAGACCCTAAACCCTACACCATATAAACCCTATAAACCCTGAACCCTAAGCCCTAGACCCTAAACACTAAACCCTAAACCCTACACCCTAAACCCTACACCCTAAACCCTACACCCTAAACCCTAAACCCTAAACCCTAAACCCTAAACCCCAAACCCCAAACCCTACACCCTAAACCCTAAACCCCAAACCCCAAACTCCTAAGCCTAGGCGTTCATGCCAGGCCCACGACTCGACTCGCCTGACGCGGCTGTGCAGTTCCTGACCGGAGTGCACCGACAGGGCTTGTGAAAAAGGGTTCTTAAGGGTTTAGGGTTTAGGGTTTAATTAGGGTTTAGGGTTTAGGGTCTAGGGTTTGGGGTTTAGGGTTGGGGTTTAGGGTTTAGGGTTTGGGGCTTGGGGCTTTGGGGCTTTGGGGCTTTGGAGCTTTAGCGCTTAGCGATTAGCGCTTGGCGCTTAGGGTTTAGGAACTTAGGGTTTAGGGGTTCAGGGTTTAGGTAGGGCTTAGGAGTTGTTAGAGTTAGGGCTTAGGGTCCAGGGTTGAGGGTCCAGGGCACGAGTTTTTAGGTCTCCCGCGGGTGTGCATCTTAAACTTGCTGAGGATTTGAGTTTGGGGTTTGCGGCCGTGCTTGGAAGTTCACGGGTAGCTTTTATCTGAGCGTAGAGGTAGGGCATTTTACCGTATAAGACGAATGATTGAACATAGGCTTGCGGGGGGGGGGGGGGGAGAGGGCGATAATCACATTTGTTTTGTCCGGCAACCCTAAACCCTCAACCCTCAGCCCTAAGCCCTAAGCCCTAAACCCTAAACCCTAAACCCCGTGAGCCTTTGAGCTTCAGGTTTGGGGTCTCAGCTATAGAGGTGCTTCGGCTGCTCAGATATATATGTATATATATATATATCTATCTATCTATACACACATACAAAAACATACATACACTAGACCCAAAAGTACCCTAGGTGCAAAAAGGGGGCGCCCTTTTGTGTTAAAGGGGACTCTAAAGGACCCTAAACCCCCAAAAAAAGGAATAAGATGGAATAAGGGCCTACTCCGGGTCCAAGTACGCAGTGACCTTATCATATGACTTCCATTGGGGTCACAAAATGCTAGGAGTTGGGGTCACCAATCAGCCCACATTTTATAAGCCTTCCACCTTTTGCCTCAACTTCTCGAGCCTCAGAAGACGTCTACTTGGGAGGTTCATGGGTTTAGGGTTTAGGGTTTAGCGGTATATTCTTGCTCGGTTAACAGAAAGGAAGCATGCAGTTATGAATTGGTACAGCTATTCCCACTAGGCAAGGTAAGGACTGTTTTCTGGCAGCTCGCCTGGTGTTTGACATGACATGCAGCTGGTGCGCTTCTCAGACGCAGGTGCTCCGACGTGACTCCGTTTTCCGAGAGGGTCCACTTTGGTATTTTGGTAGTACAGCACAACCCGGTATACCCAGTGGGCATCAACGGACCTGTGGGTTTCAGAGGAGGCAGCATGAGAGAGCCTCATCAGGAACCGTGCTCTGGGCATTGTCATTCTTGACACCTCCATCAGGTCCAGCTTCACAATGCTCCGTGAACACGCTCCTCTCCTCGGCATCTTGCGATGCACGGCCAGCGGTGGCAAGTTCATGCTGTTCGTCTTGTGGGTCCATGCCAGCATTACCAGCTCTAGCACGTAGCAAACCCACGACCTCGAAATAACAGTTCGCAGATGCACGGCGAAGGGCACTATGTCCATTCCTGTCCAACACGTCCTTGTCTGCACGAGCTTCAAGCAGGAGGCGGACAACCTCAACATGACCATGGGCAGCTGCGCAATGAAGGGCGGTCTGTCCCATGCCCCCGGACTTCGAGCTGGAACTCCGACACAAAGATGTAGGGCAGTCACATCCTTCCTCCGGGAGGTCCTGGAACAAGGGAACCGTTGAGATGCTTCGACCCTTTTGTTGGCCTTTTTGCTGTTTATGTGGTGGGGAGGGGGGGGGGGGCCTATAAGCCCTAAACATGAAACCCCAAGCAAACCGCGTGCAGCCATCCTTCACGTCTGTGTCGGCGCCAGCTCGAAGCAGCATCCGGGCAATCTCCACGTGTCCCTTCGCAGAAGCGAGATGCAGGGCCCTTGAGCCATGCACATCCCGAAGCTCTGTGTTGGCACCAGCCTCCAGCAGCAAGCGCACAACATCGGAGTGACCGTGGCCAACTGCTTGAAGAAGGCAAGTGCTTTGATCCCAGGCGTCCTGCAAGTCTATACTTGCCCTGGCTTCAAGCAAGATGCACAAAATCCCAACCAAGCCTCTCATAGATGCATGATGAAGGGCCGTCCGGGCATAACGGTCCTGTACATCCACATCGAGACCAGCTTCCAGCAGCATTTCCACGATCTCAATATGACCCTTTGCAGAGGCACTGTGCAGGGCCGTGAGGCCGAACCCCTCATCGCCCTCTTCCTGAGTGTACATGTCAGCATCAGCTGCCAGCAGCAGTCGTGTGATCTCAACATGGCCTCTGGCAGATGACATATGAAGGGCTGTCGAACCGGAGCCATCCCGCAGGTCCGTGCTGGCACCCGCATCAAGCAGCAGCCGTGTAATCTCCATGTGGTCTCCAGCGGATGAGAGGTGCAGGGCCGTCGAGCCAGACGCATCCAGCAGGTCCCTGCTCGCACCCGCATCCAGCAGCAACCGTGTCATCTCAATCTGGCCTCTAGCACAGGCGATGTGAAGTGCTGAACGTCCATAACTCGTGGTGAGCTCGTCCGGTTCAATGCCAGCTTCCAGCAAAAGCTGCGCAACCTCGACATGGCTCCAGCAGCATGCCATGTGCAGAGCGGTGCTGCCAGCTTTGTCCCTAGTTTTCTTGTCAGCTCCAGCTTGCAACAGGAGCTGCACAATCTGAATGCGGCCCCTGCCGGCTGCATGATGAAGAGCAGTGCGGCCACAGCTGTCCTGTGTGTTCACGTCAATGCCAGCTTGCACCAAGAACAAGGCCGTCTGAGTGTGCCCTTTGCCAGATGCGCGTAGAAGGGCTGCGTGGCCTCCTGCTCCTTGCACGTAGCTCTGTATGTCGGGTCCCAGGAGCATTTGGGCTATGTCAGCATGGTCTCCCTCGAAGGCGAGATCAAGGGCAGTACGGCCGAGGAACCCTTCCTGATCCTTTGCAGCGCCAGCCTGCAAGAGCAGGCTTGCCACCTCAAAGTGGCCGTGTTCAGCTGCCGCCAGAAGGGTTGAGTTCAAGGCCTCTTGACCGAGGCCCGCATCCAACAAACAACGTGCAACATTGGCACCAACATGGCCCTGTAAGGTTGGGCACACAGAGAGCTCCCTCTCAGCGTGACGCTGCGAGATGCTGGAGGCAGTCACCAGCACTAGCTGCAACTCACACGGCGTGTCCAACTTGTCATGATCCAACAGGATCGTGCTGCCATGCACAAGCTGTTGCAGGCATACGGGGATACCCGACGACGAGCGTACATGGTGCTTCAGCTCTAACACGCTCCGCAGGCCACTCAGCTCCTCCTCTGTCAAGCAGGCAAGCTGCTGCCCAGACGTTTTCCAGATACGCAGCATGGTGCGAGACTCTAAACCCGAACCCCTCCATCGCCTGAGCAAGGCCAAAAACCCACACCGGCGGCTGTCCCAGAGGGTTCCCTACAAACTACATTACCTTAGCCCACCCGGATGACCCGAAAAAAGGAAATCCTAAACACACTAAACCCCCCAAACCCTAAACCCCCAATGCCAAAATCCCCACACCCTAGACCCCACTCGCAAAACGCCTTAAACCCCTCAATGCCAAGCATCATACCCCTAAAACCTAAACCCTAAACCCTAAAGTCCAATGCCTCCACACTTTGAAGAGCACCCTCCACGAGCTTCTTCAGTCCTGGCGCCGCTTGAGTTCACTGCAGGGTTGAGGGCAAGGTTTCGGGTTTAGGGTTTAGGGTTTAGGGCTTCTAGGGTTCTAGGATTCTAGGGTTCTAGGGTTTAGGGCTTCTAGGATTCAGGGCTTATAGGGCTTAGGGTTTGAGGCTTTAGGGGTTAGGGTTTGAGTCTTAGGTCGATCCTCCCTGAATGAAACTAGGTTGTTCGTTGGCGCCTGGAAATCGTACATACGTTGGTACAGTAGGATTCCGGAGACCAAAACAGCAAAACAAAAGCGACCACTCAACAGCCTAATCAAAGCCCGAATACTTTGATAACAAACCTGAACCCGCAGAAATCAACAATCCATGGTCCGAAACTATTAGGCGGAACACATAAAGCCCCAAGACACACCGAAGCCCCAAGCCCCCCAACAACCTAAATCCCAAAACTTCATCCAGAAATCCAACACTCCAAACCCGAAACCAAAAAACTCAAGCACAACAAAAACAATAAGATCCAGAATCTTGAGGCCCCCAAAAATTCAAAAGGCCTAAATTAGAAACCTTAATTATAAGCCCTCAACATAAAACATTGGCCACGAAACCCATGAATCGGCATATACACCACCCAACAAATCTGTTCAAATTTTAGGGTTTAGGGTTTAGGGTACCAAGGGTTTAGGGTTTAGGGTACCAACCCTCAACCAGCCAAATGCAGAAACAAAAGAAAAACCGAACGAACCGTAAGGAACATGTTGGTAGCTAGTTCGGCCCAAACCCTAAACACCCTAAACCCGAACCAACTCTAAACCCTAAACCCTGAACCCCCCTACTAGGCTCGTGGAGTCGTGGATAAACCACCCAGATCCAGACCTTGACTGCCTGGCTGCCACATGCGGTCGACGGATGCATGGCGCCTGGCTTAGGGTTTAGGGTTTAGGGTTTAGGGTTTAGGATTTAGGGTTTAGGGTTTAGGGTTTAGGGCTTAGGGCTGAGGGTTTAGGGTTTAGGGTTTAGGGCTTAGGGTTTAGGGTTTAGGGTTCTCTATATTATGGTCCCTCAATTTGTGGGGTACCCAACATTCAGGGGCCGTCTTAGAATATGGACCCCAAAGGGACAATAGTTTTTGTTGCTGTGACCCTTCTTCACCTTAGACTCAGACTCCCTAACACCTAGGCCATAAACCTTGAACCCCCTAACCCCCTGCAACCGTTGAGCTCTAAACCAAAAACACCTATAAACCCTAAACCCTGAACTCTGATCCCTAAGCCCTAAACAACCCTAAGTCTTGTATCGTAAACCACATAGCCCTGTAACCATATATGAGGGCAGGTGCTTTGGGGGTTTAGGGCTTAGGGTGACTTCATACGGGAACCTTGAACCAAGAAAAAGGAAGGGTACCACTGGCCTACCAAGAAACTACAGCTCATAACTGCCAGAACAGCAGTCTCCGGTCCAACTCCCGATTCTCGAATCTCAAACCTCAAAAAGCCCTAAAACCCTGTGTAGGATGGGGTTCGAGGTTCATGAACCCTAAACCCTCGACCCTCAACCGCTAAATACATCCTGAACCCGAAGCCTTACTTACACGATACTCCGAAAGCCTCGCACTCGCCGCAAGACTTTGCTTTGCGGCCCAGCGCCCGCTACGGGGACCTCGATTAAGGTTCAAGCTTTAGGAGATTTAGGGTATAGGGTTTAGGGCTTAGGGTTTAGGGGATTTAGGGTTTTGGGTTTGGGGCTAGGGCCTCGGGGTGCTTAGGGGAGTTTGGGGCTTACGGCTTATAAGTTTGAGCCTGTAGGGTTTAGAGTTTAGGGGTTTTCGGGGCTTAGGGGCGCAGGAGGGCTGACCAATCGGCATCAAGTTCCGCGTGACTGGCGGTGATGCTGTTGAAGCGACTTCGCGAGGCCTTGCTGCCTGAGCTGGCAATGGCTCTCCTGTCAGGCAAAGTCCGAAGGAAGTCTGCCTCGGGGCAAAACTTGCCCAAGGTGAGACTCACAATCCTCTCCAGCGTGGCAAGTGCAGCGCGACGATTCTCACCCTGTTCTCCTCGGTGTTGTCCGTCTGGCCTGCCTTCGTCGCATCGTCGCAGCAAAAGAACTGCATGCCCTTGGACAGCTTGTCCGCCATGTCCTTGATCTTCTGGTGCCAGGACCCCTTCGTTTTGGGCCCATACCGCACATTGTACGTCGAAATGCACCACACAACCACACAGCAAACTTCATGAAGGGTTTAGGGTTTAGGCTTTAGGGCGACAAGGGGTCTCAGGGCTTAGGGCTTAGGGCTTAGGGCTTCTGCCCTAAACCCTAGAGGCTGGAGGTCGCTAAGTTGTTTAGGGATGCGGCCGTCGTTAATGCGGTGCGGAGTCGGGAGTGGGGTTTAGGGTTTAGGGTTTAGAGTTTAGGGTTTAGGGTTTAGCTTAAACAGCACACCCGACAAGCTCCCGCTCAAAACGCGGAGCACCTTAAGGGCATGGAAACATGAAAGACCCGACCGCGCGCTCATCACCCACAGATCTCTGCATTTAAGCCTGCATACAAGGTGCACAAACCCTTCACATCCCTAAACCCGAAACCCTAAAGCCCGAACCCTAAATTGGAGGTCCACATGGAGGTTCAGGGCATTTAGTAACCCAAACATAAGTGCAGCTAGAACCCACTGAACCTTAAGTACCTTGACAGGGGACATAATTGGGATATAAAGACAGCCATATTTAGATTACTAGGTAGCATGAACCTCCAAGTAACGTTTAAACTGCTGAGACCACGAACCCTGAAATCCTAAACCACGCTGCTTACAAGCCTCAAGCCCCGAACATAGCGCCCCCAGAGCCTGCATGCCGCACCCTCAATCGGCCCATAAACCTGAAAGGCACAATTCTTTGAAAACCGAAGACTCTGAATCCGGCACCAGTCCTGGCACACCCTAAGCCCGTATAGGCCTTTAAAGCCCGAATCATCCACGGGCCCTATGCTATGAATTGCCAGCCCCAAACACATTAAAGCGACGGCCCCTTAGCCGATAGCCTCAAGCCAAAACCTCTCTATCTTCGGGTAGTTACAAGTCTTCGGAGACCTTGTACATCCCCTTATGTACCCCGTCCAAGGGGCCATGCAGGCACCCTTCCCCAATTCGCATTGAATATGCAAATCCTGTGCCCAGAGCTCGGCAAACCAGAGTGATAAGGGATGACCAACCTGGCCCTAAACCTAAACCAAAAACCCCGTATACACCTTGGGAACTCCACAAGTGGGCACCCTACATGTATAGAACTTGCAAGCTGATGCCCTAAACCCTAAACTCCAAACCTTAAACCCCGTATGTAAAGCCTTTGTTCCCCTCTTAAAGTGGGTGCCCAGAAGCTGCTGGGGTTCGTGGACCCTGGCTCCGTCTTGTCCAGCGTCCCTCGGAGCCTGACGGGATACATTAGGTTTAGTTTAGGGTTGAGGGTTGAGGGTTGAGGGTTGAGGGTTGAGGGTTGAGGGCTGAGGGCTGAGGGTTGAGGGCTGAGGGTTGAGGGGTTGAGGGGTTGAGGGGTTGAGAGTTTGCTGCGAGATGGTGAAGACGCTGTGAAGGTTAGGATGCAGACCAGCTTCGAAGGCCTAACAAGCCAAAGGCGGCTTCGGCTTCGGCCCGATTCTGGAGGGGCCATCTAACACTTTCCCCCACCCCACGTCTCGGGCGATTTAAAAAACTTAGGGTTTGAGGTTTAGGGTTTTAAACTGGGCCTAAACTGAACTCAATTGCCTGCTTCCCACATACTTCCTCCGTCCAGCGCCGCTTGAGGGGCTTCCTTCACAAAGCCTGGCTGGTTCTTAGCAGGGAATCAGGGAACGAGGTACCCTGTAGAATCCCTTCAAGGGCTATGGGGCCTTTATTCCCTCATTCCCTGCTAAGAACCAAGGGGGAAGCCCTGATTTAGAATCTCTAAGGGTGACCCAGGATTCAAGGAAAAAAAACAAAGAGGCCGATTCCACTGACAACGATACACGGATTCTGATGATCTCTGAAGTGTCCAGGAGTCCAGGTCCTTAAGCCCCGCCCCCTCCCCCTCCACTGTAGCGGGGCGGCCTGTTTGTTTATAGGGTTTTGTGGTTTGCTTTGTTTTGCACTTGAGCGCGCATTTAGGGGACCCTCGCTAAGAACCCTTAAACCCGACACCATTCCGGCCTCGTCGTCATTTCCGACAAGGCTTCCCGGTACCTCAGTTGCTACCCGTATTCCTAAACCCTAAACCCTAAACACTCATGATATGAGGGTGAGGTGAGGAGTCCGACCCTGGGGTTGCGGGCCGATGTGATTTTTGGAGTTTCGGGGAGGTAGAAGGGAATAGGGCTTAGGGTTTCAAATTTTAGGGTCAGGGGGAATTCTATCAAAGGCGATGGGTCTGCTTGGGCTTCCAGATGCTCATTTTCGATCGAAGGGGCTAGATCCGGAGCCCTTTTCCAGCGTTGACAGACTGAAGATGGTTCAGGGTTTAGGGCTTAGGTTGAAGGATTCCAGTCTGCAGACATCAGAGTCAAAAGACCTTTTCAGTCCTCAATTGGCTGTGGCGGATTGTGGAATATTGCTTGAAACCCTAAACCCTAAACCCTAAACCCCTAAACCCCTAAACCCCTAAACCCCTAAACCCCTAAACCCCTAAAGCCCTAAACCCCTAAACCCCTAAACCCCTAAACCCCTAAACCCCTCAACCCCTAAACCCCTAAACCCCTAAACCCCTAAACCCCTAAACCCCTAAACCCTAAACCCTGAACCCTGAACCCTGCTGAACCCTGAATCCTAAACCTTTAACCCAAATCCTAAACCCTGAACAGTGAACCCTAAACCCACATCCTAAACCAACCCTGATCCGAGCCAGGTTGCGCCATAAGAAGGCTCTGAACAACCTCGTGCCACTGTCGCTTCGTGTACCCAACCAGTTTTAGGGCTTAGGGTACATCTGTGGTTACAACTGCAGCTGTACCTGGAGGTTCAGGGCACCTCGTAACCAAATTTATAACTGTACTTGTAACCATAAGCGGGTTATATATATATATATAACTGCACTTACAATTGGCTACGAGGTACCCCGAACCTCCAAGTAAGTATTTCTGAAGCACCCTGGACCTCCAATTTGGGGTTTGGGGTTTGGGGTTTAGGGATAGGGTTTAGCGATGATAAGGGTTCTGTGCACCTTGTAGCCCTCAAAAGCCCTCATCGAGCCACAACATAACACGAAAGCAATCTCAAAAAACAGACTTGCAATCCCTTTTGACTAAGTAAATAGGGTTCGTAAGCTGGGTGACAAGGGTTCTTGAAGGGACTTCTACAGGATCCTGAATCGACTTACTAAGTCAAACGAGCCCCCAAGTGACCCCAGAAGCCCAAACCCGAAATAGCTAGCAACAAGCAAGCGTAGATACCTGAACCAGTAAACCCTAAATCGACAACATTCGCGAGGCCCTATATGTAGAAGCTGAACCTGGGCCCGTAACCAACACCCTAAACTGTTAACCCCAAACCCTAAATTCCTTCCCTGGCCTCGGAGAGCCTCAACCCTAAACCCTAAACCCTAAACCCTAAACCCTAAACCCTAAACCCTAAACCCTAAACCCTAAATCCTAAACCCTAAACCCCAAAAATCCTAAACGTCCTAAAACCCCCAAAAAGCCCAAAGCCCCAAGCCCTAAACCCTAAGCCCTAGACCCTAAAACTCCCGTTAAAACCCTCACAGCCCTGAAAAAACCCCAAACCCAAAAAAGCCGATAAAAAACTCCAACAATCCTATAACAACCTCAAATACCCTATTAACAAAAAACCCTACAAACCCTATAACAAAACCTGAAAACCCCTAAAAACCCCTAGAAAATCAGAAGCTGGAGGCCTCCAGCTGCCGCTTTAGCGGCTGGAGCTCGGCTTGGCATGTGCAGGGGGGCCTCGGGGCTTTAAGGTTCGTAGAGCTTGGGGGGGTTTAGGGTTTAGGGTTTAGGGTTTAGGGTTTAGGGTTTAGGGTTTAGGGTCTAGGGTTTAGGGTTTAGGGCTTAGGGTTCTTAGAACTTGGGGGTTTGGGTTTTAAGGGTTTTTTGCGCCTGTGTTTAGGTGGCTTGGGTTTTTGGGTCTAAGTCCTTGCCGGGTTTTGGGCCTGGGGCTTAGGGTTGAGGGTTTAGGGTTCGGGGTTCGGGGTTCAGGGTTTAGGGTTTAGGGGAAAAGCAGTTGGCTGTTTTTTGGGAGCCGTTGTGGGGATCTGATGGAGTTTCGCGGCCTTGTGAGGCGTCGTTAAAGTTTAAGTCTTGATTGATGTTGGACGAAGTGTTCTGCATGTCTTCTTGGGAGGGGGGTTGCTATGTTTGAAGAAGACTTTTTTGGGGAGTAAGTAGACTCTCCGGGTTTGCCAAGTGCCCCCTCGCCCTATCCTATCTTCAAGGCCTCAAATTCTCCACTCCCACCCCACCACCCCCGGTTGCTCTCAACAAGCCTACACCTGAGCCTTACTAAACCAAGTTCTCCCCCTTCCTCCAAACCCTGAACATCCATCGTCCCTACAACCCTAAACCCTAAACCCTGAAACCCTGGTTGAGGGTTTAGGGTTCAGCTTTGGCCAGGACTTCCTAGGCCCTCAAACCCCGAAGTCCCCAGAACCCAGAGACTGGAACAACCGCTTCACTATTCCCTAGGCTGCCCAGTAACCAAGGCTTAGAAAGGGTGCCCTTTTTTTGCTTAAAGGGGCCTATAAGGGAACCTAAACCCCCCAAAAAGGGAATAAGGGTACTACTGGGCATCCTAGTTCCCCTCCTTTTCGGGAGGATGCCGTGGAGGTTTAGGTGTCATAAGGCTTAGGGTGTAGGGTTTAGGGTGTAAGGGACTCTGGGACCCTTACAACTTACAAGCCCAAAAGGCCTTAAATGCCAACCCCCTGAACCCCAAACCCAAAACAAAACCGAGGCTTGCTTCTATTTGCGGCCAAGAGAACGGCTTGGGAAGCGAGGCCAAACCTCGACACCACCCTAAACCCTAATTCAACTCTGAGTTTGGGAGTTCATTACAAGTGAAACCACCCATGCATTGCCCGGTCGACCCTAAACACCAAGCCTGGGTGGCTCAAGGGAGGTTTGCTAAGCCCTCTCTCTTAGGGTTTAGGGTTTAGGGTTTAGGGTTTAGGGTTTAGGGTTTAGGGTTTAGGGTTTAGGGTTTAGGGTTTAGGGTTCAGGGGGCTACTCCTGGTAGCTCAGTACCAAAATTCAATAACGGCACCCTATTGGGTTGGTGACTTTATAATACGATTGAAAGACTGGCGGAAGCTTGAAGCAAGATTCTGTCGGCATGAGGCTGTCGGGTGCCCACCCTAAACCCGAAACCCTAAACCCTAAACCTTAAACCCTACACCCTAAACCCTAAACCCTAAACCCTATAATCCTACCCTAACAGTCCATGTACCTACATGGGGAACACTTGGGCCTCACATGTGCTTCCTATATAGGGACTTTAAGGGGCGCAAATATATAATAACATGGTACGTGACCCTTTAGGGCTAGACCCTGAACCCGTAACCCTGGATAAACTCTATACAAAACCCTGTGAACACCCTAAAGATTTGCCGCAGTTGAAGCGAGAGTGAGCTCTAGTTCATACTATCTTTGCAAAGAGGAGTTTTAAGGGGGCACTGTTAACTGTCTCAGTTCCTGAAAGAACTCGTGGCTCTAAACCCTACACCCTCAACCCTAAACTAACCAAACCCTAAACCCTCCCATCTCTGCTGAGGGCGACACGGTTCATCACCTCCAGACAGCAGGTTTAGGGTTGCGGGTTTAGGGTTCTCCCTGAGCCCGATACCCCCAGAATCCCCAAACCGCAACGCCCTGAATCCCTAAACCCCACCAGAACCCAAAGCCCGTAAACTCGCATGCACCCCTCATGTGACCTTTAAAACGGATCTTGGGGTAGCTACATGGTCTCTCAATATGGTGTCCTTACTTGTGGAAGCCTTGTATCCCACTCTTTGAAGAAGGTAAGGGACTAAATTAAGGGACCATGCAAATACCCTTAGACCTTAACAAACACCCCGGATTCGACCTGAGTGGGTCCAAGGTTGCTCTCCTTGGTTTAGGACTTAGGGTTTTGGGTTTAGGGTTTAGGGTTAGGGTCTTGAAATCTGGGAACAGGCCGAGTAGGTTCGGGGTGTTTAGGACTAGGGATTAGGGTTTAGGACTTTCGGGTATCTGCAACTCCCGAGCCTCCTGCCGCACGCCATCTACGTTCTGCTCCGTTGCCAGGAACTGCCCGGAGACATCTTGCCTTCAGAAGTTTACGACTCCGAAAAACCTAAACCCTAAGCCCTAAGCCCTAAACCCTAAACCCTAAACCCTAAACCCTAAACCCTAAACCCTAAACCCGGGGCACCTGGGGGTTCAGGGTACTTATAACCCAGTTAGAAGTGTAGTTCTAACCCACTGACAAGCCTCTTGAGTGCCCTGATTGGGTTAGAAATGGGTTAAAGGTACACGAAAAACTGGGTTACTCCGTGCCAGTCTTATCACTGGTTACAAGCTCTCATATGGGTTCGTTAATCCAACTCTGCTTGTAACCCATACTTGGAGGTTCATGGTACGTAGTAACCCAATTACAACTGTACTCATAACCCAATCATGACCCTATTATAGGGTACTTAAGGGGCGTTTCAGTGGGTTCTAACTACACTTACAACTAAACCCTAAACCCTTACACTTGGGTTACTAAGTACCCTGAACTTCCAAGTATGCGTTCGATCAAGCAGGGGCGCAGGGACCACCATGGTTCGGAAGCTTAGTGTACAAGACCCACATGAAGCCGTTTAGGTTTTAGGGTTTATGGGGTTTTATAGGGTTTATGGGGTTTACAGGGTTTATAGGGTTCATAGGGTTTTATAGGGTTTATAGGGTTTATAGGGTTTATAGGGTTTATAGGGTTGCTTGCCCTACTTGTAGGCTGGGGGATTGTGGGCCACGTATGGTTATATCCCCACTTGTGAATACCGACGACCCAGCCTGACTATACTTAAACCCTCCAACCCTTGGCTACGTACTGCTCTGGGGTTTGGGTTTGCGGGAGGTCTCGGTGTTCAGGTGGCCCTAGGGTTTATGCTGCAATCCGGATGTTTCTTTCCCGACATGTTTTCAAGTAGTCCGAATTTGGCTTTTGTGCTATAGCTCTGTCCCCTAAGGTCCGAAACCCTAGAACGCCCTCTTCAATCCCTAAACCCAAAACGTTGGTTGGCCCTTTCAGCCCGCTGAAACAGACGATCCTCTTACACCCCCACTTGGTAGCCGAGCAATTAACCATCTTATAATAAGGGTACCCTTTTTGGGGTTGCTCATTTCTATAAAGGAACCCAGACACTCAGCTACCAAGCCCATAAGGGGAAAAGACCAAAATCTCCCAGGGGCCCACCCGAACCCTAAGAGTGCGGATGCCTCAACGAGGCATCCTCAATGATGGTCCATCCCGAGACTCTCCCAACATTGTGTTGTGACCCTAGACCCGAATCAAGGGGCCTGAATAATTAGAATAGGGTTCTGGGGGTTCTTATAGTAGAACTACAGAGGGACCATAAGGGATTGGAAATTCTTCCGACCCCTGTAGTAAACCTTAAACCCTGCACCTGAGGCCGTAAGCCCTGAACCAAACCCTCTTCATAGGGGATAGGATTAGGGGGACCCTTGGGGATAAAGACCCTCTGAATAAGGTCCCTGTTTAAGAGAGCCAGAAGAGGGTTCAGAAGGGGTTCCCCTTTAAGGGTCCCCCTTCTCCTACCTAGGACTTCAATCCCTACCCTCCCTTACACAGGGGCCCCATGCCTCCACCGAGTGACCTCTGCAGTCAGCAGACCTGGGCCCGTACAGGGCGCAGGTCTTTAGATTAGGGTTTAGGGTTTAGGGTTTTAGGGTTTAGGGTTTAGGGTTTAGGGTTTAGGGTTTAGGGTTTAGGGTTTAGGGTTTAGGGTTTAGGGTTTAGGGTTTGGGGTCAAAACACAATTGTCGGCTTGACAGCCTTGGGAAATGGCTCTTCAGAGTTGTTGGGGTGAAGCTTAGGGTTTTAGCATGCTCTTGAAGGCTGAGAGTGCAAAATGTGGGCTTGTTCTTAGGGTTTAGGGCTGAATTCGGGTTTTTAGAAGTTTAGGGCTTTAGGGGTTGGGGGTTAGGGTTGAGGGTTTAGGGTTCCGGGTTTAGGGTTTAGGATCCCAGGTTTGGGGGTTTACGTTTAGACCCTAAAACTCCAAGCTGCCTGCAGACAGAGCGCTCAGTGCTTCATCCTGCTTTGAGGTGATCTTGGCCTCGAGCTCCTCACAACTTGCGATCGGGGTTTGGGGTTTAGGGTTTAGGGTTTTCGTGTTGAAGATTAGAGGGTTTAGGATTTAGGGTTTAGGCTTTGAAGGTTTAGGGTTTTAGGGTTTACGGCTCAAAGGTCTAGGGCTGAAGATTGTTGGCTAGGGTTCGTAGGTTTCTTGCGTCGGGCACCAAAGGGTTGAGATTCTTGGGGTAGATGACCAGCACAGCCACAATACTTCAACATTGTTCGCCCTAGAAGCTGCACGTGTTGACCAGCAAAAAAAGTGCAGACACCCTGGGAAAATTAACACACCAGGCAAAACGAATACGCAAGGGTCCCCAACTCACGCCAAGCACAACTTCCAGTGATGACGACAACAGCTGCAAGCAGGTCTGCAATGGCTCAGGCAATACGAATACATATTGGTCTCCATCGCACGACGCGTGACCAGCTCGGATGATAACGCAGGTTTGGAATGTCTCATCTTCGCCAACACATGCCAGTGCAAGCAGGTAACTCACGCCAAGCACAACTTGCAGTCAACAACGACAACAGCTACAAGCACGTGTGCAATGGCTCAGGCAATACGAATACATAATGGTCTCCATCGCACGGCGCGTGCCCAGCTCGGATGATAACGCAGGTTTGGAAAGTCTCATCTTCGCCAACACATGCCAGGGCAAGCAGGCAAACTCACGCCAAGCACAACTTGCAGTCATAACGACAACGGCTACAAGCACGTGCGCAATGGCTCAGGCAATACGAATACATAATGGTCTCCATCGCACGGCGCGTGACCAGCTCGGATGATAACGCAGGTTTGGAATGTCTCATCTTCGCCAACACATGCCAGTGCAAGCAGGTAACTCACGCCAAGCACAACTTGCAGTCAACAACAACAACAACAACAACAGCTACAAGCACGTGTGCAATGGCTCAGGCAATACGAATACATAATGGTCTCCATCGCACGGCGCGTGACCAGCTCGGATGATAACGCAGGTTTGGAAAGTCTCATCTTCGCCAACACATGCCAGTGCAAGCAGCTAACTCACGCCAAGCACAACTTGCAGTCATAACGACAACAGCTACAAGCACGTGCGCAATGGCTCAGACAATACGAATACATAATGGTCTCCATCGCACGGCGCGTGACCAGCTCGGATGATAACGCAGGTTTGGAATGTCTCATCTTCGCCAACACATGCCAGTGCAAGCAGGCAAACTCACGCCAAGCACAACTTGCAGTAATAACGACAACAGCTACAAGGATGTGTGTAATGGCTCAGGCAATACGAATACATAATGGTCTCCATCGCACGGCGCGTGCCCAGCTCGGATGATAACGCAGGTTTGGAATGTCTCATCTTCGCCAACACACGCCAGTGCAAGCAAGTAACTCGCGCCAACCACAACTTGCAGTCAATAACGACAACAGCTACAAGCATGTGTGCAATGGCTCAGGCAATACGAATACATAATGGTCTCCATCGCACGGCGCGTGCCCAGCTCGGATGATAACGCAGGTTTGGAATGTCTCATCTTCGCCAACACATGCCAGTGCAAGCAGGTAACTCACGCCAAGCACAACTTGCAGTCAACAACAACAACAGCTACAAGCACGTGTGCAACGGCTCAGGCAATACGAATACATAATGGTCTCCATCGCACGGCGCGTGCCCAGCTCGGATGATAACGCAGGTTTGGAATGTCTCATCTTCGCCAACACATGCCAGTGCAAGCAGGTAACTCACGCCAAGCACAAGTTGCAGTCAACAACAACAACAACAACAACAGCTACAAGCACGTGTGCAATGGCTCAGGCAATACGAATACATAATGGTCTCCATCGCACGGCGCGTGCCCAGCTCGGATGATAACGCAGGTTTGGAATGTCTCATCTTCGCCAACACATGCCAGTGCAAGCAAGTAACTCACGCCAAGCACAACTTGCAGTCAATGACGACAACAGCTACAAGCACGTGTGCAACGGCTCAGGCAATACGAATACATAATGGTCTCCATCGCACGGCGCGTGACCAGCTCGGATGATAACGCAGGTTTGGAATGTCTCATCTTCGCCAACACATGCCAGTGCAAGCAGGTAACTCACGCCAAGCACAACTTGCAGTCATGACGACAACAGCTACAAGCACGTGTGCAATGGCTCAGGCAATACGAATACATAATGGTCTCCATCGCACGGCGCGTGACCAGCTCGGATGATAACGCAGGTTTGGAATGTCTCATCTTCGCCAACGCATGCCAGTGCAAGCAGGCAAACTCACGCCAAGCACAACTTGCAGTCATAACGACAACAGCTACAAGCACGTGCGCAATGGCTCAGGCAATACGAATACATAATGGTCTCCATCGCACGGCGCGTGCCCAGCTCGGATGATAACGCAGGTTTGGAATGTCTCATCTTCGCCACCACATGCCAGCGCAAGCAGGCAAACTCACGCCAAGCACAAGTTGCAGTCAACAACAACAACAACAACAACAACAACAGCTACAAGCACGCGTGCAATGGCTCAGGCAATACGAATACATAATGGCCTCCATCGCACGGCGCGTGACCAGCTCGGATGATAACGCAGGTTTGGAATGTCTCATCTTCGCCAACGCATGCCAGTGCAAGCAGGCAAACTCACGCCAAGCACAACTTGCAGTCAATGACGACAACAGCTACAAGCACGTCTGCAATGGCTCAGGCAATACGAATACAAACTGGTCTCCATCGCACGGCGCGTGACCAGCTCGGATGATAACGCAGGTTTGGAATGTCTCATCTTCGCCAACACATGCCAGTGCAAGCAAGTAACTCACGCCAAGCACAACTTGCAGTCATAACGAAACCGGCAACACGCACGTCTGCAATGGCTCAGGCAATACGAATACAAACTGGTCTCCATCGCACGGCGCGTGACCAGCTCGGATGATAACGCAGGTTTGGAAAGTCTCATCTTCGCCAACACATGCCAGAGCAAGCAGGCAACTCACGCCAAGCACAACTTGCAGTCATAACGACACCGGCTACACGCACGTGCGCAATGGCTCAGGCAATACGAATACAAACTGGTCTCCATGGCACGGCGCGTGACCAGCTCGGATGATAACGCAGGTTTGGAAAGTCTCATCTTCGCCAACACATGCCAGTGCAAACAGGCAACTCACGCCAAGCACAACTTGCAGTCACAACGAAACCGGCTACACGCACGTGTGCAATGGCTCAGGCAATACGAATACAAACTGGTCTCCATGGCACGGCGCATGACCAGCTCGGATGATAACGCAGGTTTGGAAAGTCTCATCGTCGCCAACACATGCCAGTGCAAACAGGCAACTCACGCCAAGCACAACTTGCAGTCATGACGACAACAGCTACAAGCACATGTGCAATGGCTCAGGCAATACGAATACATAATGGTCTCCATCGCACGGCGCGTGACCAGCTCGGATGATAACGCAGGTTTGGAATGTCTCATCTTCGCCAACGCATGCCAGTGCAAGCAGGCAAACTCACGCCAAGCACAACTTGCAGTCATAACGACAACAGCTACAAGCACGTGCGCAATGGCTCAGGCAATACGCATACAAACTGGTCTCCATGGCACGGCGCATGACCAGCTCGGATGATAACGCAGGTTTGGAATGTCTCATCTTCGCCAACACATGCCAGTGCAAGCAGGTAACTCACGCCAAGCACAACTTGTAAGTCATAACGACAGGAGCCTCAAGCACAGGCATTGCAGTCCAATCCCACCCTAAACCCTAAACCCTAAACCCTAAACCCTAAACCCTAAACCGAAAACCCCTAAACCCTCAACTCGCAAAGCTTGACAGCCAAACTTCGAAAGCACCCACACAAGCACAAGAGCCCATTTCATCCTACATGTGCATTTTGTTCAGAGGGTTTAGAAACCGCCCTAATTGAGCCCCAAACCGCAAACTTGCATAACACCAAATCCTAAACCCCCCCGATTTCTATAACTCTAAACCCCAAACCCACAACCCTAAACCCTAAACCCTAAACCCCAAACCCCAAACCCTAAACCCTAACCTCCCCCAAGATTCCCTGCCTTGGCATCAGCCGTATGCGCCTGGAGGGCCGCAAGCTCGCGCCACAAGGCCTGGTTTAGGGTTTTAGGGTTTAGGGCTATAGGGTTTAGGGTTTAGGGTTTAGGGTTTAGGGTTTAGGGTTTAGGGTTTAGGGTTTAGGGTTTAGGGTTTAGGGTGTAGGGTTTAGCCACTGTGCCCAAGAGCCTACCAGCTGGCGTGGCGGTGCTGGCCGATACTTGGGGGGTAGGAGGCGCCATGGAAGGTTCTTCGGCGTGGGTTCTGGAATCGGATTGGTGCAACTTGGTGGGGCAAGCTTTGTGCGAGCCCGCAGTCTGCCCGTCATGTCCTGATCCAGTTCAGGTTCTGCATCCACAAGAGCTGTCCCTGCTGCATCATGTCCATCAGATTGGCCCTTGTTTCGCCCCGAGCTCCACCGTGCGCATTGAAGGTTGTCGTGCTGCGGTTCCGGTTGTAGGTGCAACGGCCGATGCCCGTGTCCAGGACCTCACCCCTGGCCCGGCCTTTGGGGTCCTAGGTGGTTTAGCCCCGAGCCCCACCGCGCGCGTCAATGCTTGTCACGCTGCCAGGGTTCCGGTAAGTGCCAAGGCCGATGCCCGTGTCCAGGACCTCACCCCTGGCCCGGCCATTGTAGGGGTTCTGGGTGGTTTAGCCCCGAGCCCCACCGTGCGCGTCAATGCCTGTCACGCTGGCAGGGTTCCCGTAGGTGCCAAGGCCGATGCCCGTGTCCAGGACCTCACCCCTGGCCCGGCCATAGGGGTCCTTGGTGGTTTAGCCCCGAGCCCCACCATGCGCGTCGAAGATTGTCATGCTGTCAGGGTTCCGGTTGTAGGTGCCAAGGCCGATGCCCGTGTCCAGGACCTCACCCCTGGCCCGGCCATTGGGGTCCTAGGTGGTTTAGCCCCGAGCCCCACCGCGTGCGTCAAAGCTTGTCGCGCTGACAGGGTTCCAGTTGTAGGTGCCAAGGCCGATGCCCGTGTCCAGGACCTCACCCCTGGCCCGGCCATAGGGGTCCTAGGTGGTTTAGCCCCGAGCCCCACCACGCATGAAGGTTTTGACGCTGCCAGGTTTCCAGTTGTAGGTGCAATGGCCGATGCCCGTGTCCAGGACCTCACCCCTGGCCCGGCCTTAGGGGTTCTAGGTGGGTTTGTCCCCAACCCTCCCGTGGGCATTGAAGGTTTTCGTGCTGCCAGGCTTGTAGGTGCAACGGCCGATGCCCGTGTCCAGGACCTCACCCCTGGCCCGGCCATAGGGGTTTTAGGTGTAGACCCGAGCCCCCCCTTAAGCCTGGAGGTGGAGGCTGCGTCGTCCGTGCCATTTGCGGAGGAGGAAATCGTCCGTTTTGTGTCGTCTGAGACCCGGCCCTTGGTTGAGGCGCTCTGCCAGGCCGGCTTAGCGGACAGGCTCCCATGGCAGGTGTGGGATGAACAGCGGCTGTTGCTTGCAGGGTCTGCGGCTGTAGTGGCAGGCCAGGCATACTGGGCACACTGTCTAGCTCCAAAAGGACCTAGGCAGTTGAGCACGGCCCCCTGTAACACAAGTGCGTGTGCTTTGCCTGCTGACGTCCAGTCCTTTCTCCAACCGATCGTGCCGACAACGTGGCGTCGACAGGCTCTGACGCAACAAGGGCCTTTCTTGGCAGATGATCAGGTTGCAGCAAGCCTCAAGTGCCTGGCGAGCTTCACCCAGCGTAGTGTCATAGTGCTAGATCCTCTGATGCTTCAAGCTGCGGTGGCTCATGAAAGCCACAGCATCCTAACTACGTTCCTTGCGGGTGTCCAGCAGCCCTTCGAAGTGATTTCGGCCTTTTGCTCCCATGACCATTGGGTGTTTGTTCATTGGCATGTTTCCCTTGGCACTGTTGAAGCGTGGACAAGCTCCACCGCAAAGCTGCATGATGCTGATGTGGCAGTGGCGCACTGCGTTTTTGGCCGGGCGCTTGGCTTACATGCACGTTCTTTCCGGTTCCACGATGCCCCTGCCAGGGTCGAAAGCCCCAACTTGTGTGGGCCGCTTGGTTTGGTCGACCTGCTGTGTCAGTTGCAAGGTGCTGAGCCATGGGCGTTTGAGCATGCTTGCGATACGGCGGCGTGGGTTCTGGCTGCGTTCGTGGCTTCTCTTGACCGCGACGGCCATGTGCGTCAGCCCGTTCTGTTGGCAGGTGCCTTGCATGGAGCTGGGGCCCACCCACTCTTGGTCCAGGGCCTAGCGGCCACCCTGCGCCAGAAAGGTGTGCCGGCCGAGGCGGCGTCCGACCGTGCTCAGTCTGCAATATGCCAACTTGGTGCGGCAGCTGTCCAGAAGGCAATGACTTCGGCCCAGCCTTGGAAGCAGTTGAAAGCCTTGGCCAATCAGGCAAAGCCAGTGTTCCAGTGGATTCTTCCGTCCGAGCTTCAGGTTCACATCGAAGCCCGGTTGGCGTCGGGTGACGGCCCGAGCCATCGCCGAGCTCAACGCAAAGCGCGCAGTGTTTCAGGGCCATTGGCGCCCAGCAGCAAGGAGGTACAGGCGCCTAGGCCAGACCAGGTTGAGGTTCCCGACGGTGTCTTCATCCAGGCCAAAGGTGGCGAAGCCTTGTGTGCGCTCTCCCTGCTTGAGGTAGGACCTCAGGCAGAAGGGGTCGTCTTGGTGACGCCGGCGGAGGCGTTGCCTTACCTTGCACTCTCGAGCCCAGTTTCCAAGCGTGCGTTGGCGCTCCTTGTCCTTGGGGATATCTGTGTGTCTGGGGCCACCGCGCCTGTGTCCCAGGTTCGGTTCCAGGCCCAGTGCGTTGAGACATCTGAGCCTATGCTACTGACAGCAACCATGATCCAGATTGGCGATGTTTGGGTGGCCAAGGCTGTGCCTACTCAGGTGGCGCCGCTTGATGTCGTTGATTCCACCTTGGTTCGGGTTGCATGCTTCAAGGACCAGTGGCCTGGAGTATGGCGGGAACTGATTCAGGCACCAGTGCGAGCAATTCTTTCTCAATGCCCTCAGCTCAGGACGTGTCGCGCCTTGGACTGTGCGTGCCCGTCGTGGCATGGCCTTAGCGGCCCAGGGGAGCCCGAAGCTCTCCTGGAGGTTTTTGGCAGGCAGTTCTTGAACGAGAATTACAAGGGGGCATCACCGTCCGAAGCTTTTGTGTTCAACGCCATCCTGCGTATCCCGAGCCAGCTAGTGGCTCCGCTCCAGGCTGCATCCGGCCAGGCAGGCCTCTACTTCGAGCCCAGGGGCGCTGACCTACGCGCCCCGTCGCTCCAGTGGACCGTTGTCTGGTTGCCGCGTCATTCTCACGCAGAGGCTTTGGTAAAGAAGCAGGCGCACACTGAGGTGGCAGGGCTGGCGCGAGTCGGTGAGCGCTATGGCTTGAGATGCCTCGCTGCTCAGGCGCGGGAGCTTCACAGCAAGGTGCGGCCGGATGCAGAGTACATCCCACGCGAAGGGGCAGTCACGTATCACGTGGGCCCGTGGCCCTTTGGAAGCCAACGCCACACCTTGGCCAAGACATTCCGAGCCATCTCGTGGCCAGCCATCCCTCAGCAGCCCTTGCCTGGTGGTCAAGGCGCGGGCATTTGGTGGGTAGTCCAGGCCTCGGAGCGTCCTGGCAGATCTGTCATTCCCACAGCCCAAGGGGAAATCCTGATCGTTGAGCAAAAGGCCCGTGTGGTCGAAGCGCCACGCGTGCCGACTGTCGTTGCGTCCAAGTCTGCCCTTCGTCGCCTCTCGGAATCCCGTGTCGAGGCTGATCCCCTTGATGTGTCAGACCCATGGCAACAGTATTTGGATGGCAAGGCTAGTGGACAGAGCCAGGCACTCCGCGGGGAATCATCAGGATCCTCCGGACCAAGAGCCCAGGGTGTCACTCAGGCGGAGTTCCAGCAGCTGGCGCGCCGACTTGAAGAGTCGGTGGGCACACAGGTTGCCACACAGGTTTCGCAGGCGCACAGGTCTTTTGATGGCGAAGGTTGGTTCTCTTCATCAAAGGGTCGATGCCCAAGAGCAAGGTCTGCAGCAGGTCATCCAGAACATGTTTGCGGCCCAGACGCAGCGCATCGAGGAGCTCCTTGGAGCGAAACGCCACCGTGAGCAGTGACTAGGTTGGGTTTGTGGAGCGGGGTTTAGGGGTTGGGGTGCGCAGGTCAGCTGCCCTGTGGGTAGGTGCGAGGTGCCGCGAGCATTCCGCGGATGCGGTGGTTGGTGGCACGTTGTTTGGCTTGCTTTCTTTCTCTCTTTTCATTGGGGTGAGGCGTGCCATCCAGGACCTGTCCGGCAATCAGGTAGGTTTCAGGTTGGCGCCATTAACCCGACAGGGTTGAATGGAAAGGCCTCTGTTCTTTCAACGATCCATCCTGGCATCTGGGGCATATCTGAGACTCATCTTTCAGCCCAAGGCTTGCGCCAGTTTAGGCAAGGTCTGCGTTTGAACCAGGCCCCATTCACGTTTCTCCCGGGGGCCCCGGCGCCCCTGCGTACCGGAAGCCAAACTTCAGGTGGATACACAGGAGTCGGCTTTGCATCTTCATATCCCGTCCGGGCATCCCCGACCGGGCGGCACCAGGATGTGTGGAATACCGCACGCGTCCAATTGGCCTCTTTTTACGTGGCTCCTTTTTGGGTCCAAGGGGCAGTGGTTTATGGCTACCCGGCGGACCAAGCCAAGACGCACGTTCTTCTAGATGCGGTCACTGAGCGGTTGGTGCTTAACTCTCGCGGCCCGAGGTTTGTTGTGGGTGACATGAATCTCCTGCCTCAACAGCTTGAAGCTGCCCACCCCGAATGGTGCCAGCATGGGTTTCGTGAAATTCAGGCGGTCGCGGCAGCGAGATGGGGCTGGCAGGTGCAGTCTACATGCAAGCATGCCACTCAGAAAGACCACCTCTGGGTGTCACCTGAGCTTGCCTCCATGCTGTGCGAGGTGCAGGTGCAGCATGACGTTTTTGCGGACCATGCAGTGCTGGTGGGCACGTTCTTAGGAGGTCAGGCCATGTTATCGCGGTTTTGTTGGCGCATGCCCCAGCCTGCGCTTGAACCAAAGGCAAAGGTGCAACCGCTGTCGACGCAGCCAGCCGTGCCATTGGACACATCTCGCCCTTCACAGGCCTACTCTTCCTTGTGGCGTCAGTATGAGGACCGATGGTCCGACGACAGAAGCGCGCGACAAATCGAGCCCTTGACTGAGGCCCAACGTGGCCGGGCAGCCACCCTGGATACCAAACTTGTTCGCACGGCTCCCGTACCGATGACTAAGGGCAGGCATGGTGAGGCCGAGGTAACCTTCTTTGGTGGGGATTGGTGGTTCGGTCGGTGGTTCAAGCAGCTTCGTCGTTTGCAGGCCTACATGCAGGTCGCGTGCAGTGCGGCAAGGTCGGAAGGCCGAGCCGAAGCCCAAGCCAATCGGTGGCGCGCTGTTCGCCGAGCAGCAGGTTTCAAACCGTCGTTTGCAGAGTGGTGGCTATGTCGCAAAGTTCGCATGGCTGGGGATCCAGACAGGATGCCTGTCAACCCGCCAGGGGCCCAGTGTGCGCAGCAAATCTTTCAGACGTTCGAGGCTTGTTTCCGTGACTTGGAAAGCCAACTTAAGAAGCACACGCGCAAACTGGCGCAGCAGCGCCGGGTGGACAATCCATCTTTGATTTTTCGGGACATGAAGCCTGATCAGGCTGAGCCGGTAGAGACCCTTGTCTCAGGCACCAAGGCCAGAGTCCAGGAAGTGAGGGCTGATGAGGGGTTGGTGGTGCTTGATGGTTCGCCGGCTTGGGTGCCAGAGCTTCCGTTTCATGTCGGCGAGCGGGCGCTTGAGGTGCATCACACCGAGGAGGAATGTTTGTGGGGCGACGTCGCAAGCCTGCGCCCGAACGACTTGGTGCGCCAGGACGTGCTGCTCGGGGACCTCCCCCAAATCTTCCAAGCCTTCGCCAAAGAATGGATTCAAAGGTGGATCCGGCCGGACCACTTGGAGGCGCATAGGTGGGACGGCCTGTTGGCCAGCTTTCCGTTGCCCCAAGGCCGACCTATGGTGCTCCCGCCCATTTCTGAAGAGACATGGCGAGCGGCGGCGCGGGCGAAGCGGTCTTCGGCAGCCATAGGGCCTGACGGCGTGTCACGCGATGACTTGTTGCGCCTTCCCTCGGATCTTGTGCAAGGCATGTTGGCCATTTACCAGGAAGCCGAGACCACCGGCAAATGGCCTGAACAAATGCTGGTAGGCATAGTGGCAGCGTTGGCAAAGGTGCCACACGCCAGGGAGGTGACGCAGTACAGGCCAATAACGGTCTTGTCGTTGTCATATAGGGTTTGGGGGTCTATCCGCGCGCGTCAGGCGCTGGCCTATCTCCGGGGAGTGGTGCCTGACACGCTGTATGGCAACATGCCGGGGAGGGCTGCGGCTACCATTTGGTGGCAGCTTCAGGCAGAGGTGGAGCGTGCGCAAGCCCAGGGCTACGTTCTGGCAGGGGCTGCCCTTGATTTGCAGAAAGCCTTCAACACTTTGCCCAGGGTGCCAGTTCTTGCTCTTGCCGAGTTGGTTGGCCTCCCGGCTGGGTTGGTGAGAGGTTGGTCCGGCGCTTTAACTGGGGTGCAGCGCAGGTTTAAGGTACGTGGTTCCGTCGGTCCGGCCTTGCTTGCCAATGCAGGCTTTCCAGAAGGCGATGCCATGTCCGTTGTCGCCATGGCGCTGGTTGACTTAGCACTCCATCATCATATAGCAGCACAGGTGCCTCTTTCCAAAGTCATTTCCTTCGTGGACGACTGGCAGCATCTCACACGCCATCCGGCCGTCATCCCGGAGGCAGTCCAAGCCACCAAGGCCTTTGCGCAATCCTGGGACATCGCGCTGGATGAGTCTAAAACTAAGGTCTGGGCGACAACCGCGGAAGCCCGGAAGGCACTTCGAAACCAAGGTTTCCAGACCACGCTGGATGCTCGTGATTTAGGGGGCCATCTGTCCTTCTCTAAACGTGTATCTGTCTATACCATCACGACCAGGATTAAATCAATGCAGCCCCTCTGGCCGCGGCTTCAGCTGTCACCTGCCCCCTTTGAGCAGAAGCTTCGTGCTCTCTCAGTGGCGGCCTGGCCGCGCGCGCTTCATGGCATTTCGGTTGTTCTCTGGGGGGATGGGCACTTTGACGGGTTGCGTAGTGCGGCTGTGCGAGGGCTAGGGGCCAAGCGGCCTGGGCTCAACCCAGCTGTTTTGTTGGGGCTCACTGTTTATCCGGTGGCCGATCCTGCCTTCTTTGCGCTTCTTTCCACATTCAGAGATCTTCGAACCCATGGGTCGCCAGCAACAGTGGGCCAGTTGGCCGATCCCATTGCTGTGGGGGCACTTCCTGTAGGCACGGGGCCGGTTTCGGTTTGGTTGGGTAGGTGTAATGCGGTGGGTTTGGCTTGGAGGCCCGAAGTGCAGATGCTGGAGGATTCACTGGGGGCTTTTGATCCTTGGGCCACCTCCATGCAGGAGGTTGAGCTGCGATTGGTTCGCGCGTGGCAGGGATCCATCGCATCCCGCGTGCAGCATCGGCGAGGGTTTGCAGGGTTGAGACAGGCTGATCCTGTCCTCACGCGCAAGCTTACAGCCCAGTGGCCGGCTGAGGACAGGGCCTTGATACGCATCACGCTCACAGGGGCCTTCTTTACAGAGGATGCCTTGCACCACATTGGAGGCGGCGATTCGCCATTATGTCCCTTTTGCGACCAGCGTGACGGCGTTGAGCATAGGGTTTGGCGCTGCACTGCTTTCAACCGCGAGCGCCAGCAGGCCCTTCGGGGGAGCACTTTCACTTTCGAGGACTTACCGCCGTGCCAGTCCATGCATGGTTGGTGCATGCAGCCGCGTGAGCTTGACGTGCTACAGCAAGAACTGCTCGGCATACCGTGCTTGCTTTGTGATTTTCAGGTGCCGCATTCGGCAGAAGATCAGATCGACTTGTTTACCGATGGGTCATGTTTGCTTCCAAGAGAACACCGCCTGCGTTTGGCAGCTTGGGCTGTCACAGTTGCGGCCCCCGTGGGCGAGCCAGCAGTCATCCTTGCAGCAGGGCCGGTGCCAGGCCTTGTGCAGACTGCCTATCGCGGCGAGCTGTCCGCAGTTCTGTCTGCCCTCAAGTATGCGCAGGCCTCAGGACGTAGGGTTCGCCTTTGGAGTGATTGTCTGGGGGTAGTTCGGGGTGTTCGGGGGTTGGTTGAGGGGTCGGTTCGGCTCGTTAGGCCAACGGCGCGAAACGCCGACCTTTGGCTGCAGGTCCGAGACATTTTGTGGGAATATCCTGACCGTTTTGGGGGCATCTTTAAGGTTCCAGCGCATGAGGCATTGGGGGAGGATGCCACTTTCTTTGAGGAATGGATACGCCACAACAATGATCAGGTCGATGGGGCAGCGAAGCAGGCCAATCGCGCGAGGCCACAGCGGTTCTGGGATATCTGGGATGAGGTGCGTCGTGACGTGGCGTACCAGCAGCATGTGGGCAGCATCGTCTTGGGCCTCCACAGGGCCATCGGACGTGCTTCGTGCAGGGCAAAACGCAAGCAGCGTGAGCCGGCTGACGTCGAGCTGCAGGTGGTGCCACCTGTGCCGGATGAAAGATCTCTGACGTGCCCCGTGGTCCCTGAGCGAGATTTGGCCACTGTTTTCGCCAAGTTTGGAAGGCCTTATGTGATGGTCTTAAGCAACTGGCTCCGTTTGGTCACTGGCGCTGGTGGCGTTGTAGCTGCTCGACCCCGCTGGGTTTCTCTGGCACAACTTTACCTTGCATTCCGACATGCCACGGGAATGGAAATACCATTTTATAGGCAGTCTTCGAAGGCATGGTACTCAACGGCCCCAGGGCCAGAGGAGATGTTGCGTGAGGTTCCCCTAGGTCGGCGAGCAACTTGGTTTTTGACCCAGGTCAAGGCCGTGGTCAAAGCTGCTGGCGGAAACTGGTACACTCAGGAGACCCGGCCGTCTTCTGCCATTCTCCAGTGCCGCCTCCTTTCCGTCTACATGCGCTTCCCGGCAGAGCAGTTGGAGGCCGTGGAGTCGCTTTTGGCAGCAAGGCTGGGACGTGAATGCCAACGACATGATCGCAGATGGGCTGCCCTAACTTCGTTGTGATCGCTTTGATTTATGATTTCGTGTTTCTTGGAGCCTCGAGGCTTATTCCTAGTCTTTCGCCCAAGGCGTCGGATTGGCGCAAGCGCCGCCATAGTTGCTACGCTTGAGCTGTTATGGAAAGGGTGGAAAGGGTGTAGGGTTTAAGGGTTTAAGGGTTTTAGGGCTTTGGGGTTTTGGGGTTTAGGGTTTTGAGGCTTTAGGGTTTTCTCAAGCGGTATTCTTTTGGGGGGTTCCTAGAATAAGGATTGGTCCTTGAGGATTGCCGACTCAGGGTTCGGGACTTCGGGCAAAAGGGCTTGTAGCTAGGCTGACCCAAGAGTAGCCCCCACAATGAGGGAATCTAAACTCTAAAGAAGGGAACAAGGGCCTACTCTGGGTCCCAGGTAGTGTTTTTGAGGATTCTGAGGACTTCGAGGATGTTCGGTTCCAGGTCCAGGGCTCATTTCAAAATTGTAATGGACTTTGGGATCACTTAAGGAGAAAGGGCTTGTGTGGTTGAGGGTTTCGAGGTTCTTGCTCGAGGGTTATAGGGTTTGTAGACAGGGGTTGAAGTGTTTAGGAAGACGGAGCAATGCGCACTTGCCTTCATGTCACCCAGCGTGGCCTCAGGAGGACGGTGCTTCCAACTTCGATTACAACACGAGATAGAACCATCCTGGCCCTACTTTTGTCCCCAGTTACATGTGGGATCATGATGTTGCGGAACGTTCCGTTGCAAAGCAGAATTTCAGTCGTGGGTGGGGGTACAGGGGGTTTGCTTGAGCAGATGAGGGTTGAGGGTTGAGGGTTTTGGGTTTAAGGTGCAGGGTTTTGGGTACAGTCCTTCTAGTCTAGGGGATGCCCACAAGTTTTGAGGAAAAAGGAAGGTCTACCCTAAACCCTAAACCCTAAACCCTAAACCCTAAACCCTTCGCAGGACGCCTCATATACCCCCTATATACACTATCCAACCCAAGGGCCCATACATCAGAACCCTTCACAGGAGGCACTAAACCCTAAACCCTAAACCCTAAACCCTAAACCCTAAACCCTAAACCCTAAACCCTGGGACCATATTTAGGGCCCATAGAACTGCCCTTAGAGTAGGGCAGGTCGTGGGGTGAGGGGGCTTAAGAGTCTAAGCTTCACGGACTTGCCTTGTTGGAGAGAGTAGGGATTCCGGGCCTGAGGGAAACCCTAAACCCTAAACCCTAAACCCCAAACCCTAAACCCTAAACCCCGAAACCCTAAACCCTTAACCCCAAACTCAAAATCCTGGCTTGGGCTTCAGGTTCAAGAGTTGAGGTGCCATCGGCAGATGAGATGAGGGCTGAGGTGCGGCAAGAGACGCATGGCCGCGACACTACTGCGTTTAGGGTTTAGGGTTTAGGGTTTAGGGTTTAGGGTTTAGGGTTTAGGGTTTAGGGCTTAGGGTTTAGGGTTTAGGGTTTAGGGTTTAGGGTTTATACAGCTGATTCATCGAGGGAATGGCGCAAAACGTTACACAGCATGGAAACCTGCAATGCTGTTGGAGGACCCTGTGCAGAAAGTTGCGCCCTAAACCCTGAACCCGAGTACATGGCAGCACTTTACTATAGTTCGGGAAAGCTGATTCAGAAGTCCTTATATATATGTATATATATATATATATACATATATATATATATATAGGCCCACCAAAGGTAGAGATGTTGCTGATTGGTCAGTGGTGCACCTATAAGCCCTGACTAAAGAGGTGAAAATGTCAAATTTTCTTAAGCGCCTCTCTAGAAACAGCGCCCTAACACTCAACCGCAAAGCCTTTGAAACGCCAAAGCCTAGAACCCTAAAACGTCTGAACCCTGGGGCACCACGCGCCTCTAGATAGTATATACGGGGCCCTAAAGCTACTATGTGGGAACCCTTTCAAGGCCCAAGTATAAACCATATGGGTATATCCCCAAATAGGGGTACCCCTTCTATACCCTGAATAGAACCAGGGACCCCCGAACAGGGTACCCCTATTTTCGGAAACCCCTATATGGGTATATACGGTATATGGACCCTTACTTGGAGGTTCATGGTACCTAGTAACCCAATTCTAACTGCACTTAGAACGCAATTATATAACCCTATTAGTATTAGGGTACTTAAGGGTCTTATAAGTGGGTTAGAACTACACGTGTAGTTGGGACATAAGTACCCTGAACCAAGTAGGGTATGAACTCTTGGGCGCCCTGCACTGTAGTCACTCCGACTTTGCCGCAGCTGCTCGTCCGCAGCAGCCTGCTTCTGCTCCAACTCCTCCGTGCTAGGGCTTGCGGCCCTGAACCCTAAACCCGAAACCCTAAACCCCAAACCCTAAACCCTAAACCCGAAACCCGAAACCCGAAACCCTATACACCCTAAACCCTATAAACCCTAAACCCCCGAAACCCTAATCCCCCTGAACCCTACATCCAAACCCCTGAACCCTGATCGCCCATGCAAGCCTCTAAAGCCTATAAAACCTAAGCTGGCCACTGCAAGAGCCCATATGTGGATATTTCGGAACAAACTGTTCAGGGTTCAAGGTGTACTTGGAGGTTCAAGGCACTTATAACCCAATTATAAGTGTACCTATAACCCACTTATAAGCCACCCCAATACAGTTATAATTGGGTCATAAGTACAGCAATAATCGGGATACTAAGTACCATCAACCTCCCAGTAGGGTTTAGGGTTTCGGGCTTCGGGTTCAGGATTCAAAGTTGAGGTTTTAGGAGTTCAGGATTTAGGTGACCGTTCGCGGGCAGGCCTCCGCCCCTCCCCAGAGTGTTGTAATAGAACGGTGCCCACCCAGATCTTGCCTTTAGGATTGATGTAAGCAGGGCTTCGGGTTTCGGGGTCAGGGTTGAGGGAAATGGGGCTATAGGATTGAGTATCAGGACTTTGAAAAACAACATGGAGGCTTACGAAAAATGTAGATCCCCAAATAGTAGGATTTCCCTTATATTAAGGACCCCAACAAGGTACCCCTAATTTAGGAAAGCGAACATTTCAAGGTGGTGCACGCCGATTTCGAGGGAGTGTTTCAGGGCTATGAAAGGCATTTCCGGATGAAGAAGAAGTGCCACACTAAAACCCTAGACCCTAAACCCTGTGGATCCCAAACCCAATTTGGTTCCCGTTGCGCATCCAGCGTGGCAAAGGGTCGGGCGAGCCGCACTTTTCGGCAGGCCCTGTGTGGCTGAAAAGAGAAGGTCCAGCAGAGGATCAGATGGCGTGCACTCTGGGTGCTGAGCTCTACAAGAGGAAGATGTTGCGGTCTTGGGGTAAACCCTAAACCCTAAATAAACCCTGAACCCTGAACCCTGAACTCTGAACCCTGAACCCTGAACCCTGAACCCTAAACCCTAAACCCTAAAGCAGGGTTTGGGATTGGTTTTTTTAGGGTTATAAGCATTAAGGGATTTGGGGGGGGGGGGCACAAGAGGAAGGAGTCGGGAATGAGCCTCGAACACCTTCAGCACTACGGGTTTAGGGTTTAGGGTTTAGGGTTTAGGGTTTAGGGTTTAGGGTTTAGGGTTTAGGGTTTAGGGTTAAACTCTGAACCTGTTCAGAACTGGAATTCAAGGGGGTCAAGTGCTTTCAAGGCACAATCCTCCAAAGGCGGTATAGTACCCCCCTACCATTGTCCCTAGTAAAGACTGCCAGAAAAAGCGGGAACATCCCAGTCTGAACCCCTAAACCGCGTCTTTGGGGGAAGATTTGCCTCGATCCCAGGATTGGCAGCAGAAGAGTCTACAGGGTTTTAGATGTGGGTCTTTTGGGGTGTTTGGGCGCAGAGTTCAGAGTTTATAGGATTTTGGGTTTAGGGTTCAGGGTTTAGGGTCGAGGGCGCACGTCGGTTTTGGGATTTTAGTTTTGGCTTCGGATTTAGGGTTTAGGCCGTGTGAAGAGGCTCATGAGAAGTTCTGCAAAATGAACGTAAAATCACTGTACAGTTCTAATTCCCTAGAAAACCTTGTTTGGGGCTCATGTAACCCTTTTACCTACCACTGAACCTGCAAGCGTATCATAAACGCATCCCTAAGCCCACTACACTTCCGGCTTAGAGTTTAGGGTCTAGGGTTTACGGTCGAGCGTGCGTGCTCGTGTGGCCAACGATCTTTGCTGACCCTCCAAAACACTGACATGCAGAGCCCACAGAAGTTTTGCGGGCAGAATGAGACAGACAAAGATGCATCCACGACACTTGACATCTTCACCCCCCCCCTTTATCGTTTCACACTTCCTCAACCTAAAGCCTAAACCCTTCAAACATAACCAGCTAACAACACGGCGCTTTGGTTTGCACAAAGGAGGGTTGAGGGTGTTGTGGTTGAGTAAGGGTGAGGGTTTAGGGTTTAGGGCTCAGGGACCAGCATCATGCGGCGATCAGGCAAGTGACCGTGGATGCTTCGAGCAGCTTATACAAGTGGCCAAGCGTAGCAGAATGCGTTCCTGAATGCCAGAACAAGGTGATAAGCAATCATAGCCACAGTCATCCTGCATGTAGCAGTTGTTGACCTCCAAGTAGACCCTAAACCCTAAACCCTAAACCCTGAACCCTAGGCCCTAAGCCCTAAGCCCTAAGCCCTAAGCTCTCTCAAGCCGTAGTGGAAGGCAATCAAAGGCTTATTGGGCCCATGCTGGGGTTCTTCGAAAGCTGATTCTTATGTTAAGACCACCCTGAACCCCGAAACTTCCACAAACCCCAAACCCTATACAAACCCCTGGACCAATAAAATTCTAAAACCCTAAACCCCTAGCCCAGAACATCCTAAGCCCTAAACCCTAAACCCTAAACCCCTAGCCCAAAGCATCCTAAGCCCCCCCCCCCCCAACCCCTGAGTGGCATGGAGCGCGCGGGCTGTGGCTGTTCACTGTGAGCATGCCGCTAGCAACCTGCCTGACACACAGGTTTGATCGGTTTAGGGTTTGGGGTTTAGGGTCTAGGGTCTGGGGTTTGGGGTTTGGGGTTTAGGGTTTCGAGCTTACTGTTGTTGGTTTAGGGTTTAGGATTGAGCGCTTAAAAGGGCTCAGGGGGTTGTGGGGGGCTTTAAAGGTGGTTTAGGCCTCTCTTCATCCGTACTCCTAAACTCATATCTTCATGATTTCATGACTGCAGGCAGTGCACCCGAAGCCCTAAACCGCATATGCCCTGATCCCTAAACCCTAAGGCCCAGAACCTACATCTTAAACCCTAGCGAAGCGACTTTAGGTGTTACAGGTTGAGGGATTTGCCCTTGCGCACCCTGGCCCATCCGGACACATATGTTCGACTCCACACCACGTCACTAGAACCTTAGAACCGCTAAACCCTATAGAGCCCTAGAACCCTGAACCCTACACCGCGAGAACCCTCACTTACCCCTAATGGCCCACATGTTAAACCCGAGAACGCCAACTCCGCAAAGCCCCTAATCCCTACAAACCGAGTACCCTAGAACCCTAAAACCCCCCCTAAGAGCTCCAGGCCACAACCCAAAACCCCTGAAACCCTAAACCCAGCCCCCTACCCCCCCCCCCCCCCCAAAAAAAAAAAAAAAAAAAAACACAAGAAAAACACCAGCACCTCGGGAGGTCACTGAGCCGGCGCTGGCGGGGCGGCTGCACCCGCCTGAGCCTTCCCGGAGTACTTTTGGGGGTGTGGGGTTTGGGGTTTAGGATGCCCAACCCTGCTTACGAACGGCTTAAGTGCGCCTTAAGGGAGCTGTTTTTGCTATCTTAAAGGGTAATTATTTGGGGGTCTGGGAGGGTGCGGGAGTTTTAGGGTTCGGGAGCTTCACGGCTCAGGGTTTAGGAGCTCAAGGTTTACCTCGGAAACCCAGTAACCTGTACTAACGGTCACAAACGAAACTAGCTTTTGACATGTCTTTGAAGGGGAGGGGGGGTTGTGGCGCCTGATTCGTGACGTCGAAACATGTGCTACACCCAAACTCTTGCGACCATCATAATTACTCACAACATCGCGATGTGTCTCAGAATTCCTCCTGCCACAGCTGGGTCAGACACCTCGAGACAGTTTCCATGTGCACCGTGCGTGTGCGCACAGTTCGTGACAAAGCTGAGACCTTGCCAATAGAATCAACGTTTCCTAGTCAAACCCGAAAGCCTAAAACCTAATCTCCAGGCTCCCCGGCCCTAGCTCCTTCAAACTCCTGCAGTCCTTTTCTTCAAGCCCTGCAAATCCTAAACAAAGCTTTGACGGAAGCCTGAGCTTGCGCCTTCTGTGCCACCTTGCGTCGGCATATAGAGTTTCAGCGGTTGAGGGCTTGTACGGGTCAGGGTTTAGGGTTAAGGGCAGGGTTTAGCATAGGGTTTAACATAGGGTTCATGGTAGTGCTTAGGAGGTTAGCATGGGGTTTGGTAAGGTTTCAGGGTTTAGGGGAGCTGGAGGTTGCGGGTTTCCTTCGAGGTTCATAGGAAGATATCGCCGGGAGTTTTACGTAGGGTTACTACCTTACTAGGAAAGCATTCTGTCATTAGGATTTAGGCGCCTTCTGTCTCCTAATACAACCCTCCAAGGCACTCTATGGGGCACCTAATCTAATTGCCTGCAAGAACCAGCAAGCTACAGAAAAAACTTGTAAAGAGTTGTCGCTAAGCTCTAAACCCTAAACCCTAAACCCTAAACCCTAAACCCTAAACCCTAAACCCTAAACCCTAAACCCTACACCCTAAACACTAAACACTAAACCCTAAATCGAAGCAGGGCGCTTCAAGCCCAGGGTTTTCGGAGGTTAAACAGTAGGTTTTCGGGTTTCGCGCAGTTGTCTTTTCGGAAGGAAGGGCTTATCATCGGTTCCCCTACTACCCCTCCATACTACCCCCCCTCTTTCCCTTGTTAAGGCTGTTTAGGGAGAATTTAGCCTAGTGAGGTTGAGGTTTTTTCAGGGTTGGTCTAGAGGGGGGTACCAGTGGAACCCATGGGCTCAGGGCGTAGATCTGCTTGGGGGGAAGAACCAGTTCTCTCCTACTTCGACCTAGGGTGTGGGGTTTAGGGTTTTAGCATATTCGGGTTTCGAGTGGGTTTGCAGGGTGGATGGAGGCTGGTATACAAGATATACTCTGTTTTCGATTTAAGTTTAGGGTTTCAGCCCAACACCGAAGCCTAAACCTCCAAACCCTAACTCGAAGGGTTTAGGGCTTAGGGTTTAGGGTTTCCCTAAACCCTAAACCCTAAACTCCAAACCCTACAACCTTACGACCCTAAACCCTAAACCCCAAACTTTAAGCCCTAAGACCTAAACCCTAAAAAAAGCCATTGAAACACGAGAAAACGACTGGCGCCAGCCCAGGTGGCCGGAAGGAACAGCTTGAACTCTGGCGGCAGCTCTTCCTTTGGCAGACTGAGGGTTAGGGTTTGGGGTTTGGGGTTTGGGGTCTTAAGGGTTTCAGGTTTAGGGTTTCAGGGCTTTTGGTTAGGAGCTTTAGGGGTTTTAGGGGCTTTAGGAGCTTTAGGGTTTAAAGGTTTAAAGGGCTTGAGGCTTCCCAAGACTTGGGGTGTTAAGGCTCAGGGTTTAGGGTTTAGGGTCTTAGGGTCTTAGGGTCTTAGGGTCTTAGGGTCTTAGGGTCTTAGGGTCTTAGGGTCTTAGGGTCTTAGGGTCTTAGGGTCTTAGGGTCTTAGGGCTTAGGGTTTAGGGTGTAGGGTTTGGGGTTTAGGGTTTAGGGTTTAGGGTTTAGGGTTTAGGGTTCAGGGTTTAGGGTTTAGGGTTTAGGGTGTAGGGTTTGGGGTGTTAAGGCTTGGGGGGGGTTTAGGGTTTGGGGTTGAGGGGCTCTTGGAGCTTCTGCAGAGCTGCGGTTTAGGGTTTAGGGTTTAGGGTTTAGGTTTTAGGGTTTAGGGTTTAGGGTTTGGGGTTTAGGGTTTGGGGTTTAGGGTTTAGGGTTTAGGGTTTAGGGCTTCGAGGAGGTGGCTCTTGCCTCGCTGTAGAGGCGGTCGCTGAAGTAGATTCGGCGGATGCCTAGGCAGTGATGGAAGGCTCAGGGTTGACGGGGTTTAGGGTTTGGGGTTTAGGGTTTAGGTGTTTATGGGTTTAGGGTTTTCTGTGTTTTGGGGGTTAGGGGTTTTCAGGGTTCAGGGTTTAGCTTCTTGGCTCCACTCCAGGCGATTCGGTTTGGGGCCTAGGGCTCAGGGATTTCTAGGGTTTCGTAGTGTTCACTGGGGCTTGGTAGGGTTTAGGAGGGTTTAGGAGGGTTCAGCCTTTTTTGGGATTGTAGCTAGGCCCTCGACGCCCTAAACACCACACCAAGACACCTACAGTTGAAGGGTTAACAGCCATTTTGGTTTCGGGTTTACGTCCTACCCACTAAGCCCGAAACCCTAAACCCTAAACCCTGAGACCTAACTAGCCCGCTTAAGCCCTGAGCCCTAAACCCCCCCTCTCCTTGCCAAAAACCCTAAACCCTAAACCCCAGATCCTAAACCCTAAACCCTAAACCCTAAACCCTAAACAGTAAACCCTAAACCCTAAACCCTAAACCCTAAACCCTAAACCCTAAACCCTAAACCCTAAACCCTAAACCCTGAACCCTAAACCCTAAACCCTAAACCCTAAACCCTAAACCCTAAACCCTAAACCCTAAACCCTAAACCCTAAACCCTAAACCCTAAACCCTAACCCTAAACTCTGGACACCTTTGTGGCTCCTCTTCTGCAAGCCAAGGCCAAGGTACGGCAGTTGGCATGGAGCTGCACCCTCAGGGTCTCCTTGCAAAATTATGGTTTGCGGGTGCTTTTTTTGTATTTACAAACTTTTCCTTTGCTTTTGTCTTTGGGGGGGGGGGGGGGGTGGTGATAGGGTTATGGTTTGGGCTAGGGTTTAGGGTTTAGGGTTTCGAGGTTAAGGGTTAGGGTTTAGGGTCTGTCCACGAAGCACGAGCGCCCTCGCTTTGGGAGTCAGTGGAGGGTTCATGGAAGGATGGGCTCACAACGACTCGCCTCAAGACCTTGGAAGTATAACCCTTCCCCCTTAAGACCTATATACCCTAACCCCTCGCACCACACCCAAAACCCCAAACCCCAAAGCCTAAACCCCAAACCCAATGACCACCCGAAGGCCCTCCACTTACGTGGTGCAGAGGACAAGCAGCGATGTAGTTGGTGCCGTAGGCACGGCGGGTGAAATCCGAGAGGTTGAACTGAATCCTCGGGTTTAGGGTTTATGGGGTTTAGGGTTCAGTGTTGTGCTTTTTCGCAAGGCTCTGACCAGCTAGAACTTTTGTTGCCCTGAGGCCCCCCCCCCCCCCAAAAAAAAAAAGAAAACAAAATTCTTGGGGAGCATAACAGGTGTAGGGTTCGGGGCTGAGGCTCAGGGATCTGAACACTACATCACCCCAAGCTAAGCTGCAAGCCCCTCTTCTTGGAGGTTCTGTTGACTTAGTAAGTAGGGTTAGTAAGGTGGGTTATGGGGATTCAAACAGGGCATTTAGGGGATACTAAGTAGACTTACTAAACCAAAGGAGCTTCCAAAAACCCACCCCCTCCCCCCCCGACCACAATGGAGAAACCCGAAACCCTTCATCCCCACAGGACAAAGCCGTGCTGGCGAACAAGGCGCTGATTCCAACCTCCGGGCACAATTGGTTACTGTGTTTAGGGTCTAGGGGTGTGCAGGATGGCATAGAGTGTGAAGGTTACAAAGGCCAAGCAGAAGGAGTTGATTCAAAGGGCTAAAGGCTGCCAAACAAAGCTTCCAAGCCCTAGGCTTTGGGTTTAGGGTTTAGGCAAGCAAAAAACCCTAACCTACTCAGCACTTGCAGTGGGGCATGCGGCTCACTGGGAACTTTGCAGCCGCCTGCGATGCGAAAGTGCGATTACTGTACGGTTTGGGGGTTCCGGATTTAAGGGTTCAGGGCTTAGAGGTTTAGGGGTTTAAGTAGCGGAAGCTGTTGGGGTAGTTAACGCTGCCTCGACAAATAGGCATCTTCCTGACACTTACATGTCGATGTGCTTCTTAGAGCCCCTAAACCCTAAACCCTAAGCCCTAAACCCTAGACCCTAAACCCTAAACCCTAAACCTGCCCTAAACCCCATAGAGCAACACTCTCGAAGAAGGACTGCCATAAAGCTATGTGGCAACTCTTGCTGTAAAGGGTATCGCCCTGACCCAGAGCCCTAAAACGCTAAAAAACCCTAAATCCTGAAGCCTTTGAACCCTAAAAAAACGCCTTCATCCGTCCGTGTGCCCTTGAACATCCTTGAACCCTTGCAACACCCCTAAGCCCGAAGCCCTAAACCCTAAACCCTAAAACCCTAAAACCCTAAAACCTAAAATCCTAAAACCCTACACCCTAAACCCTAAAACCCTAAACCCTAAACCCCCTAAGCCCGAAGCCCTGAACCCGAGGCGCCTTCATCCAGACGCATGGGCATGGTGCAGATGAAGGGCTTCACCCTGACCGAGTTTGGGCCCAGAGGCCCCCAAAACCCCCTTAATTTAGGAAAAGGGCCTAAATCATATGAGGGTTCCTGATAAAATTCAAGGGATATTCTTTACTTAAGGGGTTCTGGAGTCTTTGGGGGCTTGTGGGGTGTGGGTGTCTTTTTGCCTGGACCCTAAAACTTTGAGACCTGTGAAACCCATCCTGTAAACCCACCCAAAATCCCTTAAAAACCTTTAAAGTCCGACATGTCGAAGCCTTTGGTAACCCACTACCCCATTAAACTTTAACTCTTTTTTAAGCCCATGTAGACCCTATCCACCCAAGAACCATTGAAGCTCTAAGCCCTGAACTCTAAACCCTAACGTAAGAACCCCAAACCTACCTTCTCTGTAGTTTCGTACTATAAGACCCCTTTTTGGATTCCTAGGTAACCTAGCAAAAAAGTAGATTTAGGGTTTTTATAAGCTAAAACCCCAAGCTAAGCCCTCAACACTCAGCATTCTTGAGCCTAAATCCTTTTTTCGTCAAAGCCCTCTTACTGTTTATAGTTTTTATAGAGCGCACAGGGGTTGCAGGGTTTACAGGGTTTACAGGGTGTATAGGGTATAGGGTGTAGGGCTTATAGAGTTGAGGGCTTGTAAGGTTTAGACGCTTAAACAGCGTTCCTGAGCCCTAACCCTAAACCCTGAACACTAGACCCTAAACCCTAAACCCTAAACCCTAAACCCTGTGGGGTGGCCTGGTGGTGGACTGGTAGTTCGACGCCCGGAAGCGCCGACGGACCTCCTTGTCATCCAGCACCGTAACCTCACGGCATAGGGGTTTACAGGAAAGCCGAAGCCTTAGGCTCACAAAAAACCGAGAAACCTTATATGAGAAGGCATTTGGGCCCCAAAGCCCTAAAATAAGAGTCCTTAGAGCCTTAGGGTAAAGGTTGCGCGTACCTGTGTAGTTTTATACTTGGGCACTACAGCTACTATGTGGGAACGCCTTCAAGGCCCAGGTATGTAAGAAAAAAGGGTTCAGGGCGCTTTATGCTCAGGGTTTTGAGCTCTCTAACAGGGCTGAGGAAATCAATACGCTTTAGAGGGATTAAGGTTTACAGGGTTCAGGTTTAGTGGTTTGGTCTTTTTCCCCAGGTATTTTGACAGAGCGCGCTTGGCCCTAAACTACAAACGCTGGGGGTGCGCAAGCCGTTCTGAAGCAACAGAAGCAGAAGTTTAGGGTTTAGGGTCTAGGGATATGCCCTTAAGCCCCAATGGCATCTCCTGTTGCTTATACAAAAATGAGCGTCGGAATGGGGGTTTAAGCACATTCCAGGTCTTTCTAGATCTTTCAGCTCTACTGGCATCTTCTGTTGCGTATACAAAAATGAGCGTCGGAAGGGGGGTTTAAGCACATTCCAGGTCTTTCTATATCTTTCAGCTCTACTGGCATCTTCTGTTGCTTATACAAAAATGAGCGTCGGAAGGGGGGTTTAAGCACATTCCAGGTCTTTCTGGATCTTTCAGCTCTACTGGCATCTTCTGCTGCGTATACAAGAATGAGCGTCGGAATTAAACCCTAGTGAATCGCCATGGAGCTGTCTTAGCCCCCCCAAAATTCTTTCTTTCCCAACCTCAAAAACCTAAAGCAACTACCTGTCCAAACCCTGAACCCGAAAACATACGTACCCCTGAGTCCCTGAACCACTAAGCCATAACCCCTGAGATGTCGAGTGCCTCGAAGGTGAAGTACTTCTTGAGGTTTTTGATGATCATCACCTGTCGGATGATGGGTTCAGGGGTTTAGGGTCAACTGTCTACGGTTTAGGGATTAGGGTTAGGGTTCAGGGTTTAGGGTTTAGGGTTTAGGGTTTAGGGTTTAGGGTTTAGGGTTTAGGGTTTAGGGTTTAGGGTTTAGGGTTTAGGGTTTAGGGTTCAGGGTTCAGGGTTCAGGGTCCACTGTCTACGGCTTGGGTCTTGGGTCTTGGGGGCTAGTGTTGACGGTCTAGGGGCTGGAGGCGCCACAAGATCTCTAAACCCTAAACCCTAAACCCTAAACCCTAAACCCTAAACCCTAAACCCTAAACTCTTAAACCCTAAACCCTATACCCTAAACTCTTAAACCCTAAACCTTGAAACCCTAAAGCCCTAAGCCTAAACCCTAACCCCCCCCCCTCCATGTACGGGCAACGAGCAATCTCTGATCCGTGGCGGTTGGTCGTCCCACTACCCTTCTCTTGGGCTGCACGCCCCAGTCGAGTACTTGAAACTTATCTGCAATCTTAGACCGATGCCACCCCCAAAGGCCGGAAGCCCGAAACCTGGTCCTAAACCCTAAACCTCCAAACCCTGAAACTTGAAAACCGAAACCCTAAACCCTGAACCGAAGTGACCCCGATCGCCCTGGTTCCTCAACCCAGCCTAAACCAACCCTGCACACGCGCTAAAACCTCTACAGCCCTTAAGCCCCTAAAGCTCCTAGAGCCCCCAGAGCCCCTAAACCCCTAAACCCCTAAACCCCTAAACCCCTAAACCCCTAAACCCCTAAACCCCTAAACCCCTAAACCCCTAAACCCCTAAACCCCTAAACCCTAAACCCCTAAACCCCTAAACCCCTAAACCCCTAAACCCCTAAACCCCTAAACCCCTGCACCCTGAACCCTAAAATCTAAACCCTAAACCCCTATAACCTGCACCCTGAACCCTACAATCTAAACCCTAAACCCTATAACCCCAAACCCTAAACCCTAAACCCTAAACCCTAAGCCCTAAACCCTAAACCCTAAACCCCTATAACAGCCCAAACCTGCCCCCCCAAAGTTCGTCCCCGGCGCCAGGAAGCCCTAGAGCCCCTTAAAACCTTAAACCCCTAAACCCCTAAACGCCTAAACCCCTAAACCCTAAACCCTAAACCCTAAACCCTAAACCCTGCACCCTGAACCCTAAACCCTAAACCCCTAAACCCTAAACCCTAGCCCTAAACCCTAAACCCTAAACCCTATAACCCCAACGTGCCCCCTGCCCGTCCGGCCAGGAAGGGCAACTTGATCCCCAGGGTCTTGGAGGGGTCGGCGGGGCAGGTGATGTAGGTCGTGCTCACATTGGTGCCCATGATCTCCTGGTTTCAGGTTTGGGGCTTAGGGTTTAGGGTTTAGGGATTGGGGGTTTAGGGTTAGGGGTTTAGGGTTTAGGGTTTGGGGTTTAGGGTTTGGGGTTTAGGGTTTAGGGCTTCATGGGTGCCCATGATCCCCTGGTGGTGAAGGGAGTTTAGGGTTTGGGCTTAGGACTTAGCGTAAAACAGGCGTCTTTGGTTGCAATTTTTGTTGGGGGAGGGGGACAGGGCGTGTGCATGATTTAGGGTTGTTTGGGCTTTTGGTGTTAGGGCTGTTTGGCGTTTAGGGTCTGGGACTAAGGGATTTAGAAGGGCGTGAGGCCTTGCCTCCTCTGAATGCAGGCTTCTCTTTGTTGGGGCTGCCTCTTGGGGGCTAAAGCCTAAACCCTAAACCCTAAACCCTAAACCCTAAACCCTAAACCCTAAACCCTAAACTCTAAACCCTAAACCCTAAACCCTAAACCCTAAACCCTAAACCCTAAACCCTAAGCTGGTCTAGGTAGGAAGCTTTGGGGCCCAAACCACGATGAACCTAGATCACTTCCCAAAACAGGGGTACCCCCTTATACCCCAAATAGAATGAGAATCCCCCTAAGGGGACCCCCAAAACGGGTACCCCATAGGACTGGAATTTAGAGAACGACCCATATCTTCCCTAATTCAGGGACCTGGGTTCCGGTCAGGGAGCCCAAGCGAAGTTATGATACTCTTATTCTGAGGGTCCATGTACCAGATTGTTACACTCTTGGGCCCCCAAAGTCCCCATAGAAGAAGCGCTTTGTAAGGCCCAAGCATGCCATCTCTAAGCACGCTAAACCCTAAACCCTAAACCCTAAACCCTAAACCCTAAACCCTAAACCCTAAACCCTAAACCCTAAACCCTAAACCCTAAGCCCCCAAAGCCTAAACCCTACATTAGGTATATGGAGCCTTCGTGGCTTATATCCCAGGGTAAGAGTTGGTGGGGGAGCTTCGGATCCTGAGCCAAAGCTGTCTTCGCGAATCTGAGGGTTTAGGGTTTAGGGTTTAGGGTTTAGGGTTTAGGGTTTAGGGTTTAGGGTTTAGGGTTTAGGGTTTAGGGTTTAGGGTTTAGGGTTTAGGGTGAGAAACGAAGCAGCATGAAGGCAACAAACCAAAAACAAGCTAAACGAGCTCGGGGCTGTAGAATAACTAGCAGGGGGGTCCCAGATCCCTTAGCTAGGAACATTTTTGCAGGTGATTGGCAGAGTGTTGAGCTTGGGCCCCTAAACCCGGGGGTTAAATGGGGCTACATGGGTTACATGGGGTTCAACGGCTTCAATGGGTCTAGGATGCTGAGTAACCCAGCATTTAAAAAGGGTACCCTTTTTTGCTTAAAGGGGTTTCTAAGGGAACCTCAACCCCCCCAAAAAGGAATCAGGGTACTACTGGGCATCCTAGGCGTTCAATGGGTGCCCTTAGCCCCGCAGTCCAGCACGCTGGACTGGATGTCAGAATCCGTGAGGCGCTTGATGTGACCATTGCGCACCTCAGGATGCGTCCCTAAACCCTAAACCCTAAACCCTAAACCCTAAACCCTAAACCCTAAACCCTAAACCCTAAACCCTAAATTTACGAGATTCTTCAGGGAGGGGGGGTCCAAGGGGGATATCGAACCCACGGTTCCCAATTACTCCCTGCTACTCCCTAAGGCTCCCTAAGCTTCCCTAAGGTTCCCGAGTTACCTGTCCTCCATGAACCCGCCCTCCCTTAAGAACCCAATTTTGCATGATGCGTGCCGGGGTTCGCAAGGGTTTACCAGCCTAAACCCCTGAACCTTTCCTTACCCTGAACCCTATAACCCTGTAAAGTAGATGAACCCTATAAGCCCTACAAACCCTGCGCACCCCATCAACCCCATAAGCCCAATAACCCTACTTTGGAGTAGACCCTGGAAAACAAGTATATACTTTTTAGGTATAAGCAGCTGTAATAGGAACCCAGAACCCCCAAAAGGCATTCAAGTCTAGTACTCCAACAACCCAGAACAGACTTGAGGTTGCGGGTTTGAGGGTTTAGGCCTGGAGTTGGAGTGTTTGGGATTTAGTGCTTAGGGTGCTTTGGGCTTCAGTGTTCGGATGCTTTATAGGGTTGAGGGTTTAGGGGTTTAGGGTTTAGGGTGCTGAGGGTTTAGGGCTCAGATGTTTTAGGGTTAAAGGCTTGGGGATTGAGGGCCTTTGAGGCCGTGAGGGCTTGCATGGTTTAGGGTTTACATTTTGTTTCGGATCAGTCGGATCTGGGGTGTGGGGTTCAGACCCAGGTATCTGAAAGTTGGATATTCGCCACCCCCCCCCAAAGGGAAGACCAAACCCAAAACCCTAACACCCTAAACCCTAACCCTAAACCCTAAGCCCTAAACCTAAACCCTAAACCCTAAACCCGAGGAGCTGTGCCTTCTTGTCCCAGATCTGAAGCGGCTTTGAGCCGATCGAGTAGAGGATGGACAGAAAGCCGGACTGGTAGGTGTTTTTGAACCTAGGAGTCATGTGGGTTCCCCTACCACCCCCCTCTAGAAGTCAGGGTTCAGGGTTTAGGGTTCAGGGTTTAGGGTTGAGCATTGAGGGTTTAGGGTTCAGGGTTTAGGACTAGGAGCGTGGGTGCTCATGGGTTTCGTGCTGCTTGCTTTAGGGGTTTGCGGGGTTTGCGAGGCCTTGAATCCGAAACCCTAAACCAGAAACACCTGGGATGGGGCGGGACCCTAAACCCTAAACCCAAAAGCCTAAACCCTAAACCCTGGGGGCGGCATGGGACTGAGGTTTTGCTATAGGGTCGGGGTTTCAGCCCTCTCGCACATGCAGGATGTTGAGCTTGGAGGCCTAGACTATAACTTATGGGGTTTAAAGGAGAGACGCCTAGAACGGACCCTTCATCTTATTCCCTTGTACAACCCTTATATACAGCGGAAAGTTCCTATATTACCTAAGTAGCCCCAATGTAGCGCTCATAAGGGTCCCTCCTTTTGTCCCTTGAAGAACAGCAAGCCCTGAACCCTAAACCCTAAACCGTGAACCCTAAACCCTAAACCCTAAAGGCCCTTACACCCCAAACCCTAAACCCTAAACCCTAAACCCTAAACCCTAAACCCTAAACCCTACACCCTACACCCTAAACCCTAAACCCTAAACCCTAAACCCGAGCCCACTGGAGGCCCGTGAGCCGAGCCCCCCGGCATCCTCTGACTGAAAGGGGAAGGCCGCTGGTCAAACCTCTCTGTTACCGATCTTCTCTCTGAGCCGCGGTTGCTGCGGGCAAGAAGATCCCTAAACCCGAAGCCCTGAGCCCTAAACCCTAAACCCTAAACCCTAAACATCGCTGGGCCCTAAATGGTGTTCTGAGTACTGGTACGCAGGAACGTGCCTGAAAAAGGGCTGTAGGTGTAGGCTCTCGAGCTTATAGGTTTCGGATTTAGGGTGATTTAGGGTTTCGGGTCTCGGATTTAGGGTTTCAGGGTTGCGGGAAGTGGGGTTAGGATTTAGGGCTGCAGGAAGCCTAACAGGTTGGTTTAGGGTTTAGGGTTTAGGGTTTAGGGTTTAGGGTTTAGGGCTTAGGGTTTAGGGTTTAGGGTTTTTGGTTTAGGGTTTAGGGTTTAGGAATACTGCATCTCATGTGGCATACCATTGAGTAATGAACATGTTCAGGTGGGAAGCTGCTTCTTTGTTCAGGGAAAGCTTCCTAACAGTGTCGGACTTTAACGCTTGTAAGACTCTAAGGGAACCACTCCCCTTCGAATCTACCCTTCTATGACAAAACGCTTCTTAAGTAGGGCTTTTTGATTACTAGAATCCTCAAAAAGACACCCTGTATATACACCCACCGGTGTGCATACGGAACCGTATATACCCTCATCAAGAGCCACATAAACCCTACCTACCTCATCTAAGAGCCACTAGCACATGGCAATATCTCGTTGGAGGCCAAACACTCATCCCCAACCCCCAGCACCCCCCGAAACCTTATACTCTAAACCCTAGAAATCCCGCCTATAACATCCAGCTCGAAAAAAACTTACTTCTTAAAATAAGCTATTTTTTGTGTATACTTGTTGGGGTGTTAGAACATATACTCGATGCCCCGCACAACAACAAGTCATTTCCAACTCATGAGAACAAATTGGGATGTTCACCCTTGTACTACCAAGTCCTTAATGGGGATTGTAGTACCCCCTGCTATCATCCCTATTAAGGACTATGAGTATCAGGGGGGAACATCACGAAAAACAAGCCTTTACGCCCCTTTTGCTCAAGGACACTCAGCCGACTCTGACGCTTAAACCCTAACACCCCCCCCCCCCCCCCCCCCCCCCAAGTCCTACATCCCAGACCTTGCTGAACCCTAAACCCTAAACCCTAAACCCTAAACCCTAAACCCTAAACCCTAAACCCTAAACCCTAAACCCCAAACCCTAAACCCCAAACCCCAGCGGAGCTCCTGGAGTCGTTGCTGGAGGCCTGGCAGGCGACTCTCTGAAAGGTTTGGTTCAGTCCTTTGGGGCTTTGGGGGTTTGAGAGTTTTTGGGACTAGGGTTTAGGGCTTTGGGGTTTAGGGTTTGGGGACTTGAGGGTTTGGGGCTTTAGGGGTTTGAGAGTTTTAGGATTTAGGGTTTAGGGGTTTAGGGTTTTTGGGGTTTGGGGGTTGAGAGTCTTGGGATTGGGGTTTAGGTTCATGGTTTGGGGGTTTTGGGGTTTGGAGGTTTTAGGGTTTTCGGGCGTCTATAGCCTATAGTTGACCAGAGGCTGTTTTGGAGCTTGTTTTGGGGTTGCAGGCTTGGGGGTGTAGAGTGTACGCCTTGGGGCTGTAAGGTTTAGGGCTTGGGGTTTCGTCGTTCAGGGCTTTAAGGCTTCGTAAAGGGCTTAGGCCTTGTTGAACCTTTCAGCACTTTTGGCTTTCTGGTGGTGGTTAACTGGGGAGGGGGAAGGGCCGGGGATAAGAGTCTTCGTTATCAACTCTGTGCATCTAGCCCTAAACCCTAAACCCTAAATCAACGTCTCCCGTTCTCAAATGCCATATGTGGCATCCCTGTCCGTGTGCGTGAACGGGGGAACCTTGTGGATATCCATGAGCGATCTCACAAGACGCAGATGATCGAGCCAGCAGAGGTCGACATCAACCGAATCCCTAAACCCTGAACCCTGAACCCTAAAGCCATCCGGGTCCGGTGCACCAGACCAGCACCTAAACCCTAAACCCTAAACCCCAAACCCTGAACCCTAAACCCCAAACCCCTGTTTTGTGCGTCGAGAGCTTCAGCCCAGCGAGGTGACTTGTCAAGCTACCCGAAACGGCTCCGCTGTCTAGGGTCCAAAGGCAGATAGCTCCATAGGACCGTAGAGCCAAAAGCTATGGACCAACAGCAGTCGCGACGAAGCTGGAAAGATACGCCTGTTGCTTCCATGAGCCGGTGGCAGTACAGGAAACATGCAAGGCATATAGCAATCATAAGGTCAAGGCAAACTCAGGATCCCACCAGCCAAAATGGCTTTCACCAGGTTAAGAGCCTTGAGCTCATACCGCGAGCTGTGGTGGACACTGACATGCGAATCGATTCTGATAGTGGAAGTGATGTCAGTCCTAGCACGATGTATGGGTATGGTCTTCATCAGGGAGATGTGGGTGCACAGGTGGGCTTTCAGGCGCACTACATCGGGTCAGACATTGAAGATCACATGGTGGAACCACTGGCGAGCTGCCCTGCAAGAGGCATCGAAATGACGTTTCGGAAGCGCAAGTTGGCACGCAGCTCCCAAGGAAGCCGGATGGCTTGGCGACCAAAGCAAAACCAGGTTAAGTCTGTTCAGGTGCCCGCCTATGAGAGCGTGCGAGAACTGGGCATACAAGTATGCATGGAGGAAACGACATGTCATCTTGATGAGGTGTCAAATAGCCTGGGCGACGGGGGGCTGTGCATGTGCCACGCCAATGGTCTGGAATGGCACGGCTGGGTTGATGAGTTAGAGTTACCATGCCGTCGCGGATGCGGATCTGACCATTCAAGCTTGGCAAATAAGACGGATAGCTCCAGCACAGATGCCGCTGCCCAAACTGGAACTGATTACGGAGGCTTAGGGTATGGAGATGCTGCGGTGGTCACACGGGAAGTGGCCGTGTGTGGGTGTCGACACAGCCTGCTTGACAACACCTCCTTCACAGTGCTCAGGGCGCAGCATGACTTGCTTCAACTATGCGTCGGAGAAGTCGGGTTGGTCAAAGAGGTGTATGCCGAAAAGGCCATGATCAAGGTCATGTTCCCAGAGGTTGGCACAGCTTTCATCTCTTGGTTGGAGGCAGATTCCTGCTTTAAGTTCCTAGTCCCCATGCCATGAGCATCTCGCCGCAACAGGACTTCGCTTGTGAGTGACACTCCTTCGCGAAGCGGGGGGTGTTTTGTGCGTCGAGAGCTTCAGCCCAGCGAGGTGACTTGTCAAGCTACCCGAAACGGCTCCGCTGTCTAGGGTCCAAAGGCAGATAGCTCCATAGGACCGTAGAGCCAAAAGCTATGGACCAACAGCAGTCGCGACGAAGCTGGAAAGATACGCCTGTTGCTTCCATGAGCCGGTGGCAGTACAGGAAACATGCAAGGCATATAGCAATCATAAGGTCAAGGCAAACTCAGGATCCCACCAGCCAAAATGGCTTTCACCAACCCCTAAACAACATCAGGGAGCATGGGTCCGCCTGGAGTTCATGAAGCCCATCAGATAGATTGTAATGTATAGAGCACTGTATGACGACCTCTCCCGAATACAACTCTGTTGGGCCTTGCGCCGATGCACAGACCCAAAGCTCTAAACACCCAAGCCCTCAAACGCCCAACCCCCCCCCGCCCCACCCCCCGAACCCCTAAACCCTAAACCCTGAACCCGAACCCTAAACCCGAAACCCTAAACCCTGAAATTCTACATTTCTCACTCCACGCCTTTCAGTGGGTCTGACTCCCCCTGGCCACGGATCTCTTGTTGAGTGCTTCTTTGGGGTTCAAGGTGCACGGATCAGCATGCTTAGGGTTTAGCGTTTCGGGTATAGGGTTTAGGGTTTGGAGTTCAAGGTTTAGGGTTTCGGTTTGCAAGAACTTCGGTTCGGGTGTTGGGGCTGTTGGGACGTTCAGCAAATTAGGCTTAGCTAGGGCTTTAATGTTGACCTGAAACCATTGACCCAAAACATACTGAAGCCAATTGTAAGGGTTGGGTTCCGTGCGTCAGCTACCAGGACATGTTAAGCAGCACGCATACCCTAAACCCTAAACCCTAAACCCCCTAAACCCCCTAAACCCCCTAAACCCCCTAAACCCCCTAAACCCCCTAAACCCCCTAAACCCCCTAAACCCCCTAAACCCCCTAAACCCCCCTAAACCCCCTAAACCCCCTAAACCCCCTAACCCCCTAAACCCCTTAAACCCCCTAAACCCCCTAACCCCCCTAAACCCCCTAAACCCCCTAAACCCCCTAAACCCCCTAAACCCCCTAAACCCCCTAAACCCCCTAAACCCCCTAAACCCCCTAAACCCCCTAAACCCCCTAAACCCCCTAAACCCCCTAAACCCTAAACCCCCCTAAACCCCCTAAACCCTAAACCCTAAACCCTAAACCCTAAACCCTAAACCCTAAACCCTAAACCCTAAACCCTAAACCCTACCCTTCTTCATCGATCCACAAGTTCTGACCACTTCGGTGTCCATAAACCCTGTAGGAAGTTGCGCTGCTGGCTGTACGAAGGGTTACAAGAAACCCAAAGATGCACAAAAGCCAAGCT